TACTTGTTTGACATGCGATATTATGCTCATAGCATTCAGCTTGGAATGCTCATCATCGCCGTTCCTTCCAGCTTTTTGCAACAGCTGAGGTGGTTCTCCGTGCGAAGGAATGTGCAGGCACAGAACGAGGCCTCGGGACAGAAAATGGCGTGTCGAAATCTTGTGAGCCGAGCATGAGCATGCCATTGGATTCGAGGTTTCTTTAGGTCAGTCAGACTCTGCAGCTTGCTTGGGTTGGGGCACATGAGGTCCCACTCATGAAAGCTGTACGATCCGGAACAAGATCCATGGTATCCTGGACCTAAGACTTCTAAGATCTGTCTGGATAGCATCGACGGTCCTTACGATTTCATAGCTGCTCCAGGTCGGTTACCAGAACGCCAGTCCGATCTTTACGTCCATGTTGATCTGTGCAGCCGCGTGCTCTTGCTGGGTGGCTTTGCGCCCAGATCGGGGACAGAATCCTGTTTCTGCAACCGGTGCGAGAAATTTTTCTAAAACGTAAGCTGCCTCCCAAAACTCGCCTGCACCTAGATTTCCGAGCTTCGGCAACGTGGCATGTCCGCGGGGAGCTCAGATTGAGGCACAAGCAGACTCGGGCCGAGTGGCTAGCGTTCTCAATGCTCTGGTCTCACTGTCATTCCTTCCCAAGGTGAGTGAAAGTGTCATGATTGTTACTCTTTGAAGACGGCAGCCATGGAGGAAAGCGTTACCAAGAAAAAAAGGCCCTCTGATCTGTCACAAGACTTGTACTTTGTGAATGACTGCCGTACAAACACCATCGCAAGCAGCAAGAACAATGCCAGTGCTGCAAGAGGCACATGGTTCTGGAAATGGCAACTCAACAGTCAGGGCAGAGAGTACCATGTATGTTGACATTGCAATGTTATCGTTGTTTTGCTGATGCCTACGATGGTTGTGATGACGACGATGCTGTTGTGGATCATGGTGATGGCGATATTGGTCCTGTTGCTGCTGTAGCTGTAGCTGCTGCTGCTGCTGATGCTGTTGCTGTTGCTGCTGTTGTTGTTGTTGGTGGTGGTTGTTCTTGGGGGCTGCGATTGGAAGCAGTGGTGGTCTTCCCTCTCTGAAGCTCAGGTTTTCGGCCTCACCAGCCGGGGCGGTGTCTCGCTGATGGTTTGCGTCTCGGGTGGCCTGGTTTGCTGTTGGGACTGCTGGGATCGGGCTTCCCAAGACCAAGCTTTGCGTGCGCTCGAAAGCCGCACCTCAGACCGGTAGAGAAATTGAACCCGAGCTGGCCGACTGGCCGACTGGCCGTCGTCCTCAGTGTGAAAGTTCGTCAATTTGTGCATAAGCCAAGCCATCTTTGCCTCGAGGTTGTGGCCTCGGCCCTGGTCTCGTCAATCTTCGTCGGTGTCTTCCTCCGCCTTCCTGCCGTAGTTTCCGAGTCTCTTGAGAAGAGTGGAGCCTGAGTCTGGGGATTCGAGTTTCAGGGACACTCCGTGCCAGGAACACTCTTGGAGATCGGGAAGTTGGAGGATGCTCACGTTCCATGCCAAGACAGCAGACGAAACGATCTGGGGTTGTACGAGAAGGACACAGTAGCTGCAAAAGAGATTCAGACAAGCTCGCAGGTGGTGCCTTTGCAGTAGATTTACCAAGGTTCGCCAGCTCCGCATAGCACACTTGCGACTGGAGCATGCCAAGTGCTTGAAGAAGATTGCCTGTGGACAGGCTGGGAAACCACAATCCCCCCAGCTGATCCAACTATTCTGGTAAAATGCTATCTACGTGACACGAGCCATGGCTTTGATACAGTTGTCGTCTCTTTGCTTGATGTCCGTCCTTGTACCAGTAGTTGGGCTTGCCTTACCCCAAGTCAGCAGGTTGTGGCTGCAGACAAGGGTCGCTGTGCCTCTGTCCTCCAGCGGGAGCCGGAGCCAAATAAGCCCACGGTCTGCCACTGACGTGTCCTTGAAGACGTAAATCGGTCTTGCGCCACAGATTCAGAAGTCCTACTGTAAAGCCCCAAAGCGCAGACCCAAGTCTTGATGTCCACGGCGAGCGGTTGAAAGACGCAAAGCGCGTCCGAAGAGCTCCATACCCTCTAAGCTCTAGGATTCCTCCTGAATGGTTGGTTCCTGAACACTCGCAGGCGCCACAGCCTGTGGCTGCAGCGTCGGGTGAGCGTCAGATCTCTGAGTGCTCTCCGGCAGGCAACGGCTTGTCAGTGTGTGCTTCCGTATCTCAGGTGTTTTTTGGACTCGTCGTGGGTTGGCGGGAGTGATACAATGTTGTGTGGATGCGAGCCGATCGCCCTGAGAGCGGTGAGACTGTGTGCCGCAGTCTGGAATTTTGGAACTCAGCACTGAATCTTCCATGCTATTTCCGTGCTTGGCTGGCAGCCTCAGTTTTCTCGCGCTCCTACGGTGGAAGGACGAATCTCACACCACTTTTCATAAGCATCCTTTAGTGATTCCCCGCCCCATTTGAATCTTGGTTGATTTGTTCCAAAGCCGAAATCTTGCTGAGCTCAGGTCCTAGATGCAAATGCTAGCGTCAGGAGTGTGCTTTGAAGATCCTTGCACTCGTACCATTGTTATGTCCAATCCAAGCCAGGGGCCAAAATCCTTCTCCCTAACACGTCCGCAGAGGCTTCGTGCAGACTGCCAGTGCCTTCCATGAACCACTGCTGGCCCGGCCCATGCCTCTTAGCTGCACCATGGGTAGGGAAACCCTGAAACTCACGCAACTTCATCAACCTGCGCCTCTCATTTTCATAAGCATCAACCACCCAGACTTAGTCTCTGACCCTATAGACTATAGAGGCCTTTGGATCCTCTGCCCCCAAGGCCGCGAAGGCATCGCCTGAGCCGTGCGCGGTCCCCAGCGGGAGTCGCCACATCCGAGTGAGATTTCGCTTTCCTCTTGCGGCAGGGGGGCCGAATGTTAGCATCCCGTGGAGATCTGCTTGGAACGTAGCTTGTCGTGTTTGCAGGGCAGTCGTTCAGGGTGCAACGTGGGACTTGATTCAAAGTGCAGTCTGCAGTTACAGGCTCGCTGAGTGACTGATGGAGTCCAGCTTCTGGGGCCCTAACAAGCTGTGCCTTTAAATCACTTTGAACCGAGCCGCAATCCTGAGCCTTGGACTCGTCCGAGGACATGCCCGCTGAGAGCTCGGGAGATGAGCACGACTTGGATGGAGCCTGCGCCCCAGTGTACAGGTTCGTCGAAGGCCTGCACGCACCACAGAATGCAGGCTCTGCTCATGATCGAGCGCGTGATCCTCCTGCTAGAGCCGCCCTGGGATGATTGGGCTTCGTGGGAGTCGGGGGCTCTTGGGAGGTTCCCTAAACACAGAGGTTGAAGGACACCAGACAGAGGTATTCCAGACTGGATGGCCTCGTTGCAAACGGGTTTCGGAGACTTGGGCTTCGGACAGGATGTGCAGGGCAGCCTGTGCTGTCGGCTTTGTGCTTACTCTGTCCATCTGGTAATCTGCACATCCAGGGTGCTGCGATCTACAAGACAAGTCAGGTACATGCGACTAATCAAGCCCCAGTCTCCGAACTCTTGGATCTGGTCCACGACCTCAAAGCTGCAGAGGAATGAAGCCTTCTGCCAGGCAACATGATGTGAAGCCCACCATCTTCGGGGTAGAGATTGGATCGAAATCCTTCCAGGCCCGTCAAAAATCTGATGAGGCTCTCCAGGTTGGGGGGTCGTGGTATTGGTAGCGAAGGAGGAGTGTAGGGGCCGCAGTGGGATTCGGATTGGTATGGAGGTAGTGGTGGTGGTGGTGAGTGGTGGCAGCAACAGTAGCAGGAGTCGTCGCCGTTTTCGCAACACTAGTTGCTGCACGGTGATGTGGCGCCAATAGCAAGAGCACGAGGACTTGCCAAATATGAGAATGCGGGAAGAGGCTTTCAGAAGCTCCTGTTGCATGCCCGACGGCTGTCTCGCACTGTGTTCACGTCTTCTTTGTATGCAGACTTCAACTTAGCAGGAGAGGTGTGGGTGCAAGTCTTGGGAGTTTTTGATGTTGGGTCTCTTGGACAGTGTAGCTACGGCTGGCGCTTCCGAGTCGCACAGCGTGCGCATCGGCAGACGACGCTCTCTGCACACCAGAAAGCTCAGCTGGACAGGTGGTCTATGCTGCGCTTTTGTCCAACATCTGGTGCCCGGGCGGGGACTCGAGATCTGGCCTTTGTTGGGTTTCAGCAGAAGCCACGCCCCGCCCCTGCCCCTGACGATCGGTGCTGGGAGGTCCTGCTTCGACCTAACAGCTCAAGACCTATCCTTGGAACACACACCTGCACGTAGAGCTGTTCAGGTTTCTTTCTTGACAGAGCTCCAGGGTTCCTGCCCGCCTTCCGTTCCAGTTTGGGGCAACGACAGGTACTTGCTTGTATGGGGAGTGCTGATTCCTATCATCAACTACCACGACGACTGACCGAAAGCAGCTGCCCTCACGGTGTCACATTGACATGCTTACTTGCTTGAGCAGTTGCAGTCATGATGGCTTTGCCACCCAGTGCATGGGTGGCGGGCTAGACGCTCTTCGCTGGCTGCCTTTAGCTTTGCACGGGGCCACGTTTGAACAGGGCCACCTTGCAGAATGCCTGATGGCATACATATACATTAATACCGCCAATACCCCCTCACACCTAGAGCGCTGCCGTCGAATCAGAGGATTCAAAATGGCTGCCGCTGGTTTTGGAGGGTTCGCTGTCTGTAAAGACTTTATACAGGTGGCCTTGCACTTCGGGCAGCTCCGCCCCAGGCAAAGCCTTGGAAGCGGCAACCAGAAGACTTCGGCTTTGTGGAGGCTCAAGGTCGAGTGCCAAAGTTCGCTTCCATGGGCATGACGAGGCTGTGTGTATGATCGCAAGCAAAGGCACCAAACGTGCAAACTGACACTGGTAGATTTTGTAGATGTTCAGCGGTAAAACTTAAAAACGGAAGATGAAGCGAAATGCAACGGTTTCGGTATTCGGGCGTCGGGCACCAGGTCGCAAGGCAGCTCACCGCCATGGTCGATGGCAGAGTCCCTCGCAATAGCCGCGAGCGAGGCCACTGGAGCCGCCCAGCCGACGGCGGTGACGGCGGCGGCCAGCTCGCAGCATTCGCAGCGCTCGCTCGACCTGGAGTTTGCGACGACGATGCAAGCAGTAGAAGTTGCCTTGGCCAGCGCCCCACGAACGATGCGCATTCGTGGTGAGCAATGGGCACAGAGGCTGCAGCTGATGGCAAGCGTGACGCAACCCTTGTTCCAGAAAGACCGAAATCTGCATGCTGATCTCTTGTTGAAGTGCATCCAGGAGCAGGCTTGGACAGAGCCATTGGACAAGCATCCGCCAGAAGGGCCGCTCCCATGTCTACCAAGGCACGTGGCCTGCTCTTTGCGTAAGGCTCGTGCCGAGCGCTTGAGGGCCAGCCGGAGCCAAGGATGCGCAGAGGTGCAAAGACCGTCGGATAGCTTGGCCATGGCTGCTGCAGCTGCTGTGTCGGGCAAGCCGGAGGCCCGCAGCAGCGTGGGCTTGGGGATGCCCGAGGTCTCGGTGGCCGCGCCGCCGGCCTACGCCGCCCTTGCAGCGCGAGTTGCACATCTCGAGCTCCAAAACAAGCAGCTTCGCCGGCAACTGCTCGAGGCCCGAAACCGCCCTGGCCCTGAAGCGCGCCCGCGGACACCGCGCCCGCGGACACCGCGCCCAACACTGCGCCCTGCCTCGCCGGCACCGTCGGCACACTCCGCCCGCGGGGCCTTTGCAGCTCCAGCTCCGCCGCATTCGGAGGCCCCATGCAAGGCGCCCTTGGCAGCGGCCCACGCCACGGCGGCCCATTCAACGACTGCAGCGGCTCACGCGGCGGATCCTCCAGCTCGAGTTCGAGCTGAGGTTCAAGGGCCAGTAAGTGCTCCGGGGCCTCCTCCGCCTGAAGGTGACACGGAGGCTTTCCTGAGATATCTTGATGCATTTCAGAATTATGCAGGCTCACTTTTTGCGCCAAAGCTTGATTCGTAAAGGCTGGTGCTGATATCGATGTGTTTATCGAAGTAGGAAGCTGGTAGGACACATGGAAGACCTTGATGTTGCATGCAATTCGCACTTCCCTGCACGGATCGTTCAGCAGGCGTTGAACTACTGACTCGGACAGCTTGGGTTTGCATTTTTTTATTCAAGTTCCATGCTTGCTGATTGTCCGAGCTGGTCGGCGGAATGCTTCTTCGAATTGCCAAGTTCGCGGCCAATCACAGCAAGAAACAAAGTCACGGGTCCATGTTGACGTTGACATGCACTTGACTCAACCTTGTAGAAATCCATGGACTTCCAGAGAAAGGGAGTCGGAAATGAGAGATTCTTGAGGATGACTCTCTTTCTTGCCCTGCAGCTTCTTGAGCATTGTCAGGATGCTCCATGTAGATGGTTTGGGTGCGGTAGATGTTCGACTTCGATTACGAAGACCTGGAGACTGCTGAAGCTCGGCGGGAATGCCCAAAGTTCCCTGGGCCTTGACAAACCTACAGGTCCTATAGGTTTATCGGCTTGGGGAACACGGACAGGGCAACAGCCGAGCTGCAGACCTAAACTGTTGCAGATCTTTACCCCGATGTAACGAGCGAAAATCCTTCAACACAATGGACCCAGGGATCTGAAGCGGCCTTCCCAGGATCCTGCACCGGATCCGGAGAAGGCATGGGCATCGGTTTCAGGGGTGCACTTCGGAGCTTGGGGTTGTCAACGTTCAGCTAGCATGTGCTGGTAGTTCAGCATAAGATGGTGGGTGGGGCAAGACCTTAGGGCTGGAAAGCATCTGACACGGAGGAGAAGGCGCAGGCAGCGGCTGAAGCAGCACAGCTTCTGGCCGACGAGGTGCCCGGTGTTGGCTTGGGAAAACGTTAGAAGTGGGGGCTTAGACACTGCGCTCTGCAACGAGACGAAGCCGAGAGTTCTGGCGAGCAACGTCAGAAATTCTTTCTGGCGAGGTTCTCGAGGCTCTTGAAACTCAAAAAGTAGGACTCGTGAATCACCGAACACCCACCACAAAGCTTGTGTGTGTTCCTTGCTACTCTACAACCTGATGAGGGTCGTGAGTTCGAATCGGTAAGCCAAGCCCTACAACCCGAAACCTCCGAAACCATAAGGTAGGGGCCTCAATGATTAGAACAGGGTTTCGGAGCCCATTATACTATATTTATATAGTACCAAACCGTTTTCTTTGGAAAGGCCTTCACAGTGCGACGGGATGCCGTGCGCAGCCTCGGCCGTCTGGGTTTGGCGGCCGGGCGCGAGGGCCCAGAGCTTCGTGGCTTGGAGCGCTCCCTGAACCCTACGCGGCCCCAGACCCAAAGGACCCTAAGCCCAAGGCTTTTCTCCTTTTATCCTTTCTCTGGGTTGAGGTTGGCCTTGGATGTGAGGTGGTTCCGCTTGATGCTTTTGGAACCCAATGAAAAAGACCTATTGCAGTTTGTCTGATCACTGCGTCAAACTTCAAGCTCAATTTTCGGGTTTAGCACTTCTGATCTTTAAGGGCTTTTGCCTCCACGGGGACAGCGACAGCTCAATTTCAAAAGCCTCCAAACCCCAAAGGTTCGCAGCTCTGAGAACCATCTATTTGTAATCCGCACCCCCCTCCTTCCCTGAAGCCAGACTTTGGGAAATCTATGATGTTACACGTTGCTAATGGTTGCATATAGGAAGGGACCCGTGGGTCCAAAAAGTCAAGGCCAGCCGCCGAACCTACTCGAAGCTGCGGCAAAATGCACCAAAGAGGAAGTATTTAGCGAAGCATTCCAGAGGAACCCTTGATCAAACTGGCAGCTAGAACGGAGGCCTTACTTGGCCCAGCTAGTGGAGACAGCGGAGTCCGACGATGACTACGAGGTCTCAGCTTGGAAGGGGTTCCTACTTCGCATGTAGGTCTCTGAGCAAGAGCAATGGCGCCGTGCCTTTCGTGTTGCAGGCAGTCCCATCAACTCAGGCACAATATCAGATGCAACAGATCTGCTCTAAAAGCTGGCAGTAGGTTTCGGGATGGCGTGAGGGCCATAGACTAGGGTTTCAACATTGCGCTCCCGGCTCTAAACTCCGGAAGCTCGATGTTCTGCAAACTGCACATTCTGAGACGGAAGCCAAGCACTGAGAGGACATGTCGGGAACATGGTCGTGTGGCTTTGACTTCCGATGCTGCAATAGGATATATGTGCCTGGAGCCGAAACCCTTCTGCCTACCTCCCAAACCAAAGCTCCAAGACAGGACTATGCCGAAGACCCAACCCGAACCTCAAAGCGAGACGCAGAACCTGACTTCCAAGTGAAGGCCCAGGAAAGCCCCAAACCCTCGCCCAAAGGCCACCAAGGCCACGAAGCCCCCGAGGTTCGGCGAGCTGCTAAGCAGGCCCTTCGGTCTTTGCGGCAGCACGGCCTCTCAGCACCCCGGGAGGCGATACTTGTCGGCAGTGCTTGGTGTTGGCTGCTTTCTTTTCCAGGATTTCTCAGCAAATGTGGTGTTTTCGCCCTTCTACCACCAACTGCCAAGTTCTGAGTGCGCACCCTTCAATCCTACAGTCCGAGCGTGAAAAGACCGCGATAGGGATTCTTGGGTTCTGTTGAATCTCGAGGGCTTTCATAGTTCGAGGTATGAAAGGAGCCTAGAGCTCTAAGAGACCATGGAAAACTCATAAATACTCCCCAGCCCGGACATTAACACCTCAATGGATGGTGAGGCTTGCTGTCGATCAGGCCTCTCCTCCGATACTCCTAAGCCCTGACAAAGAAGACAGGGATTTTAATTACCTGGCCAGGACACAACGACAGTGGCCTTGCGCCGTCCTCCGAACGAGAAGCGAGCCCAGGTGACAGGAGCCAGATGCCAGGGTTGCTTCCCACACTACGGTGTAGTGCAATTAATTCTTGTACGCGGGGCAAGAGGTTCGGAGTTTTGGCTAGTGTTATCATTATCATTATATACTACCATTCTTGACTCTTCTCTTAGTATAGTTATTAGCATTGCTGGTATTGCGAGGATCTTCCTTGCGTTCTTCCTGCACGAGCCGTGAGGAGCCCCACGCCTGGAAGAGGCCGTCCTCCGCGAGGAGCCCCACGAGGAGCTCCTGAGCGAGGAGTGGACGGGACCGAAGGCCCCCAAAAAAGGGCAGCGGTGGGGTTTGGGGGGGGAGCCGGGGTTTAGGGATGTGGGGTGTTTGAGTTTGGTAAGGGACATGCAAGTTGAAGGAGCCGAGAGGCAGGACCAAAGAAGAAAGAGAGGAAGGGAAGAGACAGAGAGAGACAGATAGAGACAAAGAGACGTGCGAGGGCTGCTCTTCAGCAGCTGGCGCTGCACCTCCCGCTGCTGATGCTTATGCTTGTGCAAGCGTTTTCGCTGTTGCTGGTGCTACTATGTGCTACTGATGATCATGTTCTTTGGTCAGTGCCATTGGTCTGATGATTCTCGTGTCCATCGCATGTAGTTGCCGCTAATGTTGCTGCCAGTCCATTAATCTCTGCTGTGTGATGTGGGATGATCGGCAGCCCAGGCAGAATCACCAAGGGCTTTCACACAGATCACAAGATGTCGAATGTTAGGAACTTCTGGCACTCGAGATGGTTCCCTGCTTCCCCAGCAGTTTTCGACGGAGTGGTTTTGGACATTTCTGTTCCCAGTTGAAAAAAGTCTACGGGTCGCAAAAGGCTGGGCACATGCCTGCGCACCTCGCATTTTCTCTCATTCTCTCCCTCTCTTCCTTGTCCAGGTTTGCTTTGACATAAACGGGCAGCTGCTGGACATGTGCCTGGAGAAGGAGGCGCCCGCTGATTCTTGCAATGCCTTTGAGGATATTCAAGCCAAGACGGAATGGGGAAGGTACTTCCCTCTTCTTGTGTCGTGCAAGTCATTTCAGACGGGAGGCTGTGACGCCCGGGGAGGTGGCCGAGATCTGGGAGAGGCACGTGATGGCGCTGCCGCGATTGGTGCGTAGCCGTAGTCGCTGGTGGAGGAGGAAGAAGGACTAGCTAGGTAGTGCTTAGTGAAGGAGTATGAGCGAGCCATAGCGGTGATCATTGATTATAGGGATCCGTTGGCTTTGGCACTCTCTGTGGCACTCTGGTTCTGTCGTTGGGGTCTGTGGCGTAGAGCTTCCCGCTGTCATTTCGACTGCTGTAAGTTTTCTTGTACAATTTTCCTGCACCAGTCAACTTAATTCTGGTCAAGCCGAGTTTTTGTTGTTGGTCTGATTGCTCGTAAGTTCCACGGTGTGGCTGTTAGGGGAAATCGGGCGGTACGATCGAGTTGGTGAGCTGAATTTCGCGCTCAGCATGTCAAGAGCCAAGCTCGGAGTTGCTAGGTCTTCAAGGCTTACCTGGGGTTTTGCGAAGGGCCCCGTCCAGCTCGCTAACAGGGCAGAGACAAGGCAGGCGCCTTTCCCCAAGCCGCAAACCCTCATCACTCGAGCCCGACCCTGAACCCTGAATGCTTTGTCAACTTTGCCCCCCCAACCCTCAGCCCAGCATCCTGGGCAATGGCTCCTCGCACGCTGCACGGGCTGCTTCCGGCGCTGGGTGTGCTCTGGACCGGAGGAGCCTCAGAACAAGTGATGGAGGGCCGACGGCTAGGGAAGTTATCCCAAGTAGGGACTGGGTCGAAACAAATGACCAGCGTGGTAGTCGTAGTTGCTATCAACCCACCAGCAACCCACCATTGCTGGTAATGACGATGGCGGCGATGGTGACGGACGACGACGACGATTAGGATAACGGATAGTGGATGATGGATGATGATGATGATGCTGATGATGATGATGATGATGATGATGCATGACGCCCATATGCGGCATCCGTGCCACGACATCTTTGATTGGCCGGCTCTTAATTTTCTCTACCGCGTTGGAAGAAGATGATGGTTACGTTGATGATGATGGTGGCGATGATGTGGTGGCGATGTTCTGGTGACGCTGGTGGTCATGGTAAGAACCGGATCGTCACGATGATGATCACACCAAAGTGTTGGGGAGGAGGTCAGAACAACGGTTTCCCTGCAGCATAGGCAAAGAGGCCCTCCGCCCAGCCGCCCCCTGCATAAAAACAAGCGAGGTTAGCAGAAAGAAAGGAGCAGCAGCATAAAGACAAGCCAGGTTCAGCAGAACAAGGAAACCCCAGCAGAAAAGAAATCCAGTTGCGGCATCAACATAGGATTGGTTCCCAGCAACGACCCTCGCCGAGGCTTTTTGTTCTGTCAACCGAAGGCATCCCTGCCCACGGTCGCGCGGAGGCCGATGTCCACGGTTTGTGTGTGGAGTACCTAAGAATCCAGGGGGTTTAGACCTCGAACTTTGAAGATGAGGGTTCAGACCTGCCACGACGAGCTGTGAGATCAGGGAGGTGCTGCGGTCACCGCCTCTAAGTGCTGCAGTGGCGATACTCAAGGCCGTCTGAGGCTCTCCCCCTCCGGCCATCTCCGTCCCTCCTCCAAAGAAGGACGCCTTGGTCGGGGAGACTGCGGCCGAGACGGCACTGCAACGCAGAGTTCTCCGAGGAGGAGGCCGAAGATGAGGTGCCGCCGGGCGGCGGTGCCTTGGCGGGAGGCCTTTGTTGGTGCCTTTGTTTCTTTTCGGTGCGAAGGGGCGGACCTGCTTGGAAGAAGGAGGGTTTGGGTGGGGTTTGTTGGGCCCTAGGATCTCGGTCACGTTTTGTGGAACTTTGATCATCCTAACTACTTGCAAACTGAGCACCTGGTATACCGATCTCCTTCCGGATGCGTTTCGCTCATGTGCCTCATATTCTGAAGCCCAGTATCTTACAGCACATACTGCACGACACCTACTGGTTGTGGATCCAACAAAAATCCTGCAACAGCGACTTTAAAGGTGGGTGCGGTCTAGGGTTGACATGGCTCTCAGGAATCTCATTCTTATTCAGCTTCAGGGGCTGCTCCTCATGGTTCAGTTCGAGTGCTGTGCCCTCTCGAGTGGTCAGCGGAATGTTTGTAGACTGTGAGGGCCTCTCACCGGAAGCCTTGGTCCATAACTTCAAGGGTTTCTCTTGTCTGGACAGCTGGACATGCACAGCCTGAAGCTTCAACGAACCGCTTGGAGCCATGTGATGCACCCGAAGCTGCGAAGGTTAAGGCCTCAAAGACCACTCGAAAGCCTAGGCATTTCTTGGTTGCCCCCGCTGAACGTTTCAGCGCCGGATGAGACAGCGGAGGGCCGTGTTCTGCCCTTGTTTCCTCTGGGAGGCGTGTTGGCGAACTCTGAGTCTGCATTTGCATTGCCAGCATAGGAATATATCTGAATAGCGGTGTTTCCATGCATGAGCATGGTCGCACTTGCGCATGCACTGCTTTGCTCTGCGTGCCATTCTGCTATACTTTGGCTCTGGGCAGACTCGATTCCACTACGGTCGTACATGGCATTGCGCATCTGACATTGTTAGTTACCTTACGTTGGCACCACACTGTATCACGCAACGTAGTACGTTGCATTGTTTTACGATACAGTTTCATTCGACTGCGCTAAGCTCTCTGGGCTATTTTCATGTGACATGTTGTCTTGTCAGTGTATGCTTCATGCACACCTTCTTGTTCGGATATGTTCGGATCATATTCAAAACGACTGGAGGTTATCTATTTGCTTCTGTCTTGTCGGCTACGTTTTCGTTCAGTGATGCATGCACAATCCTTCCGTATCTCTACAGGGATGCATCGATGATGCAGCTTTTCATGGGATTGCTTGGGACATTCTGCGGATGCATCAGCGGCTGCAATTTCTAAGTATCCGGATGGAGGTAGCTTTGAAGGTCCATGGTAGACAGAGGCTTCTGAGGTTTACAGAAGGCATGCAGCCCTTCCCAGAGTGTGCAGGGAGCAGCAACTTTCTCCAAGCCTCCGCCGGCAAAGGATATCAAAAGGAAGACATCAGCAAAATCAGGACCCTCCGAAGTTCCCCGGTGAACCTCAAATCACCCGAATCCTTCTACCGGTGAGTCGATCTTCCAGGTGCCTACTTCCCCTTTGCGCAGCCGGAGCTGAGCATCTTTGAACCGAGGCAGCTCCGCCTCGTCTAGGAGAGCAGATTCTTCATAGATTCATAGATACAAACAAAACTATACATGACTGGATCAGATGTGTGTATGCTAGTAGTTTCCAGTAGATACATACCCTCACGTTTATCAGTATAGCATATTGTCTATAGCAATGTGCCAGAACATGCCACAGTTAATCCAGTTAATCTGATAGTATGGTAATGTCAAGGTATAGGGACAACCAGCAGCACAACATAGTACGGTGGCATTAGAGAGCATGATATAACACTGTAACACCAAGTATATGGATAGGTTGCAGTCCGTAATCTTGCATGACCATATGGTGCAACAACCGTTGGCGCGGTGCAGTGGCAGTCTTTCTGTGTTTCGCTGTGCACATCGAAGTAGCTCTGAGTTTCCCTTGCAAGGTATCGGCAGCTCTACAACGACATCCTGGTCTCTGGTGGCCGGAGCTTCGTGGCTGCTGGGCATGATTCGACAAGCAGGTTTGGATAAAGGGTCGTGGTCCAATCTACTTTTACAGCCACCACCTCAATGGCATTGTCGGATGAGGAGGTGTTTGTTGTGGCAGGGTTTGAATAAATCTCCATTTGGTCGCCACCACTTGGGATCTGACAGGTTGTAGCCCCGTCACCGGAGGACGAGAACGTTTTCGCGGAGGCATCCAAGCTCTCAAAGAAAAGGTCTGTTGTTGCGAGTGAGAGCTTCGACAAGGGAAAGATGTAGGATCAGCCAGGGACCCCCCGCACAGGTCGGCGTTGTCTTCTATCTGGATGATCTGACAGATGTGTCCGAAGAGTCTGAGGATGCAGTTAAGTACGCCTGCGCCTTAGATCTAAGTTCGTGTGCCCTCGGCCTGGATCCTTGTTCAGCTCTCAGCCTGTAAGCACTCTGGCACCAGGGGTGGAACTTCTGCAACTGTTTCGGAAGAGAAAAGTGTTGGGTGGGAACCCAGATCTGCAACCACCGCATCCTGGGCCGCGTTCGCATCCTCCGCGTCCTGAACCCGGGTGCCTGGGAGGACGGGTTCCGGTGTGTGTCCTCGGGTCTACAAATTTCGGTGCTATCGTCGGGAGTGGCTGCTCGGACTTCGAGGTTTCGTTTCTCGCAAGTGGGGTCTTGACTCGGGGCTTCTGCGTTTGCAGGGGGGACTCTCTCGCATCATGAGGCGTTGCAGTTTGCGTGAACTCGCTCTGGGCCGCGATGGCGTTAGCACTCTGGGATGAGCTGTGGAGGTTTTGGTATACGACTTTTTGCTGCCCGGCAATCCGAAGGCTAAACTTCGAACTCCCGGCCTGGAACCCCGGTGACTCACAGGACCAGTCAACCTACCTCGTGGCAGAGGTTGAAGACTTCAAGGACGTACCTGGGCTGCAGCCGGTTGCAGCCTTCTAGACCGCATCAATGCTCGAAGTCTTAATGTTGGTGCATGCTTCAGTATGACAGCCCTCCCACACTCTGCTTTTGTTGCGTTTTTTGGCATGCACAGGAGCCTGCTACACCCGCGACCCCAAACCCGACGAAGCCTTGAAAGTCAAAGGTGGAGCTCGCGTCCGACACCAGTACAGCAGCCAAACAGGTGCCTCTTACATGTGAGATCGGAGTGCCGCTTGTTCAGAGCTTGTGGTCTCTTGCTGGGCTTGAGGGTGTGCTGCCCTGAACTGGTCTTCACCAATATCAGAGAAGTTTGAATCTTTTGGCACTGTGTGTCCAGCCCCCCCAGGTCTACGCTTGAAGACTAGCTCTCGGCTTCTTTAGGTTTTGCGCGCCCGTTTTAATTTTTGTACGAGCTTCAGGGTGTCTTCACCCGCCGATGTTCACCGTGTTCAAGAGGGCACAGCGTCACAGTCGCGAAGGTGAAATCTTGAAATCCGAAGCCCGACACCTCAAACTCCTCATTCTAGTTGTTGCTTTTATGGTACTTGTTCGCGTTTAGATGTCTCTTACTCTTCTTGCTGCTATCGCCGGTGCCGTTGTGACAACGACTACCGCCATCGTAATCATGAATGCGAGCATCAGCCTGATTAGGACTGTTCCTATGGCACTATCGTTTCAACTTGTGTGCCTATGGTTACAAGACACCGAAACCCAGGACCTCAAGCCTGGGTGCCTGGGTTCTCAGGCGGAGGTGATGTCGGCTTTGAGTCGCGTGGCGCAGCGGCAGGAGGAGTCCTAAACACTCTGTTGCTGAGGAAGGTTTCCAGCTCTTTGGTTTAGGTCTGGGTTCCCAGCAGGGATTTGAAAGTTTTGTGTGTTTCAGGTTAATGCTTCAAGAGGGGTTTCCGAATCAAGCTTCGAAGCCTTGCTTTTCCACTTAGTTCAGCTGATAAATCGTTGAGCCTGTTTAGACACACAGGAATAGTTATGTATCTACGGACATAAACAAGACATGTACACATGTGTATGTATGTACGTTCTAAGGTATGTATGCATGCATGTATGTACATTTGTGAAGTCGAGTCTATTTTGCCAGAAGCTGCTAACAGTTGCTATGCTTAGCTCGGACTTGCTTTGGCCGTTGGCTGTCTAGAGCCTCCAAGCTTCCGCGCGAAGCCCGGAGTACTTTCAAAGCCTAAAAAGCCCTGTGTCCAGAGCCTTGGCGAGGAGGGTGGCGGCCCGCACTTTGAAAGCCACATCTCTGCCCTGCAGCCGCATGAAAGCTATACTTTGGTAATTGTGGCTGTGACTTCAGACGTTCTTGGCCATTCAGTTCAAAGGGTCCAAGATTCGGGTTGTACGCACCTTCTTTTCGTGACGGACTGGTTTGGATGATGGCCCAAAAAGAGTCTTGTTTCAAGTCCTCGACCGAACCTTTCTTAGGACTACGCCAACGCCTCGTGCGCGCAAGAGGGCGGCCTCTGGACGTTGGCCGACGTCTTCGCCGAGTTCGGCCCTCAGCTAACATTGGGCTTCGGTTGGCAGGGGAAGTCGGCATGGGCTGTGGCCTGCTGAGGTACTACGAATATTTGCTGTCTGAGAAGGAGCAGACCTTGGACTTCGAGATGGAGCAGGCAGGTCTTGGCCTGAACACCTCGGACTCCCCAAGATTCGGCAGTGTTCTGTCGTGAAGCAGAAGTATCGGTATCGAGGTAACCATGAGTTAACAATCAATACTTGTCCTCACGCGGGTCAGCTATGCAGTCCTGGCTGAAACCCTAACCGAGACCAGTCACGGCAGGTGTACGAGCGGTACAGCCTGGAGGTGGGCTCGCGTGTACAGGGTAGACTGGGTAGGCTGGAAACACGGTCGGAACCAAGACAAGAACCCGTGCTGTCACGACGTTGTCGTCTGTGAAGGGTTCCAGACCTCGGGGTCCTTGAGCCAGCCTGAAGAGAGCATCGCCGGAGGAAGGCGAAGATCGCCAGACCTACAGTGTGAAGCCCGGGCAAGTGTCGCGTTGGGGTTACAGGTTGGCAAGCTTGGGCTGTCAGGTGCCTCCAGCATTGCAGTGTGAACTCGGGTTATTCGGTGCCAGGATATCGCGCGTTTCTGAGCAGCACTTCAGGTTTGGCAAGCGAGGACGACGATGACGACGACGACTTCGAGTATGAGGACCTGCAGCTTCGCTTTCAGGGGCTGCGGGTGGATGTTTCGGATTCAGCGATGCAGGTCTCGCAACTGTGACCTCTAAGCTCTCTTGTCGGGCGCTCTGAATGTGAAGCTTGCGTCGAGGAGATAGACATCATGGAGCTTCCTGGCCCCGCACGCCTGGAGATCACAAGGTGGCAGACGGAGTAGCAAATTGACATGCAGTCCCACAGCAGCACTGACCTTAGACCTACAAGTGTGGGCTTTTCCTTCCGCATCAAGTTCTGATCCCCCGCTCAGCCGGCATTTGGAGGTTGCAGAACCAGTACGAAGAGGAGGCGCTGAGAGAGTTTACGTTTTGGGCCCCTCCTGGTAGGCTACGAGGTCTCCGTCGGACTGATTTTGCCTGTTTCTTGTGTGCACCACGGCAGGGAGAAATACATAGAAATACGACATTCCACACATTACCTGTGCAACTCCCTCCACTGGGGTGTTTCAACTTTCAGTTGATCGCTGGACTGCGAGGCAGCTTTGCTAAATGCCGACCTCATGCACTTTGCCGGGGCCCAACAACGTGGTTCTCTGCAGGTGGACTCGCCTCCTTGAATCGATGTGTCCAGACAGTGCAAGATATGGAATTGTGCTATAAGCTGTTGCCAGTGTCAGTAGGTGTGGTAGCATAGTAGCAGTGGAAGTCAGGCTATTATCCAGGATGCAAGGACCTTCGGGTTTTCGCCCTGCTTTCCCGAGGGACATCTCCACTGCAAGCGCTGAAGAGAGAGAGAGAGAGAGAGAGAGAGAGAGAGAGAGAGAGTTGTCACTCTCGTCCTACTATCTGGATGGCGGTAGGCAAACACGTACTTTTGGCCTGAATGGAGTTCCGTCGCCTAGTGAAGAGTCTTGGTCAAGAAGACCGAGGCGAGCCGAGGGTGTGCATGTCTCCACTCTTGCCGCCCGCAACTGTCGGGGGCGCACTAGCGCGCGGCGTAGGGGGACTTTCCCCTACGCCATAGCCCTGGCGAAAGAAAGAGAGAGAGAGAGAGAGAGAGTCTTGTCGGATCGGCTTTTGTCTCCGGCAAAGTTGTCCGGCTCCCAGACCTTTCTTGCGGCCCGAATGTTTGACCTAGGTGCACTCCATGCTGCAGTCCACCTCGCATCGACAGCGGCTGGACACTAGGGCTTGGCTTTACGGCTTCTAGATGCTGGGTCCTTGCGTTCTATTGGCATCTCGACTCGGCTACTGGGACGCAGAGGCTTATGTAGATTTGCCACCTCCGACTGGCCTTGATGCGTGTTTTCCAGGGTTTAAGTTTAGCGTGTTGAGGGTGATGACGGGAAGACAGATGCCAGGTGGGTTTTGGAAGACCAAGAGAGCCCCGTCATGTACATGCATCTACCTGACTCTATCCCCGACGGGCTTGAAGCGCTGTAGGCGCAAGACCCGGTCCCGACGTTGTTCGCCCTCGCAGGAGATCATGCAGGAGGCGCTTCTCCTGGAGGTTGGGGAATGAAAGCTCTTGACCTTTCCGAAGCCCGAAATCCTCCAATCCTCACTTGGAGCCGGTTCGTCCAGCTGTAAAAAAGCAAAGGCAGAGAAGCAGGTGCAGGGTCAGTAGACTGTTTCGGGATGTCTCAGGATGTCTAGGTAGGTCCATGTCCTGGGCAGGCGGGGGTGTGAGCATGCAGGGCACGCCACAGGGTTTTCGAGACCCTCAGCAAAAAATCAGTACAAACCAAGCGCCAGTGGCTTGCGCTGTGTCCTTCCTTCATTCCTGGAATGCCCCCCACGCCTGGACAATCCAGATCCACAGCCACCAAGCCCAGCAAGCTTGGGGGATGAGGAGAGGCGATTGGCAGCAAGGAAGGCCTTGGAGGAGGCCTGGGTTGGGGAGGGCCTTGTCTTTGGGGTGGCTTCGTTCAGACTCAGGGGTTCAGGCTTCGGGAGCCGGCTTGGGACCTCGGATTGTAAGCTTGGAGATTTCAAGTCTTTTAGGGTGGGGGGGGGGTGGCTGTGATTTTCGTTGAGGCCTCTGGGTGGACGGTTTCCAGCGTTTCGGACGGCTTTGTTTGGAGTCCAATGTGGAGGCCTTCATGGACAGGCCTCAGATCATCGAAGCATGTCGCGGTGTTTCATCCAGGTTTGCTCTTAGTTCCGGGTTCGGAGCAGCTGCCAAGAAGAGTGACTGCAACGCGCAGCCTGTTTTTAGACTACGGTTTGACATGAGAAGCCAGGAAAACAAGATTCACATGTCGCTCAATCTTGCCAATTCAGAGTGGACGCTCACACTAAACCCGAAGATCTCACTCCACTTGATGCCCTGGACCAAATTCCGCACGATCACCACCAGGTGATGTATTCGGGTGATTAGCTCCGGAAGAGCACCGGCCTACCTCCTCCCGACGACGCATACCGACGAACTCGGAGGACGCTCCTATGAGCTGTGAGGGTGGTGCATTGCTATCATCGCCATCAGCTCCGTATCAAAGTCATCGTCATTATCATCATCATTCTCATCACCACCAGCATCATCGTCATCATCATTAAAATCATGACCGCAACCGGGCAACAGGCGAAGTTGCCTCCTGCCAGCACAAGAACGGCGCTTATGGCCAGTGGGAACTACTTAGGAGAACAGGTTGGCGCAACATTGTACTGGCAGCCACTCTTCGCGATGGCATTTGCCAACCCCGATTGTTGACTGCGATCCACGCGAATCCGTGCAGGGCGGTGTACATCCCCTGAGCGAGCTCCCCCTTGAGGGAAACTGCAAAGTGAAAAGCACTCTCGCTCCACTCATTTGTTCCGTGACTCGCCTCGACGGCTGAAGCCTGAGCAATGAGTTTGGTTTGGACAGCCCCTCAAACAGACCGTGAGTCGGGGTGTTGTCTAGGGCGGCCTCAAGACCATCTACAACACGACGCGCATGCTGGAGCTTTGGGGCTTTCAACTCTGCGTCCGTGCCAGGATCGCTCTCGATCATCATCATCATCAGCATCATCATCATCATCATCATCAGCGTATTAATAGTTCCTGCTGTGCATGTCTTATGTTCCTCTTTCTCTCTTCGTCGTCCAGGCGAAGGAGGCGAACTGTCAGGGACGAAGATCTGCCTGGAGCAACTGCTGAGTGGCCTCTGACCGGAATCCGCAGCCCCAAAGCCCGAAAACCTGAGTCCTACAGCTGATCAAGCCTAAAGCCTGAGCCTTGTCGCCGCTCCTTGAGCGTTTCGGGTTGAAGGGCACCGGGTCGCGAGCGCTGATGCCAGAGAGCTTTAGCCGCTTAGCCATGAGCCTGCGAGACATGTTCTGCAGCTTCCGTCGTGCAGGGCTTCCGGCGCGCTTCGGTGGTGAAACAGTCCAGAGCTAGCTGCTCTCTACTGTGCGCAGCGATCATTCCTGTGCCGATGCAGTTTGTTCGGCCAGCTGCAGGCAATGGAATCTCCACTACGCCGGCCGAATCCGCTTCATAGTGAAGGATGCGGACGGCGACAGCAGGTGCCGAAGTAGACTTGCAAATCTTCGTTGGTTGGACGTCTGCTGCTCTTGGTTGAGCCTTGCAGTCGGGCTTCTTCCTGTTTGCCACCGTTGCAGGTGTCTTCGCCCGCATTTGGATCCTGTGCCCCTTACCCCTGCCGTCGTGGTGTTGGAGGCACTCTATGGGTGTTGCATCTCTCAGGGGCGCGGACGTTTTGATCACAATCGACATGAGTGTCATGCTTTCAAGCCCCTCTGCCAATGGTACATCCCGGATGGAGTTTGATTTTTTCACATGCTAAGGCTCGGTACAGGCACAGGCCGGAGGTTCAAGGATGTGGTTACGGCGTTGAGACTTTCGGCCCCTGTTTGAAGCATCCGGGTTTCGTGGCAGGCGAGCGTCGGAAGCGTCCTACAGCCGTTGGCAGGACGGGAGTCGGAGGTTAGAAGGGGGAGGTGCGTAGAAAATGTTCTTCCGGAAAGGACAGGCCCCTCAGGCCTCATGGCCCGCCTTATCTTTTCGGGCTTAGTGTTCTTCAACTTTCAGGCTACGTCTTCTTACCTTCGGTGGTCCTTTGTAGAACCTGTCCCTGGGGTCAGAGCTGCTGAGGTCCCGGGTCGTTTCGGGCTTTTGGGATTGTGGACTGTATTGGTCATGATCGGTCCTTTCTGCATCTTCTCGGCTTGGAGTGTTTTGTTTGACTTTGGGATTCAGGCGGGAACTGAAACCTCGAGCGCCCACCTGCCAACTAAAACCAGTTGAACCATCTCTAATCCATTGCGATGTACTGCAGTATGTTGCCGGACGGCCGCAATTCTTACCATCTGGGGGTTTCATACCCCCATGTCAGAGAAGAGGCGGTTGTCACGGCAAGCTCTGACAATCCTCACATAGACATTGTGCATGCACCATGTGATAAAGTGCCCAAAGTATTCGTGTTTGCCCGTAGATAGCAAGCTGCCGACAAATTTAATCAAAGCTGTGACGGGTGGCAGAATGTCGGCCGTTGCACTTCAGAGGTGTTCTGAGAGAACACGGCCACCTCCCGCCGGCCAAGGTCAAAGCGTCGGATGCCTTTTCTAATTCCAGGTCGAAGTCAGTCCCCATAGATTCATAGCAGGCAAAGGCGTAACATCCAAGAAGTCTCGGGGCGGTTGAGCTTTCAGTCTTAGGGTCAGGCGCCAGGGCCGATCGAGATTCCTATCTTGGTACGTTGGTTCCGGGATGGGGAGCTTTTCACGATCTTTATTCCAAGCTCGTTCCCAAGAGTTGACTTTGAAGCAAGCAGAAGAGATGTGAAGCTGGCACTTTCAGCCCGGAGTCTTCAGCTCGCACTTTGGATGCAGTGCAGGTGGAGAAGCGTCTGCGTGAGGAGGTGGAGGAGCTGTTGAAGGAGGCAAGTGAACTTGTGACTGGGCGCTGTATGCAGGGGGTTGGGCAGATCAGACTGGGTGCGGAAGATGAGGCTCATCAGCATGCTTCGTGTTCGAGCGCAGGTCTTGCTTCGATCAGGTGTCATCCGTCGTGCGTAGAACTTGCATTCGTAAGTCCATGTCTTTGTCGGTCTGCTGGGATGGCCAGCGAACTCTGAAGACCCAAACTCCTGCACCTCCAACACTTTCGGACCTAAGATCCCAAGCAACGAGCAACCGCTTCCCTCCGCCCGGTAAGGCAGAGGCCCGAAAGGCGCGGCGGACAGGGGGTGAGCTGGATCTGAGGTCAGGAGGTTACAGTTCCTGGGAGCCTAGTGAGAGGGCCGAGACCGTTGTGCCCGGTGCAGCCGAAGCCTCCGATTTCTCTGAAGGGAGGCCCAGTATGCGCAAGGCTTCTCTAGTGACTCTAGTGTGTTGCAGGAGGGCCGCTACTACCGACCCCGCCAGACTGGTGTGACAGCGACTTACGGGCGGTCGGGAAGGGGTTTCTTCCTGGAGTCTCTGGGTTTCACGGCTCATTTGAAGCTGCAGCTCCCTGGGCTTGTGGGTTTGGCGGCTTTCCAGGTCTTAGCAGTCGCAGTCGAGTCCATGAATTCCTCAAGGTCAACAGAACGACCCTGGCGGGAGATTCCCCTGTGCCGTCTACTGAGCATGTGAATGAATTTGGAGGGTTGCAAAGGTCTGGACGTGCAAGGCTCTACACTATCACAGAAAGGCTGCAACATTGTCCGTTGGCTGGCAGCATCGCTCGCTGCTCAGTGTTGATATGTTGATCGTAAACCAGGATGAGTATGTCAACCTGAGTGATGGCCATCACCATGATCATCTTCGTCTTCGTCTTTGCCATTCCAAGAGAGACACTAGGCCGGCAGGCCCAACACCCTCAAGCCGCAAAGGCAGGGCAAAGTACAATGAATCCATTGAGCTAGGGTTGGGATAGAACAGCACTCAACTCTGACACTTTCCAGCCTATCAGGCCCAAACTCCTGGGGTTTGTGGCTTTGGTTAGCGCTGTTGCCAGTGTGTCTCCCAGGCTTGAGCGATGCGACCCTGCCAGCATCTCAGCCCGGAGGCATGCTGCAAGTACGTGCATCCAGGATCTGATGACGCCCTCCTGCACTGTAACTACGCAGCGAAAGCATGGATGGTTTATTGCAGAGCATTTGCGGTCTCGTTTCGATGCTCAGGTCAGGCATGAAGTTCAAGCGAAGAGACAGCGGCGCAGGGAGAAAATTTCGAGAGCAAAACATTGGTCTGCATAAGTGTGGACATGAGCTCAATCGAAGTTGATTTGTTGTTCAGGACTGTGTGAGGCTTCACCCGGGCCTCCTGCTTTCCTTCAAAGTTTCAGTTTCAGCATACAGTCGACTACGGGCGCAACGATGTTTGCTTCGAGCCTTAGCTGCTGTGAGCCAAGCCGCGTTGTAGTTGACAAAGTGTTTACATCTTCCAAGGGGCTCTAGCCCCAGTGCAGCTTGCTTCTACGAAGGCTGAGAAGCAAACTTAAACAGTAAAGTTTTTGCTGACTAGACTCTAAACCCAAGCTCCTCTTGGGGGAGTGCGTGGGAAGCCGCAACTTGACTCTGTGATACGCCCAGCACCCCAAGCCTAAGCGCGAACATGATCACTGCTGAAATCCCAAGTCTTTCGATAGCAGATAGCAGACATGGCATATGATATATCCGAAGCCAAAGACCAAGCCAGAATCTCCGTGCTGATCCGTCTCGGCTTTCAAGGGTCCGAGCTCCATGGGCTGCGTAATTGCAGAGCATCAAGTCAGTACTGTGCACCATCAAATGGCTGAACCTAAATACTAAAGAGGAGCGGCTTAGGGCTTCGGGCTTGGGGCTTAGGCTTTACGATGCAATCAGCGGAAGGATTGTAGATATCGGTAAGCTGGATACGGCCCTTGCGCCTGCGATCATGCTCTCGGTCCTTTTTGGCCGGATTTGATGCACTCAGCGCCCCACTTCGCTGAAGCATTCTCAGCCAGAGCCTGCAACACAAAGCGTCCAAGTTCTTGATTCCCAACCAAGCCGGAGAACCCAACCACAAAACCAGATGCTTCTGGTCAGCCATGGTAGCCCGTCTTGGGTTGCCCCGCCTGGGCCGTACCACGCCTCGCAGAGGAGTGAACCGCTATAGTTTCAGGATTCGTCGACCTGATGGGAGCAACCGTGATGATGGAGAGGATGCTGAAGACGGATGATGATTATGATGATGATTATGACGATGCTGATGATGGCGACAGCAAGAAGACAGCGACGATGCGGCAGTCATGTGATGCTCAGCATCATGGTCATGATGATGAATGACGATGCTGATGATGGTTCGACAAGATCATCCATGATCTTTCTGGTCGCAGCAGGCTATGTGGACTCGTCGTCGGTCACTTTACCTGAGATGTCACTGAACCCCTTGGGATCGCGACAGCCAGATGTGTCGCAAGTTGTTCAAGCGAACTTAGAGTATCTTTCGCTTGACTTGATGCAAGGACGAAGAGCATGCCGTTTCAGGGTGTATAAGGACCTGACAAGCCAGCTCTAACTCTTGACCGACGATCGACACGATTGAACTTTTTGTATCTCTGTTCCCCTTGCGCAATCCTCTTCGAGCTCCGAAGCCTGCAGTTGCAGGACTCGTCGGCGTGCAGGTGCACATTGTGCTGGTTTTGAGGATTTCTGCCTTTAGCGTCGGAGTTTTTTTTCTTTCCCTCCAGCTCCCGTTTGTGAATTGACAGCCCAGGACTGGTGGATGAATTTGGTGTTGAGGGTCTCAACTTGCGTGCAGTTCGGAGTGGTTCGGAGTGCATGATGAGAAGCTAGGCCAGCTAGTGAATGGCACCAAGCAAACTGCAACTCGAAGCGCTGAATGAATCCACTCCTGAGTGGAGGTGAGGCCACCGGGAGGAGGTCCGTGCCCCAGAGAGACCATGGCTTAGGATTTCGGTTCGGGCTTCGTTGATTGAGTTCAAGCTTCAGGGCTCAGAGATGCCAAGAGTGTGAGGTTCGGCGATCACTCTCTCAGGCATCAAGGTGGGTAGCGGCTCATGCTTTTGTGGCCCAGGGTTCAACTCGCCTTGCTGTCTCCCTTACCATCAGTTGCAGCTAAAAAACGCTTCTATGGGACATTGTGATGCTGAAGCCCAAGCATGATTTGCACCTATTTCAAATTCCCAGCCGTACTCGACGGCTTTTTCGCGACACAGGACTGACGGGAATTCCCGTCTAATCGCCAAGCCTCAGGAACTACGTCCCGGACCCGTCGGGTCGGCTCTTTTCTGTCGCGATGAGGTCGCTTAGCTCCTCTCCTGCGCTGCTCTGTGGGGCTTTTGCCTGCCTGGCGCTTGGAAGCTTGAAGCTAGGCATTCGATTTGGGTATCGCTGAATTATCGCCGTTGTCCTCAAATTGACCAGCACTGGCGGCGGCAGCAGCGGCGGCTGTGGTGGCGGTCGTAGTGGTAGAAGTAGTAGAAGGTCGCAGTAGAAGCCGAAGCAGTTGTAGAAGTAGAAGCGGCAGCAGCAGCAGGAGTAGTAGTAGTAGTCGTCGTCGTCGTAGTGCAATCCGAGCCCGAGTCCTGGTCGGAGTTGTAGTAGGAGTTGGCTGCCTTCTGTGTTGCCAAGGTCTCCAAGGACAGAGCCGCTTGAGGAGAACGGTCTTCCCGGCCCGTTGGCTTGGGTGCAAGCGGGGAATCTGGGGATCGTTACAGACTTACAGACCATGAGTTCGCAGGTCCTTTGAGGTTGTGGCTCTAGAGTCGTGTCTGCCACATCCAGACACAGTGTTGGCTTGACCAGGCCATCGCGTCATAAGAGGCTCTCGAGTAAAGCTTTTGCGGGTGGATGTGCTGCAGTCCCGGCCTGGAAGTTTCCTTGCTGTCTCGATCTCGATCTCTCCCTCCACCTACACTGAATCTACACGTGGTACAGGGCCAGGCATCGGCGATTTTTACCGGTGTTTAGTCAGGCTTGATCCAGCTGAGCTGACCTGAGTCCAACAGATGGTCAGCGTACGAGCTGAACGTAGTTATCATTACGAGGAATGGGAAAGACTAGGGTACAATGTCTTCACTCTCTACTACTACCTACTACAACCTACTACAACCTACTACAACCTACTACAACCTACTACAACCTACTACTACTACTACTACTACTACTACTACTGCTACTACTACTACTACTACTACTACTCCTGCTGCTGCTGCTACTACTACTACTACTACTACTACTACTACCTCTACTGCCTCTACTACTCTACTACTCTACTACTCTACTACTCTACTACTCTACTACTCTACTACTCTACTACTCTACTACTCTACTACTCTACTACTCTACTACTCTACGACTCTACTACTCTACTACTCTACTACTCTACTACTCTACTACTCTACTACTCTACTACTCTACTACTCTACTACTCTACTACTCTACTACTCTACTACTCTACTACTCTACTACTCTACTACTCTACTACTCTACTACTCTACTACTCTACTACTACTGCTGCTGCTGCTGCTACTACTACTACTCCTACTGCTACTGCTACTTCTACTGCTCTTGCTACTGCTACTGCTACTGCTACTACTACTACTACTACTACTACTACTACTACCACTAATACTACTACTACTACTACTACTACTACTACTACTACTACTACTACTACGACTACGACTACGACTACGACTACGACTACGACTACGACTGCTACTGCTGCTACTAGTACTACTACTACTACTACTACTACTACTACTACTACTACTACTACTACTACTACTACTACTACGACTACGACTACGACTACGACTACGACTACGACTGCTACTGCTGCTACTAGTACTACTACTACTACTACTACTACTACTACTACTACTACTACTACTACTACTACTACTACTACTACTACTGCGACTACGACTGCAACATGACCGTGGGGTATAGATGAGGAGCCTCTGTACAGTGAGCCGAGTCCTCAGGCCATGAATTTCTATCGCCTCAATGCAAGCACTCAGCCCGATGAGAAGAACCAGCATCGCAGCATCGAAGCAAATCTTAAGTTTTAAGAGGCACATCACTCTAGGCCTCTCGGTCTGGGATGCGATTCCCAGCCAGGGCCTCGCAGCAGTCTCTTGGAAATTGAAGCTGAAGGTCTGGAAGGCCCACGGCCAGGGCTCGTGGATTGGCTTGGGCTTGGGGTTTTCGTGGCTCTTGCTGGGTCGTCTTGCTGTGGCTTTGGAGCTGTCGGAGAGTCATTCTCTGCCTCTGCAATGCAGACTTCTTCGGTGCCCTTGCAGGGCCGTGCTGCGTGATGGAGGATTTCGATTCAGGGCTGTGGGTTGCGAGGCTGGGGCTTGTGGCTCTTGCACGGCACTCTACCAGTAGTTGATTTGACCAGTCGACGGGATCTCAGCTTGGCCGTCCATGGCCAGCCTCAGGATGCGACTTTCCAGCTTCCATGAGTTCCCTAAAGTATCTGCGGCTTTGCTTTTGCTTCCTTTCCGATCCTAGTGCTAACCAAGAACCCCCCGAAAAGCCCTCTACCCTAATGTACCCAACGCCCAAACCCTTTTCCCTAAAGATCTACCACCCTAAAGCCCTAAGCCCCAAACCTCGACCCTAATGTAGGAACCTGATTAAGAAAGCCCTGGTCCTATAACCCCCAAAATAGTAGGGCTCATGTAAGGAACCGAAAATGAGGCCCAAGGTTTCTTAGTCAGGTTTCCACATGAAGCTTCCGCTGTTCTCTGTTCTCTCCAGGCTCGGGTGATGCGCTACGTTCACTGGCACTCACGGAGAGCCTTGGAGGCCTCGAGCCGCTAAGAATGCTTTTTGGTAGAAGGGTTTAGGGGGTTTAGGGGTTTAGGGATTTAGGGTTTAGGAGGTTTAGGGTTTAGGGGCTTAGGGGTTTGGGGGTTTTCGGGGGTTTAGGGGTTTAGGGGTTCCGGCGTTTAGGGTTTGGGGGCTTGGGGGTTTAGCGGCTTAGGGGTTTAGGGTTTAGGGTGCTTTGATTTTGAGGGTTTTGTTTCGGTGGCCTACAGTGAACGCGATCTTCTTGTGCTTGCAGAGAGGGGGGTGCCAAGAGACTGAGCCGACTGCACCTCATTGCAGCCCACATGCAGTTCAAGTTCGAGGTCAATGGTTCGGAACACTACAAAAGCACCTCCTTCTTCGAGTCCAGTTTTCGAGCCAGAATCCACACCTAAGATCGAGAGATTAAGCACTCTCTACAAGCACCCCCTATTCAAACGCACGCGGTTCAATCACCAGCGATTCAAACACGCCAGTTGTTTGAGCACCGCCGGTTCAAGCACGAAAGCGGATTACACGACTAGAGGACGTGCAATTGAAGCGCTGGCGATCCAAGAAGCACTCGGCGCTTTAGGGTAAGCTGCAGTGTGGAAGGATTTAAGGCATTGAATGATTTTGGGTTTGTCCGTATCGCCAGGCTTCGGGGTTTAAGGTTTAGAGCTTTGAATTTTTATGTTCAGGCCTTCGGCTTTTCGGGTTTTAGGGTTTGAGGACCGCTGCCTAGGTCGTGTGCAAGAAAACCAGTCAGGAAACAGAGACGATGGCAGAGTGGTTTAGGGTTTAGGGAAACAGAGAGGGTCGAGTCCGAGGTTTTGAGAACTGAGAAAGGGTTACTTCCGAGTCGCCCACGAATGAATCTGTCGCAAGTGCGCGAAGATTCGCCCCATCTAGGCCGTGACTCTTCCAAGCGATCAACTTGAGGCAGAGTTAGTTAGACCCCAAGACTTCGACGCCTCGCATGCGCCCCAAAGTATCCACCTCCTGCATTGCGCCTCAGGGTACGGAGGTCCCGGACTTGGATCTCAATGTACTGCCACCGGTGCTGCCGAAGCGGACGGGTAACAGCCATCCTGCCAGCGTCACGAAGAAGGCGGCCGGGTGTGTGATTGAGGGACCTTTTCTCTCTCGGTTGGATTCAAAAATCCATGCTGCTGTTCGGCGTTTTGGTCGCGTGCAGAGCTCTGTTAATGTGTGCAGTGTTCAGCATTGCATCTGCAAAAGGCAGATGGAATTACTGCAGATCGCTTTGTGGCAATCCCAGCAGGTTGCACGTTGTAAGCAAGCAATAGATCCAACGCAGGACGAGGAATGGGTGGCAGCTCTTTGCTCAAGTCTGGAGAGCTATTTCGGAGTCTTTGCCCCTGACCCCGTGGGCTGCTGCAGAGCTGGCGATGTGCAGGCAGACGTGTGTGCTCACGTTGATGCTGACACTTGCGCTTCAACATGTTCAAGTTGTCCGCAGCACTGGCAATTGGATCAATGAGTTTCACTACGACAACGGAGGTGCTGACGTGGACGAGTTTGTGGAGGTGGTTCTAGACGCTGGAGAAGACCCTGCGGACTGGACCATTGAGCTCTACAATGCAGGTGCTGGTGGCGCAGTCTATCGGACTGATGCCTTGAACACGGGAACCGTGACTCTGTCGCCTGATGGAGGAAGCAACTTTGTTGTGGTGGCCACGACCGGAATACAGAATGGGCCTGATGGTATTGGTCTGCTGAAGCAAGGCACACGCGTCGAGTGCATTGCCTATGAGGGATCCTTGACATCTATGTTGGGCGATTGCCCTGACATTGGTGTTGGAGAGAGTTCTGCAACACCGGTAGGCACGTCCCTACAAAGGACCGACTTCGGGGTGCACTCTGAAGCCCAGCAGCGCAGTTGGAGTTCAGCAGCAGCATCAGAAGGGCAATGGAACAATGCTGTTGGCCAAGCCACCCCCTCACCACCAATTTCATCGACATCAACTACCTCAACCAGTACATCAACCGCAACCACCGCCACCGCCACCACCAACACCGCCACGTCTACAAGCAGTTCATCGACATCAACTACCTCAATCAGTGCATCAGCCACAACCACCACGACCACCGCCACCGCAACCGCCACCGCCACCACCGCCACCGCCACCGCCACCGACACCGCCGCCGTCACGTCCACAAGCAGTGCACCGACACCAACTACCTCAACCAGTGCATCAGAGCCCCGTACTGTGCAACTTGGAGGTGAATTCACTGCCGAAGTTGACAACTGTTCTGATATAGTTGCCCATCCATCGTCCTATGGCACATTCCAGAAAGCAGTCGCGGAGTCCGCAAGTGTTCCTCTCGCATGGGTAACCATCAATATGACGTGCTCTGAGACTGCGAACACGAACAGCAGGCGCCTAGCAATGTACGTGCCAACGACTCTGCATGTTGAGTACACCATCATCATCCCAGCTCCGCAAGTTTCAATTGTCAGCAATTCGTCCACTGATCAGAGCATTGCGGAAGACGTTGCAGCAAGCACAGGAAGTGCTCTGATGACGCTATCAGGCTGGCAAGAAGCTATTGAGACTGCAAAGAGCAGCCTTGGCTACACAAGTTTAGAAATCACAGTCGTGAGCATTGAGGCGGTGACTGTGGAGGTTGGGCAAGCTATGATCGTCGTGCATAAACAAACAACCACGGGTGGCGTGCCGATGGATGAGTCCAATATCTCTCATGAAGGCATCATCGTACTCATTGGTGCCCTCGTTCTCGTTGCTGGTTGCCTCTTCGGCGGTTTGGGCTGGTGCTACGTCTTCTACATGAAAGGCAAGTCGTCGGGTCAGGCGGAAGTTGCTGGGGAAAGAGTACAAGACCCTGATGATGGTGTGCATGCCACTGCAAATCCTGAGCAGAAGTCAGAGACTGACGGTGGCGCGAAGACAGATGACTCTGATTTCAAAGTCTGACGCACCATCTGCATACATCCCTCACTGAAGGTGGGGATTTCTAAGTTTGAAAAATGCAACGCGTTTCGTCAATGCACGAGACGCCCCTGTACAGATTTTCACCCGCTTCTGCTGGGCTCCTGGCTCCGGACCACTTCTTGCAGAGGAAACAAGTTTTTTTCTTCTCATGCGCAACTGCATGCATGCTGCAGTCCAGCCTTGCTTGTAAGATGGAAGTTAGAGTGTAAGTTCGACAGACATGCTGGAAACTGTACAAGGCCGAGGTGCAGGTTGTAGCATTTCTTGTAGGACTTGTCATGTAGTGGATGAGAGCCAAACATCACCCAGCAGCAAGAAAAGATGCAACGCGACGATGGTGTGAGGGTGATGTTTTGGTGGTGTGATGGTGATGGCGTGATGCTTCTGATCATGGTGACATGATTGTGGTGGCGATTGTGGCTTTCTAATCATTGCATCAACCACCTCATTTTCCTTCAAGTCCGCGATGCCCAGGTGTGGCGGAAGATCGTGTACCACGGCTCAGACAAAGTCTGTGTGAGCGGTTGATCCTTCGCTTCGCATGCAATGGGATTTTGGGGTTCCTTGCGATGACTTGCGACGAGAACGAATGGTTAATGGTTGCTCAGCTGCCTATCTATAGACAGGCACTGTATCAGCTTGCGTTCTCATCGGCCCCGCGACTGAACCACCGAATTCTGACCGCGTGGACCCGTCGATTAGCCGGTTAAGGTATGCGGTGGTGAAGTTTGGAGATTCCGCAAACTCAATGCACTCAGATTTATGTCTATGTTGTGGCCGATCCTTCTTGTGTTTCCTCTTGTTCGCCGATTTCGGATCGGGGCACAGGTGCCCAAATCCGAAAGACCCTTGTCCAACACTCCAATTCCCTCGAAACTGCCGACTACAGGTACTGGGCTAAGATCCGGGATAAGATGAGCAATCGCCTCAGTCGCAGGCCCAGATTTCGCTGGGATTAGGTCCCGGCTAGCGGCTAGCTGGGTGAGGGCTTGGCAGCTTAAAGGGTCGGGCATCCTCCCCGAACTAAAACCACAACCTCGGCACCAAGCTCAGATGAAGTCTAACCGCAAGGTCGGTTCGTGCTTCTGGGATCACGAGCGCAACGGGATGTCTGTCCACTTGCGCCTTCCATCGGGTAGACAATTTGAAGTAAGGTCATGGAGAAGACGCGACTCGACATGACTTGACATGTTTAGTCGCATGTCAACACTACGATATGCAAGATGCCAGCACGCCACAGGACATTGGCATCTTCGACGCCGGGATTCAATCATGGGTTTTGCGCTGATGGATATAGAGGGTATTTCCCGTCAGCGGCACCATCTTGGAGTGAGGGATCCTTATTCCAGGTTACTTGCACTCGGACGACTGCGACAAGATGAAGGCAAGCGAAGTGTGCAACCCCTCTTGCATGTAGGGTCGGTCGTTTTTCCTCGGGAGACCGGGTTCAGGCTTTTGTGCTCAGAGCACGGGTGTCAATCGCCAGAAGTTGATCAGCCGGTGACGAAGTGGAGTTGCTCATGATGCTTGCAGCCTCAATCTTTCATGCATTCTCCCGTCTTCCCACCTCTTCACGATTGCGGCCCTGAGCCTCCGCAGAGAGTTCTCCTTGCGTCAGCTCTCAGCTTTCGGGCGGCTGCAGTGCTGCGAAGGTGGTCGTCATGGGCGGTGGCGCTTTTGGCACTGCCATGGCGGCCCACGTTGCAGCGCCCCCGGGGAAGAAGCGTTGCTTGAGATCTTCAACCGTCTTTGGAGGTTCGGACGCGTTCCATGCGTCAAATGTTGGGAGGTAGATTTTGCTTTGCACTCCGGGCAGCATCGTCCAGACTGCGGGTTTTCATGAAAGCTGCCAGATTTGTCGGCGTGTCGTGCCTCGCAAGCCTCGAAAGTAGATTTTCAGCCTGCGTCATCATTCGACCTTGTTCGAGTTTTACTCACACCAGCTGACACAGCCATAGGTAGCAAGTCAAGCTGCATGCTTCCACAGTCCCGACGAAAGACAGATGTAAGTTGCTCTGTCTCCGTCAGGTGCTCATTTGCAGTGATCGCCAAACCATCTGCATCACTTACCCGCATCGTATGTCCCACAGTGAGAGGCCATATGGCGAACGACGAAAAGCAGCCAAGTTTGCTTCAAGTCGGAACCCACCCGATGCAGCCTAGCCCCATTTGTGCTGCCACGCCTCACATGTGGAACCAAGGCCCGCAAGGGCCACATGGTTACCATGATTGTCCGCAACAAGTCCGTGCAGCACCCAGGGCATGAAGAGTAGTGTTTTTGGCACAGTTTCCGAGCAGCTCGTTAGTCAGAAGTTATGAAAAGTTAGAGTGCTTTCGAGGTTTGGGATGTGTTGTCTTGTTGGCACTCGTCGACTTCCGGGGAGGTGTGTTTTCAGGCATGTGGCTTCAGGTGAGTGTTTCGGATTCAATTACGAGTATGTTTAACCGTGTGTGCCTTAATCTCGGCACCAGGACGGTCGACCTAGTCTCCGTTCAGGTTTTCTACTTAGGGCTTTGAACCGAGGCCACCGCTTTCTGACCTGAAACACCTGCTGGAAAAATGACAAGGACGCTTGACGTGTTTTGCTCACTCGGGAGGTGTGCAAGTTCATCAACCGCAAGCATATCAATCCGAGGCGTCCCAGCGCGTCTTTGCATCGTGACAGGGGGCGTGAGGTTTGATTCGCAGCTCCGCTCGCAAAATCTGGGAAGCCTGCTCCCTCAAGTGCAGCCTTTGGAAAACCCTTCACACCAAAGCAAAGGATCCTTAGTGCCAGTTTCCGGACTCTCCACGTCCGACGACCTGAACCTGAAATTCTACCATCGGTTCATGTCATGTTCCAGGTATCTTTCGGAGTTCGATTTGCCAAAGAACGTGGGTGCAACGACGGATGCAGCTGAGCCTGGGTCGGATATAGGCAGAAATGCCATGAGCATCAGAACGGAGACTTGCGCCGATCTGCAAAAGCTTGAATCTGGATGCGCCGGTTCTTGGAGTCGTCCTCGTTTTGCTCAGGAGGCCCTGGAAGGCTGCGATGTGCTCATCCATGCCGTGCCAGTGCAATCTTCCCGCGAGGCAGCCCCCGGGGATGTGAGACCCCAAAAAAACTTCGTCCTTGCTCCTATACACTTGCGCCGAAGACCTACGTCGCCCTGAGCCGTGACTGCGAGGCCCTGAAGCCGAAGTCTGACTCACACAAGGAAGCTCAAAGCGTTCAAGCGAAGAAATGGCCCCCAAGGTTCGGTCCCGAGTCTTGAGTCCTCGTGGCTCGAAAACCTCCTGCAAGGCAGCCTCTCACTGCATCTTCCATATGACAATCCCAATGCCTGCATGCACTGTTTCGCTCGCCCGCGAACTGCCCTCTCGATTGAAGCTTCAACAAATCCGCAAGGGCACTCGTTTCTCTGTTTATTCCCTGAGCTCCTGGTCCTAGCATGTCCCAGCGCTCAGGTAGAACGGCAAGATGGTGTTGCCTCCAAGCTAAGCTTCGACCTGTGAAGGCATTAAGCCCTCAAACATTGCTTGCTCAATTGATATCTTCATGTGAAACCGCGCCCCAAGCATTGCCCCCAATGCAGGCGCTGGGGGCCATCCGTGAGCTAGTTCCCCCGGACATTCCGGTGGTGGCCGTCTCCAAGGCTCTTTTTTTGTCGGCCTGAGCTTCCAGCCGTTCTGGCGTCCCCCCCCTCGCTTTCATGTCGGGACTGCCTTTAATTGCAGCCAGGGCGTGGAGCTCGGGACCCGAAAGCTGATGTGCGACGTCATCCCAGAGGCCAAGCCACTTAAAGCTTTGAGATGCGCAGTTCTTGGAGCCTTCTGGTTCTTAGTAGGGGAGTTTTAATCCAAGAGTGTTTGGGTTCGGGGCCCAAGGACTTCTTGTGCTTCACTCAGTTCCTGTTAGGACTGTAGAGCATTCCCATCGAAGTCTTTGACCGGCCGATGTTCAGGATTGCGGCTCACCTCAGCTCAAGGATTTCAAAGCACGAGTCCCTGAAGCTTTCGAGTTCTCGTCCAGGATTTTCTCTGCAGCCCTGTACCAGCATGGGAACAACATCTTACAGCATGGAAACAGGTTGAAGTCCGCGGTGCTTTGAAGATGCTAGAGCCACGAAGACCTGAAGCAAATCGCCGAAGCATCCGTCTTCTAGCACAATGATAACTGATAACACTCAGTTGTTCTGCAAGAAGGGCCTTATGCGCCTGTTGTTTTAGACCACTTCCTGAAGTCGCAGACCCAACAGCTTGCATCGGCAGCTTCAAGCAGCCTTCAATCCTTTAAACTTCAACCCCGCGAGCGTCCAACCCCAAACGAAGAAGAACGCACACGACACAATTAGATGCGCTCTGACTCGACGCTCTCTGCCCGAGGCGCTTGGCCGCGACGAAGCTGAGGGACAGGCTTCGTGACTCGCGGGACATACCACTTCCGTTCGCTAGGGTGAAGTCGTCGTTTGTTTTCGCATCAAGCACTAGTGAATACTTTCCGCGATTATCTACACTACGGCCGTCTCTGCCTATAGTTACAGTGGACCTCCTTGCCTTGTTCTACACGTGTGGTCTGTCGTGGCTTTTTTGTTATCACCTAATTTTGATTGATGTGTTTTCAGGTATCCTCCACATCGTTTCGAGGGGCTTAGGCAGCTTAGAGACCTTCGTCTCTAGGTCCTTCGGCTGCAGAGCTTGGACCCTTCTGGGTTCTGAGGCGTTGAGGTGAAGTGCGTATGGAGTTGGAGGACTAAGCCTGAACAGAAACTTCCTCATCCTCAAGCCCTGCGAGGTTGTGGTGGTTTCAGGGCCCTCCTTTGCGCAGGAGATCGCATGGGTGTGCCCTTTAGTCTTCAAGACAATTGACTGAGTTCGTGAGGATCTTGTTTCGGGTGTCAGCAGTGTTACTGGATTTGGGTTGCTTGCGGGCTTACCATGCGGGGCATGGTAAGAGGATCAGATTCGATTTGTTTCAGCTTCCCTGTTTGACGTTCTTGTTCACGAGGCTCCTGCACTTGAGGGCTTTGCTTTTTCAGGGGGCCTAGATTAACGATTTCTGAGGGCCCAGAGGTGTGGTCGTACTTCTCTGCGTTTCAGGCCTTCCAGGTGCCTTGGGGTAGTGAGAGCCCTACATGGTGCTCGGGGCAGCATTGAGCGCTTAGGGATGGGATGAAGGGCTAGGACTAGGATTTTTTCGGGTTTCCCACCTCCAGGAGATTATGGACCGCCGACCAACGTCTGCTGGGCACTTGGGGGGTTTGCCACTGGTCTTAGGGACATTCATACATCCCTTGATTTTTCAAGCGTCCTTTCTATGGTATTGACGGGTGTCAACGGATCAGTGCAAACATTGCACCGTACCGAGCTCTGCTGCCCGGCCTGCAAAATGTAGCAGGGCAGACATCACGTTGTCTTCTCCGGCTCCGAAACTTGAACTGAGGGATCTACATAATCATCGGTCATCCTCCAACCCTGAACAGAAGACCTTCCAGAGGGTTAGCTGGAAAGTTCGGGACTTACAGTTCTACGGCCGGATGCGTTGGGGGTTGATGTATGCAAGCGTTATTCAGGATTAGGTGTTTCGTTTATATACGCTGGACCAGAATGATCGACGATCCGGAGTCAGTGCCGTCTCGTCCGTGGACCGCCAGCTATCAGCAACCCAGCGGCGCAGGACACCAACCCTTGGCCGAGATAAGCGCATCGTGTTCGATCGCTACGACGAAATCCGAAAACTCAATGCCCAAGCAGCATGCTCTCGAAAAGTATCGAAAAAGTCCGAAGAATTTGTATGCTCGCAATCCAAGAACACCTCAATGTCCCGATGTCCCGCCCCACCTTTCAGGTGGTTGCCGCTTCTAGGAGCCCGGATGCCGCCGAGAAGGTCTCCAGGCATCTGCGCTCGTGGGTTCTGAACTCTTTGCCTTGGGCCGGGTTTGGTTATGGTTGGTCGTCGCTAGGTTTTATCGCCCAGACCCTTGTAGTGAAGTGTTTAGGGCTTTGAGCAGAAGCGACTGGAGCAAGCCTCCAGCAGTGTCTAGGATGATGCTGGAATGCAACTTTGGTCCGTAGAGTATAGTTGGGATACAGGGGAGTTCTGGGGCTAGAGACGTCCGGAGTCGTCGAGGTGTGAGCGGTTTCGGGAAGCCAAGGCCCGTAACTATCCCGTGAAGTCCCAAACCCAAAACCCCTTAACCTTAAAGCTCTAGATCCGACAGAGTGGCATTCCTTTGCAGATGCCTTCTCTGAACAACAAAAAGCACGCGCTAAGGCACCATAAAGCTGCTGCCCTCCAGGTTGCTAACGTCCAAGTACTTCCGCGTGAGCATGACCGAGGATGTCCTTGGTGTTGAGGTGAGGGGCTCAGGGGGCGCCAGGTGTCGAAGGATTCAGCTTTTGGGGGACTGGCCTGAGCTTTCAGAGCTTAGCCCGTCGGGGCTTAGCGGTTCGTAGTCCTCCGATACAGTTGAGTTTGCATGGTGGTTGCTGATGGCAAACATGATAGTTCCAGGAAGCGTCCGATCAGGGCGTGGCAGCATCGATGGTATGCAACCAGAACATGGCGGCGACTTTTCAGAGGTTTTCTGGTGTCTTGAACAGTTCTGCTAACCAAAGGCTACACTATGCTGATGCATATCTGGTCTAGACCATGTTTGGAAGCTGCACTTTGACAATTTGCTGCCTGTCGGTTTGTCTCAAGGTTGTCAGGGTGGAGAAGCATCGTCGTCTTTACTCAAGGGGTTGTGAGGGAACAAGCTAAGCAGCTTACTTGCTGATGCAAACAAGAGGGCTGAAGCAGTTCTCGAAAATCACAAAGGCAAGACCGACAGCAGAGCTAGTTCCTAGGTTTTGCTTCACAGGTCGCTGGGGCCCTAAAGAATGTCCTGGCGATCGCTGCGGGCATTTGTGAGGTGCGCTTGGCTTGGCGGCTTGTCTCTCCCATGCTCAAGTATGCATCTCGCCCATGGCAGACTCCCTAGCACCTCAACGCCCGCTGAAGCGACATAAATAGAGGATGGGTTTCTGAGGGCGGAGGTTTCAGGGCTTCGGCTTCGTCCAGTCTAAACGGCTCTCAGCACCCCATCGCTGCAGGGACTCGGCCTCGGGACCAACGCCATGTCTGCCCTGGTGACGCAGGCGCCGCCCAGCTTTGCCTCCCCCCCAGCTCTGCCTGGCTCCCCCTGGCTCCCCCCCCTTCCCCCCCCAGATGATTGCCCGCGCCCTTTTTCAGGGCAACGCCGAGATCCGGTGGTTGGCCACGGCCATGGGCTCGCAGCCCAGCTCTGGTCTCGTCGCTGGAAGTAGCAGAGACGGGAAGGGCTCGAGCTCTTGGAAAGGGAAGAGACGGCGGACAGAGAACTCCCCTCTCATCCCACAGTTCAGGAGCCCGGCCGGAGACGCTGGCGGGCCTTTCCGGCATGGGTCCAGAGCCCAGCCTGGAGGAATTAATTCAAAGAAGTAATTAGGCAGGGGTTACCTACTGCATCATAGCCTGCAAAACCCTCGGTGCAAACTGGGCATGTGAATTCACAGCCACGTCAGAGCAGAGCTGAGGCTTAACTGAATCGTCACAGAATCACAACATGTTCCTGTTACCCATCAGCTTATGTACAGAGAACACCCCTGTGCCACAAACCCACGAAGAGCTACGGTGGCTGTAGCACGTACCCTTCAAGAGCAGCATCTCGAGGAATGGCTGCAAACAGCTGGCGCCCCTTCCCAAAATCTCTGACACTACTCGTGGCTAGTCTCCGTTGAGGTAGGGAAGGCTTTTGAAAGTGATTGTTCCGGCCGGGTGAAAAAGGCTCTCTAGCTGAAGCTTAGCCAAGCCATGAAGAACCCCAGCACAAATTCAGTCTGGTCCTACTTGAGGGGACATCCTCCTCACCTGCTTCGGGAGCCTATCCCGAAACCGCACCGTGGGGGTGCGGCTGGGCAAAGGCGAACGATTCGAGGTGGGCAAGCACCACTTGAAAGTCCGACCCCCCTTGAATCTGCAAAGCCACGATGCCCACTAGGATGTGCTGAACGAGAAGCGCGGGGTCGCCGAAGGCGTCTACACCGCCAGGCCCAATCAGAGATTTGATGTCAAAAGTAGCAGCGGTATGGCTGCTGCAGGAAGCGACGTCAGCAACATAAGCGATAGATATCCGGTGCACAAGCAAGACTGGAGAATGGACATGGGAGTCTAGGGTTAAATCTGTGTGAGGTGCCAAACGCGCCTGAGATTCTCACTTGTAGGGTTCAGAACTCCAATGGCCTCTTGTCTTCTCTTCAGTCTTGAGTTCAGAGTGGTGGTAAAGTCGGATCCTGAACTCGACGGGTTCCGAAGTTGTGTGCCGAGGGTCTCGAGTTCAACTCTTCTCGCAGAGTTCAGAGCTCTTGGTAAAGCCGAGTCCTTCCCACGAGCCGTTCAGGATTCAGAGCCAACGATCCTCGCTGCCTGTTTTTTGGGGGCTGCGACAGGGTTTCGAAACTCAAGCTTGACACATCCACGCCTACCAAAGCCAAAAGAGTTTTCCGACACACACACAGCCTGAGCCACCATTCAGAACCCTCAAAATTGTCAGACGTGTCTGCAGGTTGGTGGTTGAACTGGCGGACGACTACAAGGCCGGGGGCCGGCCTCCCTCGCTGTCTTTTTCTGTCTCTTCCGGTGAGAGGGTTTTGGGGGAAACGTTTCTGTTCCAACTGGGGGGAAGGCGGTCGCAGCCTCGGGTCGTGCGAAGTGCAGGGCGGCAGACGACCAAGACTTTCAGCCCCCAAAAGTCTGCCACTGCCTTGTCGCAGCGATTTCGGGCTCAAAGTCACAAACCTCCGAAGTCGCGCCCCTGGCCTCCACACCGTCGTCAACATGGGGATGGATTCTATCGACGAGTCGAAGGTCGCACACCGTGGTGCCAGTAGGGGGAGGGTGCGACGCTGGGTGTGAGTGTGGACATCAGAGTGAGAGATTGGCACCTTCAAACAAGCCAGCCTAGCATGTACAAATAGCCAATACACTGCAGTGTGCCCTCCATCAACTCAGTCGGCCGGCCCAGCACTAAGCCAAGCGGCAGCCCTTTGCAGGGAGAAGCTTGTGGCACAAGTCTGATATCAGCAGCAATGGGCATTCAACACCACAGCTGGGAGCATGCTCCTGCGGGGACGTTGTGAGTGCTTGTTGTTGGAGGTGACAGTCTATGGCGCCTGCTTCTGCGCCCTGGTGTGAAAGAAAAGGGTCCTTCGGTGACGGACTTGACTTGAATCTCCTAACGTCGTGGGCCGCAATTGACCCCTCGCTACCCATGAGCAGCGCCTACTCTGTCGGAGAAACAGCACGAGTAGATGCCAAGGCTGTTTCAACGGCCTCAACTTGGAGAATGTCGAGATCGGATGTGCTGCCAAGGACTGGCTGGATAGCTTCATCTTGCGCGTTCCAGGCTCCTGATCTTGCCGTGCGTGTAAACGATTTTTCCAGGGACAAAGCTGTTTTAGACGGATTCGCCACTGGAGACACCAGGAGACACTCCTTTGCCTGGAGTGGGACTTCTGCCTCAAGTCCGGCACCGAGAAGCACCTTGGTTCATTAGTGGGCTCTGGACAGTCTGTGGGGATTTCAAGCTTTTGGAGTCCGCCAGAGTATGGGAATTCCCAGGCTTCGCTGCTTCTGCTTGGACATCCGCATCGTGCCTGTGACCGTTTGCATCAAGCAGCACCTTTGGCCTCGCAAACCGGTTTGGCGTTTGTGGAGATGGTGTAAGCCGTGTCTGTTCTAACATCAGCGGGATGTGTCGGCAGCCTAGGGCCTAGAGCTTTCTTCGAGCGAGTCTACACTGCGGCTATGCTAAGCCGATGTGTGTGTTCTTTGGCAAAGTACCGGCACCAAAAAACAAAGTCAAGGCAGGGCCAAATGTGCTGCCTCGTCTCCGCAGCCGCGATTCCGCCTGATGCAGAGGCTGCTACTAAATGTAGAAGGCTTGTAAAAAAGCCGGCTTCGGCTCTTGCCTTTGTGCAGCGCTTCCCGCAGGTTCCCATGATGCTTTCAGTCTGCTTCCTGGTCTGCTTCCCCAAGTTCGGCTTCTTCAAGAAGATCTCGGAGATCAAGGGATGATGGCTAGTCGCATCTACGGCACGTCCTGAGCTGAGTGGCTTTCTCCGCCGCGCGGGATAGTGTTCGTTCACTCGAAGTTTTCGAGAGTGAGTTGGCGAGAGTGCCAGTACCCGGCCCGCATCCGTGTTATGACGCAAGCATCATCAGAAGCTTCCCAATTCAAGAACTTCTGCGCCCACGGGGGTTCGACTGCTTGGATCAGGGGCAACCCGGGCTGGCACTCTTCCAAGGAGCAGACTTGCCTGCTGTTTTGCGTTTGAAGACGTAGGACCCACAGCTCCTTCACGTTTGTGTTGATGTCTGCCAACTTTGCGGCATCTTCCAGATCGGAGCAGGTCTCGACAGCTGACGATTCACGATAAACAGAAAAACCTGAGTTGGATGAGGCTCCCCAGTCCCTTTCATCATGTGTGCAGCAGCCTGTCCCAGCGCAGAAGAAGACGGTCCGCTCGCGGGCGACGTGAATCGTTTACGGCTTTCGCATGCCTGGTTGTGCCAATACTCAATCTCTTAGCGGATTTTGTAGACAAGTCGCAGCCCCTGCCGAATGCCTTTCCATCAGGTTCTCATTCCTGTTCTGACGTCCGTGGCCCGCATCCTCAGCCGCGAGGTGTCTCCGCGACAGGCCTTGCGTGTTGGGCTTGCAGTGTCAAATATCTTGAATCATGGGTTAGGGCTTGAGGCCTGTGCGAGGTCTAGGGCCTATGTAGTAAGGTTCAGGTGTTGAAGGATCAGGATTAACCGAGTTGTGGTTTAGGTACAGGGGTTCCGAGCACCTGTAGATTGCTGCAACAACTCGCAAGACGGGAGTCACGCGTGAGTGCTTTGGAGCGTGTATCCCCAAAATCAGGCGTGGTTGCCGCTAGTTCCTGCTGCTTTTGCTTGGGTTGGAAACGGCTCAGAGGTCAGCCATAAGCCTTCCTCGACAGGCGGTCTTCGAGGTCTTGGCGCTTCCTCCCTGGACTGAGAGCGCATAGGTTTGAGTGCTGCTGAGGGGCTAAAGTTCAGAAGCTTCAGGATTGACATCTGGTTTGGGCGCTGAGGTTTACGATGTCGATCGAAAAGCATATAACGTTTCAGGCTTGCTGACTCAGATGGCTTCTGGACCCATGTGTTCGACTTCTGAGTAGGCCTAATTGTTCGGGGCCCAGGGTTTCAATGATTTTAGCATGAGTTTCGGCGGGGTGAAGAGATCCCACCTGAGGTTGATTGTATGGAAGTGTTGCTACCTCGATCAGAGCGGAAGAACTTGATCTTTGTCGGTTTTCGATCTCAAACTCTACTACCGACCTGTTTTGCAGGGTTTCAAGTTTCTGCAGCATAATTCGAGATTGCACGCAGTGTTTGCATCTTTTCTCCTCGTGTGTGCCTCTAAAACCGCGGGCACGCCGCTTGAGTCCGCCTGCCCTGAGAGAGTGGGTCGATGGACTGAATTTGTAAGCCTCAACTTCGGGGCCTCACCCTTATTTTCCAACCGAGGCCCCCGCACCTTGACCGCACCGCGACCGGGCGATCAGTAGGCTGGTTGCAACGGTTGCAATCGACGCGGCATCAGGTGAAACTGCGATGCAGCCAGCTGGACGTCTGAGCCAGGCGGCCAGGATGGAGCCAGCGACTTTTCAAGTCCCCTTCCAGTTCGCGGAGGGACTGCTGGCGGCTCTAGCAATCACAGATCAGCATTATCTTGCTGGCGTTTTGAAGACGGCCACGATGGTGGATCGGCTGTTGTATGCAGACTATGCCTCCTTCAGCAATGCCTTCCACAAGTCTCATTCTGCTGTGAACCGTCGTATCGAAAGGCCTTCGAACTATCGATTCCGAACGTTTTCCCATGCACGCCGTTGCAACAAATGGCAGAGGTTGAGCGATGCCACTTCCCTTGTGCGATGTTTGCATCTTCCCTTAGCTGTCCGGGTTGACTTCTGGCTTGGTGACATGCTGACAGATGCTGATCTTCCCCGGCTAAAGCTCGACCTACTGGCTTAACCCTCCAGGACCCAAGGATGCAAGCGGGCAGCAATTATGGCTGTAAGCCTTATCACATTTTATGGGACTTTGGGATCATGTAACCAGTGGAAGCATTTCTCGGATGCCAGCTTTCGAGTTGGCACCGCAAACACGGACTAACGATTTCTAGGCTGAATTCTCTAACGGCTGTTTCACCACCACACCACGCCCTCAAGCGATCCTCCAGTCTTTGCATTGCCTTGGGCAGCCGCAGGCGGTATGTCGCCCCCCAGCGAAGCACCGCCGCCGGAGTGATTTCCAAGTTCTTGGCTCAAGCAGCCCGCCGGGTTCTTCCACGGCATAAACCTTCCAATCACACATTCTAGGTTCCGAGTCGAAAGCCTAAATCGTCTCACTTAGCTTCTTTTTCTTTTCCGTTCTTATGAGGCCCACGGCGCAGCGACCAGAAGCGGTAACACCAAAATCACCGGGTTGGCCATGACATGGGGAAACTCCAAGCCCTACTCTACGTAAACCCAAGATCCCAAAGCCCAAAGCCCAAGAGACTCAGATTGAGACTGTCCCCAGCAAGTAGCCTCTTGTGCTTGGGACCATGACGGACCTGGAGGCTGGCGTGCTCGTGCAAAACCGGCAGCAGCAGGAATGCTGTCTGCTGAACTGCGAGTGTTCCGAAGGTGCCGGTAGTACCCGTGCTCGCAGTATTCTCTCATCCTGCAGGGCTCGTACTTGTGTCGGGGGGTTTCAGAATTTTCAGTGCTGAGAGCAGTGAAAGGCTGCGGGGACCCTGCTGCGCAGCCTGCACCTGGCGACCGTCTGAGCTCGAACACCTGAGACAGCCAAGATTTCGGATGGGCCATGGAAGTCGGGAGTCCTCCTTCAGGGCATGTGGCGTGGGGGATCTGTCGTGGTGGACAAGCTCCGAATATGTTGTCTGTTCGAGAGTTCTGGGCTCTCTCTCCTGCGGACCCAAGTTTATCCTTACTTGCTAGATCGTTCAATCAGGGTGTAAGCGGCTTAGTCCGGAAATTCACGCAGGCTCCCAGCATCTCCCAGCTCAAAACCTTTTGCACGCTCCCCGCGGCAACCTCGGTTGTACTTGCCTCTCAGGGTCCTCGAATGACCCTCTGCATATAAGATGTACTTGACTGCACCCGAAGTCACCTCATACTTGAACTTCATACCAGTAGTTCTGAGAAGCTGTTGAGGTTTCGTGGCAAGAGGCCTCAGAGCTCGGGGTGTAGGTTTGAGGTTTCACGTTTGATATTCCGGCATGTGCTTGTTTGTTTGATTCGTCCGAATCCTAAACCCTGAACCCTGCTGCAAGGCGAAAAGACACGAGGGTTGGACAAAAAAACTGAGCCCAATTTTCAAATTCAAGGCCCCAACCCAGAAATCGAGCACAACCTGGACTGAGGAGCGCCTACGGAGCGGCGGCGTGCAGGGGAGGGTCTGTGATGTGCCGGTGCAAACGGAAATCCCAAACCCTCCGGTCCGAAATCCTCTGTCAGTGAACAAACTCGAACGGCCAGTGGTTTGTGAGGTTTCTGGCGATGGCTCCGCATAGGTTGTCGTTGTTTGTCGTTCTTGTTTCTGCTGTTGCTGCGTGTGTCGTAGTGTTGGAGTTGGAGTGATTAATCCGCCACAGGAGACTCGGAGGTAGCACGCCACAGGCGGTGCCGGCTGAGGCGCCTCTGTGCCTGAGTTCGGTTAGTTGCGGTTGATTAGTAGTGGGAGCCTTGGTAGCGTTGCACAAAGGTGCTGCGCTAGATTCTGAAGGCCCTGAAGGCATGCATTACTTCTTCTGAGGTCCTACACAGTCCTACACTGTCTGACGTGTCCGTCCACCCGCAAAGCACAAGTATCAAGGCTCAAGCTCTCTTGTAGCAGGGGCTCCTCCCGGTTCCATGAACTACGCCCAGATCCAGATCATTTCGCTGAGTGGGGAACGGATTGCGCGGTTCCGAGCCGACCCGACGCTGACAGTGCAAGCTATTTATCGGGATCTACAGCGTCGTCTGGGGCTTCAAATTTATCGCCAAGCTTTGCTCTACTGCAACGAGGTGTTGGACTCCGGGGTCTATCTTTCAGAGCTTGGAAATGGCAGCGAAATTGAGCTGACTTTGATAGTGCAGAACGTGTCTTTGGTGGTGACGTCCTCCTCGGACTACACTGCCAAGGTTTGGAACTGGTTCAATGGTGAATGCGTGCAGACGCTCACAGGTCACGCTAGTGATGTCCACAAAGTGGGATTCTCACCGGACGGGACCTGGGTTGTGACGGCTTCTTTCGACTCGACAGCACGAATCTGGAAGTTGTCAAATGGAGAGTGTACACAGATCTTAAGGGGCCACACGAGTGACCTGAACTCCATCGTTTTCTCCCCAGACAGTCGCACGCTAGTTACGGCCTCCGACGACCACACCGCAAAGCTTTGGGATGTAGCCCATGGGGACTGCATGAAGGTTTTAGCCGGCCATTCAGCTGTTGTCAACTCAGCCCTTTTCTCATGGGATGGTTCCTTGGTTGTCACCGGCTCCTTCGATGGAGATGCCCGTATCTGGAGTGCAGTGGACGGCGAGTGTCTTCGGATCTTATCCAGCAAGGGCATGCCGCTTGAGTTTGCGGTGTTCTCTCCGGATGCAGCCTTTGTCGTCACTGTTGCTAGAGATGGACTGGTACGCTCATGGTGTTCAGCAGAAGGCGAGTGCGCACAAACGCTTGTGGATGAGGGCCACTTGGTGAACTGTGCCGCATACTCTCCTGATGCTTGGGTGCTGCAGGGAACCTTTTTGCTTGTCGGAAGCACGCATGAGACCCACACTTACCAGTTGCAGTTACCCTGATGACATGCCCAAAGAGCTTTAATCCTTTTGGCAAGGATGGCGCCTTCGTCCTCGCAGCATTTCTGGACTGCGCAGCACGGCTGTGGAGTCTGCATCGCGGCGAACGAATCCACATCTTGCGCGGCCACAAGAACCTGTACCTTGGTTTGCTAGGTGTCAGAGGTTGGTTTATAGAAAGAAGTGAGGGTTGAGTATTTCGGACGCGCGAACCTTGGACTGGCTGCTCAATTCTAAGGATCCGCTGTGCTTCTTTCTCTGCCGACGCCGCGCTTGTTGTTACAGGTTCCTTCGACGGCGTGGCGAAGATCTGGAGTGTCATGCGAGGGGAGTGCCTTCAATCGCTTTCGGGTCATGAAGGCCTCATCACCAGCGTGGCATTTTCGGAGGATTGTGCCCAGGTGCTGACATCATCGCAAGACTGTGCTGCTAGGGTCTGGAACGTCACAGACGGGAAATGCATACAAGTATTGAAGGGTCACCAAGCATGCGTGCACTCTGCGGTCTTCTCTGCGGGCTGAGCTTGCGATCGCCCGGGCCCGCCCCCATGTCCGGGGTCAGGGATCAGCCTGGGCTTTTCTGTCAACAAGCTGGAGTTTCAAGCCAGCAGTGTAATGCATGACCAGCAGTGTTTTCATCTAATGCTGCCAAAAAAACTGCACTTAAAGCATGCTGCACAAGCCCAGATCCTCGACTTCCCATCCCCGTGGTGAGGTGTGGAGTACAGTCGCATAGGCCTTCATTGCAAAACTTCGAGACCGGAAGGCTCTGGCTTTGTATTGCATGCCGAGACCCCGTCTTGTGCTTTGCTGCAACTAAAGACAGGGGGGGCCACTCGGCTTAAACCCGGTCATTCTAGGAGGCGCCCTAAACTCCTGTGCGCGGCCCTCAAGGCTTCCGAGAAAGAGCTGGCCAAAGACGGCCTTCCTCCCAAGCAGCGCTTCTCCTGTCAGGAGGCCCCTCTAAAACCCTGCAGGTTGGGCGAAGGAACCTGGATTTCTACGGTTGGAGTGTGCCATGTGGTGACATTTATCCTGGCGGCGACGCGATGATCGAGATGCGAGCCGACGTGTTGGCTGAGCCTAAGGTTGCAGCAGAAGACATGTAACATCTTCCAGTTGAAAGTTCCACACTGAAGCCTTGAAGTTCTCAAGCTCCTTTCGGCTATACCTTGGCAACACAGGTCGTGTTCTGCTCACATCCTGCCCGCGCTCGATGCCTGCAGTGTGCTGGTTCGCGGCTTACCAAGCGGAGTGCTGAACTCTGCGAACTCTGTCTCTGGAAGAGAAGGAGTCACGGCCATGCCAAGCCAAGCTGCAGGCCGGACATGCCCTGAAGTACCGCGGACGGCCTACGCATCGGCCTCAGAGCTTTCCCAGTGAGCTGGAAGCACCCAACAGGATCACAGCACCGACGCCAATTAACCTCCGTGATCCGTGATCCTTCTCATATGCTGGATCATGCTGATGATATTGCTGATGCTGATGCTGATCCTGACGAAGATCGCGAGGACGACGACGGGCACCACGATGATGATGTTTGCTTGCTTGCTTGCTTGCTTGCTTGCTTGCTTGCTTGCTTGCTGGTTGCTTGCTTGCTTGCTTTCTTGCTGGTTGATTGATTGAGTGAGTGAGCAAGTGATTGCTTGATCGATTGACTGACTCACTGCCTGACCGGCAATGATGGTGGTGGTGGTTGCGGTGGTGAGGTTGATGACTATGCCGATGGTGATGATGCGCATGATGATGCGCATGGCGGTGATGCCGATGACGATGATTGTGATCATGATGATGGTCGTGATGATGGTGCGATGATGCAGATGATGATGCAGATGATGATGATGATGACCATGATGATGATGATGATGACCATGATGATGATGATGATGATGATGATGACGGCAGTGGTGGCGGTGTTGGGTGGTGGTGACGATGATGTGATTGTAATTCTGATCATGGTTATGATGATGCTTATGACTCTGATTGACTACGACTATGCTCAGGGACGGCCGAAGATCATGTTGATGTTGCTGGTGATGGTAGTGATGGACATAGTGATGATGGCAGTGATGGCGAGAGTCAGCATCTGCTCAGGAACTACCCGAACCGTTGTCGTCGTCGCGGCAGATAGAACTGAAATGATCCAGAAGAGCAGGTGCTCTTCCACAATGCTTACTCGGCCGGGTAGCCCAGCATGGACTTGAGAAATGAACAGACGCTCTTACTTGATTTCTATCCCTTAATGACGAAAAACAAGGGTGAGCGAAAAGCCCCTTGCTTTAGTGATGATTTCAGTGGTCTGTCAAGCTCTCAGCAACAGAGCTTCTCCCAGGCTTTCAGGTTCCCTGGCATTTCACTTTAGAATCGAATCTACGTGGGAGTTGATGCACATGCAGCGAGTCACCAGCTCCAGTCACAGCACCCAAAAGACGCAACCTCAGTAGCCCCGCACTGTCACTTCCCTTCACAGCCTGAGGAGCCTGAGCAGTCCTAAAGTCGCCAGGATTCCCCCAAGGCCAAGGGCTCCCGAGGGTTCGAGCCCCAGGCTGTGGCGCATTTCAAGGCGCCGACCTGCGCGGAAGCATCAGCACTTCCTGCTCCTGGGCCTGAAGAAATTTGGGCGGCTAAAACTTCAAGACTTCAGGGTACACAGGTGTTTCTTTGGGTTTGGGGCTCAGGGCAGGTTTTGTGGAGCTTCAGGGCTTGCAGGCTTTGGCGGCTCGCTGGTGCTTGTGGGTCCAGGTTCTAGGGATTCCGCGATGCGATCTTGCTATGGTGGCGTCTTTCTGTTTCGTGATTCAAAGCAAGGGTCGGCTCCTGGGTGCGGAGCCGCAAACTGAACCGCCATAGAAGATCTGATGCCGAAATTCCGCAACATCCTGCCGTTCGAAACCTTCAGGCTAAGCGAACGGAATCACAACGAAATGGCACTTTCTCCAACGAGGAGGTATCTGTAAAGTTGATGCCTTGAGGTGCCACGGCGGAGTCTGGCTGCCGGTGAGGCCGCCGGAGATTTTGATTCTTGAGGGTTTCGAGGCCCTGAAACGAGTTCACGCTTTGCACGCCTTTGCCAACAAGCCGGAATCTTCATCGAAGAAGCAATGCCTGGCTCTGTGGCAGATCCTATTCGCCTCCTTTGCGGCCCTGGTTCATGATCTTGGGGGAGGTTTGGGCCTGGGTTCAGAACTTTGGATTGCTGGTCGTGTTGACTTCAGACCGTGAGGGCCCTTCGTAGCTAGAACGTCGTGGCTGACAAGTTCAGCGGTCTTCCCTTGAGCTTGCGCCGCTGAGCAAGTAATTTTTCGCTGGAGTTCATCTGCAAAGAAGGCAAACTTGCCACTGTTCGTCTGGAGCCTCATTCAATCTGAACGTCTCAGCCTTTCTTGCTGGACCGCGGCCTGCGACTCTGAGCAGTCCGAGCTCTGGGCATCCGCCTGAGGAAAGCGCTTCCTCGACTTGGGCTCCGGCACGGGGCGCGCAGTCGTCGCATGGGGGCTGCTGGTGCCCTTTCCCAAGGTGTCCTTTGCCGGGAGATGCTTCGGGAAGAACACGGTTGAGACTTCCTTCTTCCAAGCCCATTCAATCCCATTCTGCTTTACTTCGTCGCTCCTCGGAGCTGTGTCCAGAGACGGAGTCATCAGTCTGCCATCCACTGAGGCCTGATGGTACGGCTGTTGGCATCGAGATTCGACAAGCGTTGCACTGTGAGGCCATCCAGGCAGGAGAACTTCGATCTTGGTGGTCTCAGCAGAACTGTGCAATCCGCTGTAGGCTCGGCCGCAAAGCCTGGACATCGGAGACATCCAGCAATTGACATGGCTATGGCAGAACTCAAGATCTGAGCGAAGCCGTGTAGGGCAATGAGAAATCCGGGTCTAGTGGACTCCTATAACCCCGGAACCTGCAGCTCTGAAAACCCAAGACAGCCAAGCCCAAAACCGCGATCTTCACAACTCAAAGTGTTCTGATTCCGGCAATCGGACCTCAGAAGCTTTGACCTGCCGAAAGCCAAAAGCAGTCTGCTTTGGGTCTCGGTCGGATGGGCTTCCTACTCAAAAGAGCTCCCTTGCTTGGAGCAGGTCAGAGAAGCTTTGCCACAGGCTGTGAGGAGGCCCGATTCTTCCCATGGCCGCTTGCTTCGTCATCCGGATATACTGCAACCGAGACTGCAGTCTCTTGCACAATGCTGTGCTTTTTTTTGGATCTCAGCTTCGAGGGGGGGCGTCAGTCGCCGCATGGGGGGGGATTGGGGGGGTTTTGTCATGTCTGGACGAGGGCCACGAGGCCGAGCAGTCTCCCCCCGCCGGGTGTATGACTACTACTGCCACTATACTACTACGACGACTACTACTACTACCATTGCTACTGCTGCTACTGCCACTACTCTGCTGCTACCGCTACGAAGACAGAGCCAACGACGACTGGCCTTCAAGCCGTTGCGGGTCAGGTGTTCCCTAGCGTTGTAGCAGTTGTAGGTGCAGCCGACCAGTGAGACGCATCGACAGTTCCAGCCTCGATAGGTCGCGTTGTGAGTTCCGAGTTTGGGGGCTGGACGAATTGGGGCACGACTGCTTCCGAGCTGAAGCCAGGCGTCTCCACCTGCACTGTGGCGACCTCTTTGAGTACGAAGGGCTGACAGGCGGGCGTGCTACCAGCACATGGTTTCAGCTCTGGCTTTCCTGCAGCACTCAGTCAACTTTTGTGAAGATCCCGCGTCGCTTTTGCAGCTGGGAACGAGACTCGAGCACTCTGCACAGATGCCGATGTGATCCTCGTGAACAGCACCGGGTTCGATGAGAACCTGATGGCTGCAATCAGCAGGCTCGAGTGCCTGCACCGGACGGGCTGCAATAGGATGAAGGCGCGCTTGTGGCTTTGGGTGAGCAGCTTCGGGTTCAGTTCAGGAGGTTTGGGCAGTGAGGGTGAGATCGTGGCCAGACAGGAACTCCATTATTTCCTCTGGAAGCTTAACTGGCTTGTTCGAATCCCTAACATCATCTGAACTTTCAACAGCTGCCTACTCGGCCTAATCAAGGGGCGAGGACTCCTGACAGCCTGTGCGCCGCGAGCATTTGGCCCGAGATGCACTAAGAGACGGGCAAGACGCCCGCGGAATGCAGGCATCGGCTAGGGGGTGGGACGGAGTTCGGGCTTGAAGGCTTCGCAGTGTGAGTTTTAAAGTTTCTGAGATGATTCCTAGTTAGAGGGAGTTCTATGAGACAAGACAAGACTTCACAACATGATTTTGGCGCGAATCTGAGATCCTCTTGAGCCTCGCCTCGTAAAACTTGCGCCGAGCCGCTTCGGCATCGTTGGGCTTGGCTTTGGCTCGCTTGATGATATTGTCCAAAGTATTCGATGCATGCCACGATTCGTTGTTTCAGGCTCAGTCTCGGCCAACCGACCTCATCCTGCCAATGGAGGTTGCGTTGAAACACACATACCATAATGCTTATGAAGTTGCATCAGTGTTGAAGCAGGATTTGAAACGGAAAGACCATGATGCTGATGATGCTGCGTGTCGTCTTGCCACACACGCCGATTCCGGTGTCGGTGTTGAAGGCTGGATTGAAACGGAAAGGCCATGATGCTGATGATGCTGTGTGTTGTCTTGCCACGCACCACGATTCCGGTGTCGATGAAGGCTGGATTGAAACGGAAAAGCTATGATTGTCATGATGCGGCATTTCGATTTCGCTGTCGAAGGCTGGATTGATACGGGAAAGCGCGTCGCTGTTGAAACGGGCAGACATGACAATGATAGAGCTATGACGCCGATACTGCCGATGCTCGAACCGACGGATGCTGTACATCATCCTGCGTCATTGTGTCATCCATCTTGGAGCTCTCAGCCGTAACCTTCGGGCATGAAGGCCTCCCTTCAACAATGCACAAGTACCGGTTACTCTCCAAGAAGGGCGAGGCCGGGAAGAGTGGTTCTTTGCTTCGGGGTTGCAGCACCAGCCTTGATCTTCTTGTGTGGAGGAGGTTATGCGTTGCAGTTTAGACGATCAGCTCGAACGATTGCTAGCCTGGAATGGCATGGCATGGACGGTACGATACACCTTGCTTACAGCACTCGATCGTCTCATTGCCAATCGCGTATCGCGTGAAGGTGAGACCGGAAGGATTCACAGCGCCTCTCGCCATTTGCATTGCTACCTGATCTTGTCACCCATCCCATGGTGCATCACGAGGAGCATGTTATACCCCCATGTTCAACTCTTGAACTCCGTTCCACGCTCTCACCGGCGAGGGCACCTTCTCAGAAGTGCTGAAGGCTCAGTCTATCAAGCTCCTCGGCCGGGTCAGAGTTTGGACGAGCTCAGTTTGTACCCCGACAAGCTTCCTAAACTGTACATACTTGTGCTAAAACGTATCTTGTGGTATCTTGTAGCATCTTGTGCTATTTGTCAGTTTGACTTGCCTGTAACCTTTGGTCGAGCGGCTGAGGCCTCAGACTCAAGGGCAACAATTATAGGCTGTCGTGCCCGTCTCTGCCCTCTTCAAGGCTGTTCTGGTGATGTTGTGTTGCCGTGGGTGGTGGTTATGGCGGCCATCGTCAGCTTTCTTTTCCCTCGATCCGTCGCCCTCCTTCCATGCTGCTACTGCTTCGACTGCTCGACTGCTCGACTGCTCGACATCTTGTCTGGAGCATCTTTAGTTCACATTGCCTTCGCCGCTGTTTGATTACGCTCGTGCGTCGGCATGGTACGCCGTGAGCAACTCGAGCTGGAAAGTTCTGCTTTCGCATCAGGGCTGCTGGTTCCAGACACACACACACACACAAGGGGTGTCTCCGAGCAACGTGCTTACAGGGCAGGCAATGCTAGGTGTTGGGCAAATCGCTTTCCAGAGCGGAGTCTATTTGGTCCGGGTTCCGGTGTGCTACTATCATGCTCGCCAATCCCGAGACCTTAACCAGTTGAAGTACAAAGCTTCTGGGTCGTGCTTGTCCCACCCCTTTGCACTCTTGGGTCAAAGGTCGGGGAAGCATGTGGCCATCAAGTGTATGAAGAACACCTTCGACAGCATTGACCAAGTCAACAACCTCAGAGAGATCCAGGCTGGGGACCAGAAGTCCGGAAGGCTTTTTACCTTTTTCGAAAGCGGATCGGGTGGTTTGGGCGCTGTGTTGCGATCTCTCTCAGACCCAACTCATTTTGTCAGATTGTTGCGCAGGCTCTGCGACGGCTCGCGGGCCATGCGAACATCATCAAGTTGCACGCCGCTTGCTCGGTGGGTTTGAGATTGCAGGTTTCCTTGTCTTCCGAAGTTAGTCCACCACGTTTTGACTGTTCACGTTGGGAATTTCGCAGGCTTGGTAGTCTATAGGACTGGCATCCGGTGTGTTACTTTGTTGCAACCTCCATGCGGCTGAGCTGACTACAGGAAAGGCTGCCCAGACAGGAACATGGGGGCAGTTTCGGGGCTTTGGCTCTTCACGTCGATGTTCCTTTGGGACCGCCCTAAACCCTCGCCAGCGGGAAAGGAGGTGAACAAGAATCTTCCAAAGTAGACTCTGCACCTCTTGCAGCTCGAGGCTCTGCACGTCGAAACCCGTTTGTCCTTTCTGTCTCAGGAAATACTCTACGACGAACCCACGGGACGGTTGGCCTTGGTTTTTGAGTTGATGGACATGCGACTTGGCCGGAATGCACTCCGGGAACAAATTCCACTAGTTTGTGGCTATGTAGGACTCCTCGTAAGGGACCCGGGACGCCACTCGACCCACTCCGCTGTGTTTTGTGAGCGGCTCGCTGCATGCTATTGGCTTCGAAGTGAGAGTATGGCCAGGTTGGTCAAGATGTCAAAGATTCCCATTCTGCAAATGGCATCATCCCTTTGAGAGTGGGGGCCTCCTGGGTCCAGGAATGTGTACGAGGCGATCAAGGGTCGAAGGCACTACCTGCCAGACACGAAGACGAAGCACTACATGTTCGATGCTTGGGCTTCAAGTTGTGCTTCTGAGCTATGATGTTCAGATAAGACAGGCGCCAGACGCCTTGGCAGCACAAGACAAGCGAACCGAGGGTCAAGGCAGAAGCTTCGTTCACGACTTCCCCGAAAACATCCGAAAGACTTAAAGCAAGCCTCCAACCACGATGAATCCCATCCCTGACAGACCGCAGCCCTCAACCTTCCCTGGTGTTTTTCATCTTAAGTCTGGCGCACGTAGAGTGGCGGCCTCAGCCTTGAATGAGCCGAGGAGATCTTGAAAGGCTTGGATCACATGCACAGAAACGGCATCTTCCACCGTGATGTCAAGTGCCTTGGGTGGGAATTACGGCACTTTGGAGCAGGGACGCCGGAAAGTGGGCACAGTTGTTTGCTCCTTGAGCTGCTTCCTCCTTCGGCCACGAGTTGCTTCCAACATGCTCAAAGACCGAGCTTCACCTAGGCCTGAGAATCTGCTCCTCCTGGATGATGAGGCAGGGCCCAGACGGTTGGGAGAAGTGTTTGGGTAGGGCAGAGCAGAGATGTTCTTTCCGTGTGTCTCGGTGTCTCGTATGTTTTTTTCGCTGTTCGATTTCGGTACTACTTGACACCATCTGCAAGCAGGTCTGGGTGGTAAATTGCACATCTCCTTGCCGTTCCCACCCATCTCCTCAATTCCAAAACATCCTTCCATCACCTGTGCCCGCTATTTCACGAGTCTTCCGCTGGTAGTCGGTGCTGGGCCTTGGCCTTCGCCTTCTTTGTTATGCGAGCCGCCCCTTGCCTCCCAGATCAAGCTTGCCGACCTCGGGAGCTGCCGTGGCATCTACTCGCGGCAGCCCTTCACCGAGCCCCGGCTTTCCTTCGGCTTGTGCTCTGGTTTTTTTTCAGCATTCCGAGGTTTTGTATCATTGGGCTCGGGCATGCTTGTAAATTGCCCTGAGCCCCAGACGCAAAGCACCCCAGACCCCAAGCCTCACGTAGCTTCTACCTTGCTGGCCTAAAGCAAAAAGACTGCGTCGGAGGTCCAAGATAGATCGACGACAGCATGTAGGAGGTTCTTATGCCGGTTGGCACGTATCAGTAATTTCCAAGTCTCCATGATCACTGCCTAGCATCTGTGACGACATGAGGTGGCATCGAGGTGGGCGAACTTCGATTTGATTAGCATGAAACAATTGAGGCAAACAATGTCGATAAGAGGCATGCCTCGACATGACAAGCGAAGAAGGAGGAATCAGCTACACACAAATCGCCACCAAAGCGAAGTTGCCAGCTCCGATCAGCTACGGAAGTAGTGGCAATGATCTCCGATTGTTGGCCCCAGCTGCATGCCGGGTTCACAGATATTCGGCAAGGTACTGGTAGGATGGGCTCTTGACTGGCACGGCAAAATCCCAGAAGGTATACCAAGTGTGAGGAACTGGTGCCAGTAAGTTTCATAAGCGCACTTCTCTGTAACATACACGCGCCCCAGGAGTACATCTCGACCCGATGGTATCGTGCTCCTGAGCCGCTTGCATCTATTGGAGTCAGGCTAATTCAGGCTTCAGTCCTTGGGCGAGATGTGCCCAAGCATGCAGGGAATGCCCGTCTGTCGGAAAGTGCCTGTGTAGCTCTAGTGAAGACATTGCTGCATTGCTGGTATTCACCGTCGCCGGCGTAAGAAAGTCTGACGTATGTCCGGTGTAGCTGCAACATGACCCAGCTGCAGGTACCCGTCGACTGCAGGTCATTGCAGCACCGCCTTCGTAGTTCCTGCGTCGTCAGGTGTTTGCTCACGGATGGCTATTACGGGTTCAAGATGGACCTGTTCGCCGCAGGTGGCTTCGCAAGTGCAAAAGCCCAAGCCTGCACTTGAGGGCTGAAGAGCTTGCAAGTTCTGGCGGTCCCCCCAATACTTTTGGTTGTCTGGCGTTTTGCTGGAACCCGCAAAAAACCTGGTATCCAACGTAGACCAAGAAGCGGGATGCCCTGGAATGCACGGCGCCTAGTGTCTCAAATAAGAGCCCTGCTTGGTTGCAGCAGAGAGCCTTGGAAACCTTGCAGAGGCATCCTCAGGTTCTGATCTTTTTCTTGCTTGATTGTGTTCTGCAGTTGACCCATGCAGCCTGTGCTGTGCCAAGAGTCGCGAGGATGCGTTTGGTTTGAGATCGTCGCACTGTTGCCTGCCTGAAACGAGCGAGGGTTCCAATTCGGGATCTAGTTTAGTCGGAGCCTTCTGGTTCTCAAGTTTCTGGGGATTGCGGCGGTTTTGAAGGTTAGGATTTGGGGTCGTGCGACCTCCTCATGCGCTTCTTCAAAGACAGTAGTAGCCGCGAGGATAAAGCAAACTCTGAAGCGGAGGACCTGAGGCTCAGGGCACCAGAGTCCCGAGGCCTGAGGCCATCTAGCACTCCCTTCCACATTCTGGCCTTTGCTGCCAGCGCGTCTCACAATGCAGGTTCCCTCTGTTTCCCGGTCAGAATGAGTCGGACCAGATCCAGAAGATCCACAACGTGCCTGGATGCAGTTCTTAGGGTTTAACAGAGCTTCATGGGTTGAGGGGGAGGCAGGAGCTGAGATGATCAAGCTTCAAATCCAGACCTATCCCTGGAAGCATCGGGTAATCCCCTAAAAAAGGCCTTTACGGCCCTTAGCCTTGAAAGCAGGCTCTCAAGCGCTACAGTCCGACATTGACTCTGACCCAGATGCCCGTGTTCACTCCTGCTAAGCAGGCAGCATCAACACCTGAATGCGTCCGCACAGCAGCTCTTGTCCAGGTCCTGGGGACGCCTTCGCCGGACTTGCTAGCAAGCAAATTCAAGCGGAAACCTGGCGGGTTTTTCTGAAGGCCAGACTGCGAGTAGTAGGGTAGTGTGTAAGCTTGTCGATGCTTACGTTGCGGCTCGTTGAGAGATTCAGTATGGGCTTGTTGGGCTTGACGGCCAGTAGGGCTGATGTCGATTTGAGGGGTTGAGAGGGCGGTAAATCGATTGACATGTTGATCGATGGATGATCAGTTAGAAAGACGGACACCGAACTTCTCGTTCCGCTCTCGAGTGCGAGTGCCCACCTGTCAACATATCCCCTGAATGACCAAGGAACGCCTCGCATATGGATTTCAACTTTCCGGAGAAGAAAGGCACAGGCATCGAGCGCCTGTAGCAGGGCGGCAGTCAGTTGGGACTGGGGACTCTTAGGCGACAGGCTTCCTGACAGTTCTCCGTAGGGTTTCAAAGCAAGATTGCAGCATTCGAAGCAATTCCTGCCGAGTTTGAGTGGGGTCACAGGCACTCCGAGAATTGAGCTTGTATGGCTGTCTTGTGGCAGATGAAGTTCGGGAGTAGGCCGAGCAAGACGGCTGCGCGAGAGTACTCCTGTTGCTGCACACGTAGTTGGGGCTGTGGCGGCTCAACTGTGAGGGTCCTCAAGACTGTTCCCATGGATCCCGAGGACCCCGTTCTTTCGGAATCCTTTTGACGCATCTGTGTATGGTTATACGGTTTTAGGGTGATACCTTTTCCACTGCCAGGGCCCTGAAGGAGCAGCGTATCCTTGAGTTTGATCATGAAGATGAGACGCACGAGAACTCCCTAAAGTTTCAGAGCCTGAAGTGCTTAAGATCCTGCACCCTCCAAACATCACAGCATCCAAAGCCGAAGAGATCACCGAGCCCAAGAGTACAGAGTCTTCGATAAGGATCCCACACGCCGAGCCGGAGTGTGTGGAGCTTATGCAGAAGCTGCTGAGGCAAATCCGGGTTCAGAGGATCTTTTACCCCCAGATCCCATCTTTTGCATCCTTGTCCTCTGCTACATCCTGTTATCATGAGCTTAGGACTTGAGCTTCGGGGCTCTCAGCTTCAGGTGTTGCAAGGTGTGTTTGCGAATGGAACTTCATTGATTGGCAACATCAAGATCCGTATTCTCCACTGGATTGAAACCAGTTGCAGCCTAACCAGCTCCTTACCCTGTCGTATCAGTTAGGCCAAGCAGTACAATTCCAGGCAGGGTTTCGCGGCTGTAGAGGCTCTCTGAGATGGAGGGAGTTTTAGGACTTCGGGTAGGGCCTGTAGGACGTCATGGCATGCTAGCGCCTGGACTCTCTCCCCGGCCCAGTAAATTCTGAGACTCTCGAGCTGGGGAGGTACGACCCGGAGGAGCGCATCCTCGCGAGGCCTTTGGGCTCAGGTTTCCTTCTCTTTGGGCAAGGTCCTGCGATTGCGGTCTTTGAATGGCTGTTCCCAGAGAGCACCTGTGCATCTGCAGGCAAGCACTCAGAGATCCCTACTTCCGGGAGCTCCACGAGATCAAGAAGGAGGTCGGGGGAAATGCACGGCACAGTGCTTCAGGCGGTTTCAGGCGGCTTCGGGCTTTGGACTTTGGGTATTCGGCGCTTAGATGATTTGCTTGAGCTTCGCGAAGGCAGCGAGTGCTTCAGGCCCATCCACACCCAAACATCAAGACCGATGCGCTCATCGTGAGTAATTGTCTAAGTCGTCAAAGTTTTCTACCCTGCACCGTCTGCACCTGCCAAAAGGGACCCCAGCAGCCACCCTGCACCCTCCTCACCGACTGCCTTCAGATCTCCGGAGCGCATGCGATGTTACCTGGAGGGAGTGGCGCAACCCGAAGCCGTGAGCAGTGGTTTCCTGGCGTAAGCACTAGGTAAGGGCGCATGTTCTTGCGAACGTAGGCGGCGGGGAGATTACGATACGTGGCCTCAGCGCCGGGGTTTGAGAATGTTGACGATGAAGGTCTTGAGCTTCGGATGCGGAGGGGGAGCTGCGGAGTTCAGGAAAGGTTCTAAGGTCTCTGTTCCTGCTCTCTGCTGTAAGTGCATGCCGTGGTCTGAGACATTTGATGTGATGGTTCTGTGGTGATGCCACGTCCCATGTGCGAGAGAATTCAATTCGTGCTGCCTGGTACGGCCATCTGGACGATAGTCAGCCAGCGCTTCTACCGGACTTTTGTTTTCCTGCTACCGATGGGACCTGCCACGGTACTTCGAACACTACATAGATAAGGCATCACCAAGATTCACCACGACCACTTCCGCACCACCACCATCATCAACATCGTAAGCATCATCATCATCATCACCACCACCACCGTGCCGCTCACCATCACCCTCACCCTCAGCCTCATCCTCATCCTCACTCATCCTCATTCTCATCCTCCTCCTCCTCATCCTAGTGATGATCATCATCGTCATCGTCATCATCATCAGCACCATTACCATCACCATCACCATCATCGTAGTGGTTCCCTCGGTCCTTCCCTTAGACATTCCTTAGACTGCGCCGCAGAAAGACAAAGCTCAAAGTCTCCAGCTCTGAGTGGCAAGCTCCAAAAACCGGCATTCCAAGCAGGCGAGAGTCTCCAATACTTGAAGTGTGCACTCAAATCGCCCTCGTCCATTGAGTTCGGTATATATCTGAATGCAAGAAAGCCTTCAAAAGCCTTCTAAGGTTCTCCAAAGCTGCGAACAGCTCCAGCAGCAGCACCACCAGTGTAGACCAGTACGAAACCCCGGAGCAGACGACTCAGGACTTCTCTTTGCACTCCAGCAGGGGGGGCTTTAAAAGGGAGGTCGGTTCGGTGCTCCTTAGGGGAGGTCTGTTCTATGGCTTGGGTTTAATGTTTAGGGGTAAGATGGGGAAATCTAAGGTCCCGGGGGTTGGATAAGTGTGTTAGGAAGCTGGTGACCTGGAAAACTTATGCCCTCCTAAACTATTCCTAAACCCCAAGCCAAACCCTAAACCCTAAACCCTAAGCCCTGCACCCACATCTCTTGGTCCTGAGGAGGCCAACCTCACGACCAGCTCTGTGGGAGCGGCTGCGGGTGACGAAGCCCGAAGTGGGTCGCTTCCGACCATCGGTCAGGTGTGCTGGGTGATGAGATTCATGAGATTCAGGGTTAACGGGGCCTCAGTTTAGGGTTTGGGGTTAACGGGGCTTCAGTTTAGGGTTTAGGTGTTTAAGTCTCAGCGTGAGAGTCTCTGCAGTTCTAGGTTTGTTTAGTTCTCGCACGGAACACGCTGAGTGAAGTGCTGACACAGTTATAGTATTGTTTACAATAGTCAGCTTGGCAGTAGCAGCAGAATGAGGAGGAGTAGCAACAGAAGCAGCAGCAGCAGTCGGTAATCTTGTTTTTCGTCGTCGTCGTCGCGGTCGGCGTGGTATTTGTAGTGGTAGTGGCAGTGGTAGAGGTAGCGGTAGCGGTAGTGGCAGTGTCAGTGGCAGTGGTCGGGGTGGGTCGTGGTGGTAGTGGTGGTCGACAAGAGTGACGCATGTGCACGATCTCTGGTTGCACGCTTGAACTCATGGACGCTGGAACTCACTCAGAACCCGCAAAGCTTCAACCCCGCTGTGACAGCGGTCCTGGGCTGCGAGCACAAAGGCAAACCCTGTCTAAGACCCTACACGCCTACAGTCGCGGCTGAAGCTGGGTGGCGCCGTTTCGGGTGCCGACAGCGAAGATGATGCTCCCAGCCAGGCCAGGGGAGCGGGCGGGCGGGCAGGTGGTTTGAGGAGGGACTTAGAGTAGTAAATAGGTTATAAGTAGAGTTATAAGTACCCTGAATGGAGTTACCTCAATTATAACCCAAATTACTTATAACCGACTTATTACGTCCACTGGGCCTCCAAGTAAGAGGTTGAGTCAGACTTATGCGTTTGATGTGATGGTGTTGCAGTGGTGCGTGAACTTGCAATAGGGCTGCACCAAACTCCGATTTCTGACCGTGAGAACTACAGCCTTTCGATGAGGAACGGGCAGTATTGCCGAGCAGGGAGTTGATGCATCAACCTTCCGCAGCCAACACTCCAAACTATCAGCATGATGCTAACAGAAGTAGCATTCCCAAGTGTGCAAATCCAATTGTGCAATCACGAGTAAACGAGGGCCGCGGCGGCTTTCGTGATCTTTCTGATAGGTGCTGCCGCCAATTGGTGGCCTCAAAAGAGCCTTGGACGGCAATGAAGGCTGAGGTGTCTACGCATCCACCTTGCAAGCAATGCCTCATACCACCATGCACGTGCAAGGAACTACCGGGCGGACCAACGTAAAGCCGCAGACCTTCAAGACCGCGGCCAACGCAGCCTTGCTCCCTGCCGCTCAAGTCCTTCGAGGTTTAGACCAGAGCTTGTATTGTGCAGTGTATCGGGAGGGCGATGCAGGGACAAAGGAAATGAAATGACCAAGCCTGGGAGTCACCGGCAATTCCGCAAGGCACTCTGATGATGTTTCCCATCCTTGAGATTTGTAAATGCCCTTGCCAGTCTCGGCGCCAGCCTCCTAGGTGAGAGTGTACTAGCAGTATGAGTTCCGGACAAGCCTTCTTCTCTGTTTTCCAACTTCTGAGCCAAAGGCAGTCGCATGGTTCCGGCAAAGGACATGGAGCTGCTTCAAAGACCAGCCGCTTCCTCCGACCGGTTCAGAATGTGTATAGGCATGCTCAATACCAGGAAGTGTTGGCAACCACAATTCATTGTTGAGGCTGCTAGTCCAGTCCGGCGGATGCATTGTTTTTTTTCTACAGCTTCTATTTTGCCAGCTCCAAGGCAGCTACTTCAAGGAGAACGGCTCTGGACACAGAGGGCCATCGAAGTCCTTCATGGCTGGGGCGCGCTCCTTAGGTTTTCCACTAGTCCAGCAGAAAGGTCCATGGTGGCGATCGTCATGTCGGTTTGGGTGCCATGGTACAGCGTAGCATGGAAGGCAGATGCAGCCGGGCTCAGAAGCTTCAGGTCCCCATTGCCAAATCCCAGCCAAAAGCTACAAACTCACACAGAAACGACGAAACCCTGAACTCCAAATCATTGAAGATTTTGCTCCACCATGCCCCCCAAACCTGAGCCCAGCCCCTCATTTTCCAACACTCTTTCTGCTGACCAGTCCGGTGCAGCTCACGCCGACTCCATGTCGATCACTGCACAGGCCGGAAAAGGGGAGGGTCTGCTGTCTGGCTGGAGTCGGGCCCATGGGCTACTTGATCAGGCTTCCATTCGAAGAACGTCGTAGATAATTAGTGTCAACACAAAACAGATGAAGGCTGCTGTTTCCCAAGCAACAATGATAGTGACGATTGCGACATGCCTCAAGTATAGCAACAGTAACGGCAAGCAACACCACATGATAAAGAACAGCAAGCAACAATGCAGGCAACAGTCGTAGCAATAGCACCAACGCTTTTGAAGCTGTCATATACTTGTATCAGACCTCATTGTGCCGCTCTTGGTGGTATTGACCGGAACGGCGTTAGCTGTAGCCGCGGCGGTGCAGTAGCATCCGAAAGAGGTCCTCTGTGACAGTGTGTCAACCCGGTGAGAGTACTATACGAGCGCTGGAAGTTCTTGTAGTTTTGATCGTGGTAGCCGCGACAAGCGATGTTCACACCCGGCCGCTGTCCCGCATCAGGGATGGGCGGATCCTGGCAGTGCTGGATTGGGCCGAGGTGTCGGGGTTTTTGAGCCAAGGTCAAGGTTGCCGTAAGCAGAAAGGCGGCTCCTGCTCCGCGCTGTTGCGGGGTCTTCGTTCGAAGCGTGAGCATACTGTTTCATGTCAGAGAGAGGTCGGCTAAACTTCAAGAGCAGCGGCATGTTTTGGCGCGGCAGATTCGGAGCCGCAAGCGGTGGGGAGAGACGATTGGATTCAGGTGCAAGATCGGGCTCGCAAGTGGCACGCTCAGCTTTCCTCTTTCGCTCGACACTTCGGATGCTTAATAGCCTTTCAACGAGCTCTCAGGCTTGAAAGCCGTTAATCCTGAGCGGCGACCAGAAAAAACCACGACAAACCCAAACTGAATCCTGCGTAAAAATGGAGAACTCTGTCAAGCTTAAAGCTGGGCGGCGCCACGCACAATCTGCACCGCACAAACCTGGAAGCCACCAACAAGCAGCCAAAACACTGAAGCCTGAGCAGCGGAAGCACGCGCAATCCTAAAGCCTGCAAGCCTTCTCCGCATTTCTCCAAAACTTCACCCAAAGCCCACACCAGCCCGGATTATCCGCATCGAGGTGGCCAGCATGGGATCCACCTGGGCTCCTCAGAGGCTTCCGGCTTTGACCTCTGGTGTGACAGGGTAACGAAGACTACAGGGTGCTGCCGCTGTGAAGCGCTGCGGCGGTAATCCTTCAATCTGACTGCTAGAGTTTTCCACAGAAACTTCCTGGAGGCGGCGGTGACACAGGCAGGATGCCCACACGAGTGCGGGGTACTCAGCGATAAGCGGTGCTGCAAGCTATGTATACATTTCAAAGCGCAAGCATATTATACATGCATATTATTTGTATTTTTGTGTACTTTGTCCGTGTTTTCGGACAGGTGTAGAATCGTCCAAGTGGCATGTTACGACTGTGGGCACGAGTTGCGCCAACAGTTGGCTGCACTCTGACGATAAATGACGACCAACACGGCCAGCTGCCCTGCCCCCTTGCTGCTGCTTCTGCAAGTGTTGCGTGGCCTGAGAGCTCGCCCCTAGCGACGTGACCATGGCTGCCTTGCACCGCCAGGTCGAGACTTGCGAAACGGGCTTCAGTATCACCCAAACTTCATCATGTAAGATGTTACAATGCGCTGTTCGCGCTGCCTTGCCATCTTTGGGCTTGGCCCCAGAACAACTTGCGAAATCACTGCAGGTCTGCAAAGCAGACTTTGCATACTCGATGTCTCAAAGCCGGTAGCGTAGGAAAGCCAAGGACCATGCGATTTGATTGAGTTGTTTATCGTCATCATCTGAGCACACTCACTCGCTGAAGCTTCTGGGAGCCAGCTGTGAAATGTGACAAATGGTGTTACAAATGGAGATCCGCAGGTCTATTGCTCTGTACATGTCCCATCATCTCTGCACAGGCTCTGTATGTTTGCTACATCGAATGATTTCTTGATCAATGCCGGCGACATGACAGCAGCTCTTGAACACTTTCCAGAACCCGTGCCATAGCAGGGAAGCTTCCAGCCCAGGACACCGTCGGCATACGACGTGTGGTGTCCCGTCTCTGTAGCTGCCGCAATGCACCTGGGTGCTACTGTTTCATGACAGAGGTGAAAAAAGGCTTAGTCGCTGTGGCCATGACAAAAGCAACACCAACGAGGAATACATCACTCACAGGCAGAAGTTCCAACAAGAACGTCTATGCGGATTCGTAGTCTTGGAGGGCCAATTTAAGCTTGTTGGCCACCTTCTAGCCCGCGGCCTTAGGGATTTCTTGGCCAGTACGTCGGATTTTGTTTTCACCAGGCGTCTGTCAACACAGCCGAAGCCCAGACAGACAAACCCTGAAGCTCGGAAATCCATTCCTTCCTTCTCCAACAGTTTCTTGGACATGAAGATTCGCTGCCATCTAAGAATCACAGCTTCGAAATCGCGGACTTTGGACATGCAATGAAGAAGCAAACGCAAATGCTGTCCAACCGAATGACTATGCTCGAAAACCTCCGAGCGTTACCACACTGAGGATAAGATCAACACACCCACCCGAGCTCAACTTTGACTGCGGGCTTGAAAAACATCGAGCCCGAACTGACATCATCCTCTTTGCGAAATCGATGTTCCCAACCAAAGCCTGGCTTGCGTCTAAGAGCCCAGTACGGAAGCAGGAAGCTCAACTCCGTGCAGCCCGGTTGCCGCGTGGTGACCCTGTCGCAGCCACTCAGAGGGGCTGAAGAAGGCTCGGACCTCTTTGGCGCCTTTTGCTTTGACCCATTGCCTCAAAATCCCTACCCAGGTACATTTACATGGAAGCCAAGAAATACCTTGATATCTCTACGCACAAGTACATACTCTCGCAGATGAACATGTTTGTTTACGCAGGCCTCAGTTCTTTCACTTTCGACAAGTCTTGGTGGTTTCGAGGAATGCCACATTCCGAAAACCAACAAGAGCACCTTCATGTAAGCCCAAGCAGCTAGATTGAAGAGGTCGAGTATCGTCGACCTCTTCACAGATCTGTCTGAAGACAGACTGATGTCAGATGATTGACAGCCAGACACACAGATAGACAGACATACTCGCAGACAGACAGGCGTGAATATCTGTATGTGCACAGTTGTTTTCAGTGCACGGACCTTGTTTGGTTAGTTTTGCAGTGTCAGCTGCTTTGAGTTGTGTCAAGTTTTTGCTTGGAGACTGTGCTTTTCGCGATCCGTCTCCATCGTGTTCAGCTGCTTCCAGCTTCGAACTGAGCCGAGCCGGTAGCAGAGGGACGCAGTCCCGAACACACGAAGAGGGCGCCTGATCCTGGCCTCCAGGCTCTTAATACTCAGGCTCAGACTCGCCAACTTTCCGTCGGAGGCTGGACCCTTCTTTTCGAAGCCCTTTATCGCATGACGTGGGGCAACTGCACTGCCTTCGTCTACCAGACGCTTGGTGCACAAGTTGTTGGGTGGTGCCGGGTCGCGGGCCGAGGGCTTCTATGAGTCGGGTTCCCAAGCCAGGATCCTAGATCCCAACAGCTGACGCCGATCACTCTGACCTGGTAATGCTCTGAGCCAACCATCTTGACACTGCGACTGCAAGGCCCATCGTCGTGTTCCTCGACCCCAACTCCTCCTTGTTGTCCCTCGCCCTCAAACTCCGAGCTCAGGAAGTCGACGATCGCCCGTTGCGGTCCGGCCTAGGCTCACCGGTGTCCGGCGACAAGGGTGTGAAACCCATGGAGCAGCATCAGACGCAGTGTTTCAGTTTTTACCGGAAGTCTTGACAACAAGTCCTTAAGGAGCACTATCACAGTCTTTCGCATCGTCCAGTGTGCGCGACTCCTTTGAGCTGGTTTCAAACCCGTGGCGCCACAACGGGACGTTGCCCTATGGCCGAGAGCACAAGCACAAAAAAGGCATCGCATTTGCCTAGGGATGAGGGGTACTCGCTGCAAGTTCGGGGTGGCGCAAGTCGATGGGCCGTGCTTTGCTCCAGCTCCTCGTAGCGGCAGTCTGAGGTAGGAGCTGGGATCTGCGAAATGCAGCACCAGCAATCACAACAACTAAGAGACTATGTGATTATAAGAAAAAAATCTGCTATAGTTGCGCTGCCAAGCAAGAAGCCAACGAGAGGCCCGGAGGCCCCGGGCGGCAGGCCTCCGAGCCTCGGTGGCCATGCGCCTGCGCGGCGGCGGCTCGCAGTGGCGAAACGTGTCCTCCTCTGTGCCTTTGCCCGTCGCGCTTTCAATGCCAGGCGCGCCAGGCGTGCCCGTGGTGTGAGACGGCTGAAATGAGGTGAGTCTTGAGGTGCAGACTGTGCAGACTTCGACAGTTGAGTCGTATCGCTAGCCACCCAATAAAGGCGTGGGTCGTGATTTTCGGAATTAGATCTTCCTGCTTTGGCATCCCTTCGGGCTTGGGGAACCGTACGCACAGCCCAAAGAGCTGACAGGACATCGGCGATTGATGCAGAGAATTTCCTGGTTTCCAGTTTCACCCAAAAGTATGTGAAATTGGATTTCCGCCTCGTGTCCTCGAAGGCCATGGCTGCCTGCAGGCAAGGCACTATGGATCCCAGGCAGGAGACAGTGAATCCTGATGTCTCATGCCATTGCTGTCGTCTTCCAGGCTTTCGCCCTTGCTTTACTAACCCTGCTGCGAGAACTGACAAGGACAACGACAGCAAAAGCTACGATGATGCTGCCGATGATGCTGCTCCTACAGATGATGATGATGATGAAGATGAAGAATCAGATGATGACGATGACCTTCGCTGATTGCAGTGGCGATTGTGCTGATGATGAGAAGATGATTGTCATGGTGATGGCGATGTGATGTTTGAGAGGAGAAGGACGAGCAAGAGCAGCGTCGTTGTCGTCGTCGTGGCCGCGGCTGATACAAGTGGTGGTGGTGGTGGTGAGTGCCTCTCGAGCTTTTGACAATGGTGGTCGGAGTAATTGTTCTGGTAGAAGCTGTAAAAGAAGTAGCCTGGGTGGTCGTAGTAGTCGTCGTCGTCCTTGTGGCAGGCGGTAGCGATAGGGGTAGTGGTAGTGACGTCGTCGTTGTCGCGGGAGTCGTGTTCCTCGAAGCATCAACGGCAGTCGTTGTGGTGTTGGGAAACACAGACAAACCGGCTGAGTCGAAGCAGCATATTGAAGAGGCACCAGGAGTCCACTGACAGACATACGTTCATGAGGCGTTGAATGCGAACGTGTGCAGAGTAGGTGTCGGAGTTCTGAAGATTTCGCCTAGCGGCCTAGCGACGAAGAAGCAGACATGAAAACCCGAACCCGCTCGCCGGCCTCCACTAGGCCAGAAGCCCAGAACTCAAAATCCCCTCAAAGTTGCCTTGTATTCTTTCGGCCCCTGGACTGATGGCCTATACATCTTCTACTCTCTCTGCGAAGGCTTCTCACAGGCAGACTTGGCCGAGTGGCTGCAGCCCAGGGTGTCCAGGCCGCGATGGAGGCAAGGCTTCGTAGCAGGGTTGAGGCACTGCGTCAGAGGAAAGGATGTTTGGGCATGGGGGTATCGTTTGCGCAAGTTTGTGGAGGGTTTTGTGTATGAGCCCTTGCAGGCCTTCAGCCATGCACCTGTTACATCATATTATCTTTACAAGAAACTTTCATCCACATCCCTCGCTGAACGCCGCAGGTCCTCGCGACCGCCGGGGAGCTGGCGGTGCAGCTCAACGACATTCACTTCAACACGCTCATGACGGCAACGTCGAAGATGAGAAGGCTTGGGTTCGGAGTCGTGCCTGCGGCAACGTGTGGCGACCTCCTGGGTTCAAGGTTTGCAGGCTTTACAGTTTGTCTATGTTGCCAGATAGTAGCGATCTTCGTGTCAAAGCACAGGCACGCATAATGAGTCTGGGCATATCTTGCAAGAACAAAGAGGTAGTCACATCATCGTTCATGTACCGACGCAGAGGTGAAGATGTGCACTCGATTTGGAATGCAGGGATACCTGAGGACTGTGCATGAAGTGTAGAGCAGGTTCGACTCTGAGACCGAACAGTAGCTGACTGCGCATCTGTGGCATAGCTGGACTCGGACCTTAGGAGCGCAGCATGTGCGAAGCAAGATTGGGGCATGAAGCCATGCACATGCACCATCAGCATGGTACTTGAAGTTGATACAAACGAATATTGTCAATGAAGGTGGCATACGGTGCAATCGCGTGACATTTGCCGTTGCACCTCAGTCTGGAACGATGGTATGCCGCGAGCGGAGCGGCATAGAGGCTGATCTGCAATACCTTGCACGGCTGCCAGAACAGGGCGTCGAACAGCCGTGGCCTCTGCTGGTGTTTCTACACGGAGCTGGCGAGCGTGCGTCTGGCTCCAAAAAAAGGGATTTGAAACTGCTGAAAAGACACGGGCCGTGGAGTGCGGATGCTTTCATGGTAGTCGCGCCGCAATGTCGGCGTGAGCAGGTGTGGCCATCGTTAGCGCAGCAAGTCGTCTACTTCACGAAGAGGATCTGCGCTTCCTTCCCGATCGATAGGAAACGGGTGTACATTACGGGCCTTTCGATGGGTGCCTTCGGGTGCTTTGCTGCAGCCACAAAAGCGCCTTCCCTTTACGCAGCTTTGGTCGGCCTTGCTGGTGGCTTCTCAACAGAGCTGCCGAGTTCTGCTGGTGTGGGAACTTTGCAGGCCCTTGCAAAGACAGTGCCCAAGCTGGCAGAAGTAAAGCGGATGAGAAAACTGCCAATATGGCTTTTCCACGGTGTGCACGACAAGACGATCCCAATTTGCGGTTCTATTGCGGTCGTCAAGGCGCTGAAGGAGGATAAGCTGCGTGAAGCCCAAACAAAGCTTACAAAGCTTGATGCACGGCATTCAATTTGGAAGAAAGCCTACGGCCGGAAGGATCTGTACCGATGGCTTCTGCAACAGCAGAACGAAGGGAGAGCAAAGACAATCGCTGGTATTGCGCTGGAGGGAGGGATGTTCAGAGTGAGGTTCAGGAAGAACAAGAAATACTTCGAAGGTGGGAAATTTCGGGAGCTGCGGGACGCAGAGGCCAGAACAATCGAGCTCAGGCGCCAAGTGTCGAAGCTCGGGACATGCGGACCGAAGAAGCGGTCTAGGCGCAACTAGGCGATGGCTCATCCTTCGGAGGCGTAGCAGAAGACCACCGACACCTAGAGAAAAGCTGAGTGTGCCCGAAGTGCGCAGTGTGCCCATTCCGTCGAATCTCAACATGGGTGCCCGGTGCCCCTCCTCAATGTGATCTTCGTTGTGAGTCCTTATGTTGAGTTCGGTTCGAAGCGGCCCTGTTTTCGTTCTTGCAGGTGGGGCGCTGCTGTGGACCTTGCCCAGAGGATCTTCTGCCGTGGGCATCTTGTAACTGGTGGTCCTGGTCATAGTGATGACGATACGTCTACGAGTAGTAATTGCTTTGAGGTTGGGAGTCATAGCATATGGCGACTTTAATCCTCCAAACCCGAAACCGGTACAGTGAACAGCAATCATAGTCATACTCATGCTAACGCTTCGATCATATAGTGAACGGTAAAGGGCTAGATTTCGGAGTACCGTGCTGTGAGCCGTTGTCCGGCCTGCCCCAACCATTCCCATGCACCCCTCGAGCTCGGTTTTCTGTGCTGTACAGGTCCAGCTGGGCCCAGACTGCAACATTCGAAGCCCAAACCTCCCGGAACATCCCGACGAATTTCGGGACCTGTGCAGGAGCCAGAATGCAGGCATCCAGCTGGGCATAGCAGGTGTCGTGGCACTCACCATAATTTCATCGCCGTATTATCGTCTTTGTTTTTCCATCACCACAGTTACAAGTATCTGCTGAGAACCTACTGTGTTGGATGTAGCAGCTCCAGAGGATCGCCCCGATGTTACGAAGTTGTTCGGATGGCTTTTGTGAGCAGGATTTCTATTTAGCGTCCCTGTTCTTGGGAAGCTTGTGAAGTATCCCGACCAAGGACGCGATGGCGGCACCCTACCGGTAAGACTCCTCCCGTGCAACAGATCAGATACAGTAACAATCGAGGGTCCGGGTGGAAGTAGTAGTGACAATGGCTGCGGTAGTCAGATAGTGGTAGGAAGAGGAGAACGAGGAGGAGGTGGCAGCAGTAGAAGCTTTTTATGAGTATGCTCGGGACCGTCTTGAAAGTTCCAACTCAAGTCTGTTCTGAAGGATCGTCGTAGCATGGATGACCCTGTCCCTCACGAAGTCCGGGACTGTCAGCACTTGCCCCACGGAGCCTTGAACGGCAAGGTTGCAACATCCTCCTCTCCTCGATGGAGCTTTGGGAAGAAGCTTTGAACTTGGAGAGGTCGGCTCATGCATGGATCCCCGCCCGAAGAGGTGTAGACTAGACGATGATGTGACGCTTAATTGCAGTGCGTTGTCCGTGCTGTAGCACCGTGCTGCAAAATCGAGCTGCCTCCGTGACCACGAGCTAAGTGGAGCTCAATTTGTGCATAACCTGCAGAGAGCTTTAGTGCAAACGTCGCGACGTATGCTTTTACCTAGAATTCCCAGCGCGCTGTTTGGATGCCACAGGACTCTTGCCACGCTGCAGCCCACGGAAGCCAGTTCAGTGGCAACCTCCGGCGCCATGGCCCAGCGATGGGCGGAGGCCCCTTGGGCTATGCTTGGGCAAGTGTTTCATTCAAGCTACAAGTTGCAAATTCAAACATGGGCTCTGCTTGCTCACTGGTCTGGAGAGGAGGGTGCGCGGGCCCGCTGGAGAAACCTCAAAGCTGAAAGTAAGCCCAGCCAGAAGGTCTCGGTGACAGCATCAGAATCATAATCGCTATCGAATAATCATTGTCACGACTGCTACTTTTGCCATTGTTGTTATGATTGTGATGTTTACTCTTGTTGTTGTTCTTCTTCTTGCTTCAACCATGTCTCTGTTGCTAGTGATGTTCCCGTGTTTTGTTGGTCAGGCCTTCCATCTCCTTGGCCACTTCGAGCGTCTACGCCTCGCGTCGAGCACAGCAGCCTACAATGCGGTGGCTTGGTCAGAAGAAAGGTGTAGGCCTTCGTGGTTGAGGGTTTGGAATCGTCGAGTTTAGGATTTGTAGCTTCAGGGCTTTCCGTGTAGGATTGAGAGTTGCTGCTATGCGCCTCGTACCGCAGAGCCATCAGGTAGGCCCAGTATAACAGAGGGACTTCAGACAGCCTGAGCAATCCTGGCATAGGCAAGCTTGGAGCTCAGATCTTCAGGCGATTTCGGGATGCTCCTGGCGACGGGCACTGTCCCTTTTGGATTGCGGCAGGCTGGTAGCCTTGGAACTCAGAGGCTTCAGGTTGTGGATGTTTGCATGTAGGCAATGTAGGCCAGGGGTGTCCCGTGCATGGCATTCTCAAAGCCTAAAGCTTATTGCAGGGCCCCCCAAAAAGCACACCAATCAGGATAGGGATATCCATGTAAATCCCAGTACAATGGGGCCCAAGAAGGTAGGGATATCCTTGTAAACTAAGGCCTCGGCCTTTGTTCTTTCCGGGGCGCGTCATTATATTGAACCTTTCAATCCCTGAAGCTTCAACTCCACTGCCCTGGCCGCCCTGGCCCCACAGACTGCGTGATTCCCTGAGCGCCCGACTTCACAAACGAAAGAATCGCAGGAATCGTATTCAGGATCGCAGTTGCAATAACATCCGAAAGCGTGGTAGCGAGAACTACGACGACTGGGGCCTCCTGGGTTCAGGAAGCGACTACACACCTTTATTTCTCTCTCTCTCTCTCTCTCTCTCTCTCTCTCTCTCTCTCTCTCTCTCTCTCTCTCTCTCTCTCTCTATATATATATAGACACACACACACACACATACATGTATATCTGTGTATACAGCATACGTAGATCTTAGATATAGGTAGGTAGGTAGTTAGTTAGGTAGGTATACATGTATACAGAAACTGCGGTTTAACATGCATTTCCGATGATCTTGCTACTGTGCTATATGGGAGTTTCCTAAAATAGGGGACCCTAATATAGTACCCCAAATAGTAGGATCCTTATTTTAAGGACCCCCCAAATATGGTACCCCTAATTTTCGGAAACTCTCATATTCTTGTCCCATCTCAGGAATTATCAAAAAGCAGCCAGTAGAAGCTCTGCTTTTTGTCGACAAAGGCTGGCCTTCACGGCGGCCCACCCTCTCTATCCCCCTAGGTGTGTTATACATCTATGTACATATATATATGTATAACTATATCTATATCTATATATACATATATATATATATATATACACGTATATATCTTTACATATATGTAGTATGTGTTCAATATCTATATATTTAGATCCAAACCCAGATCTGGATCTATATCTGTTATTTGTATCTATACCCTTATGAAAAGTATGAATGCTTCGCGCCTTAAACTTTGCGGCTGAATCAGGAACCGGGTTTGCTTGGACCAAGTTGGTTTCACGTCGGTTGCGAAAGCTGCTGAGGAGGACAGATGCATGCATGAGGCAGCCATGAAGCAGTGCATTGCTAGACTGCTAGAGCTTCTCAGAGTCTGGTCGCAGATCTAAGATGGTAGCCTCAACTTTCGCCGGCGGCTTTCAAGATTTCTCAGCTTTCGGAAAAGTTGTTTCGCGGCACCCCTTGCCGCGATCATGGATTTCGCTCATCATCATGACGGTCGGATACTCCATGCCGGGCATTCCCACGACATGGAGGGAGTAGACATCTCCGACGGTGATCCCGGCTTCGCAATGCTCCTGACCCTGCTCGCCGGCCTTGCCACCACGATCGGCGCAGCCATTGCGTTCTGTGCCAATACTGACGACAACCGCGTGTTCGCGGTTTGCCTCGGCGTGTCCGCCGGGGTCATGGCGTACGTGTCGTTCTCAGAGATCTTGGACATGACGAACCAAAGCTTCCAGGACTCAGGCCTGACTGAGCGGAGTTCTTTCACGTGGGGGACAGTGACCACCTTCGCAGGGATCCTCCTCGCCATGCTGGTGGAGTTTATCGGCATGAAGTGCTTCCACAGGCATGCCGGCGAGGTTGTGGTGAGCGATGCTCCCGAACCGGCAGTGCAGGACGCGGCCGCAGAGAAGCCCCTCAGCAAGTCCGAGCGGTTGAACATGTTGCAGATGGCGACATTCTCAGGAATCGCTGTTGCATTGCACAATTTTCCCGAGGGCATCGCAACCTTCATCTCGACAATGGCTGATCCCAGCTTTGGGCCGGCAATGGCCTTCGCCATCGCGATGCACAACATCCCCGAAGGCCTAGCCGTGGCAGCGCCCATCAAGAAGGCGACGGGCTCCAAGTGCAAAGCGTTTTTCTGGGCCTTCGTTTCCGGCCTCTCCGAGCCCCTGGGCGGTCTGTTGGGATGGTTGGTCCTCAAGGACGTACTGGGGCCCGCCACCTACGGCATCTTCTACGGCCTCACCGCAGGCATCATGATCCACATCTCTTTCAAGAAGATGCTGCCGACCGCCCTGAAGTACGATCCAAGTAATCGCTACACGTCCTACTCCTTCTTTGCCGGAATGGCCCTGATGGCAATCTCCCTGATAGCCTTCAGATGGGCTTAGTCATTTGATTTTCGGGTTCAGGGTGCCAAACTGGGATTCTCAAGTGTTTTCGAAGGGCGTCGCTTGTCTGTTCCGAAGGATCAGATAAGTTCAGACGGTTTTAAGTGGGGTGTACCGGAGCTCGCCAGAGCTTGCCAGAGCTCGCCGTGCCGAGCACGTGAGTGTATGCAAAAGCATAGAGGGCCTTGGACACATATTCGGTGTGCCTGGACTTGTATAGTAAAGCACAGGCACGCCCTCGAGGCAGTGGTCACGTCTGTTGCAAAAGCTGCTGAGGAGCGCGGATGCATGCATGAGGCAGCCATGAAGCAGTGCATTGCAAGACTGCTAGAGCTTCTCAGAGCCTGGTCGCAGATCTAAGATGGTAGCCCTCAACTTTCGCCGGCGGCTTTCAAGATTTCTCAGCTTTCGGAAAAGTTGTTTCGGGGCACCCCTTGCCGCGATCATGGATTTCGCTCATCATCATGACGGTCGGATACTCCATGCCGGGCATTCCCACGACATGGAGGGAGTGGACATCTCCGACGGTGATCCCGGCTTCGCAATGCTCCTGACCCTGCTCGCCGGCCTTGCCACCACGATCGGCGCAGCCATTGCGTTCTGTGCCAATACTGACGACAACCGCGTGTTCGCGGTTTGCCTCGGCGTGTCCGCCGGGGTCATGGCGTACGTGTCGTTCTCAGAGATCTTGGACATGACGAACCAAAGCTTCCAGGACTCAGGCCTGACTGAGCGGAGTTCTTTCACGTGGGGGACAGTGACCACCTTCGCAGGGATCCTCCTCGCCATGCTGGTGGAGTTTATCGGCATGAAGTGCTTCCACAGGCATGCCGGCGAGGTTGTGGTGAGCGATGCTCCCGAACCGGCAGTGCAGGACGCGGCCGCAGAGAAGCCCCTCAGCAAGTCCGAGCGGTTGAACATGTTGCAGATGGCGACATTCTCAGGAATCGCTGTTGCATTGCACAATTTTCCCGAGGGCATCGCAACCTTCATCTCGACAATGGCTGATCCCAGCTTTGGGCCGGCAATGGCCTTCGCCATCGCGATGCACAACATCCCCGAAGGCCTAGCCGTGGCAGCGCCCATCAAGAAGGCGACGGGCTCCAAGTGCAAAGCGTTTTTCTGGGCCTTCGTTTCCGGCCTCTCCGAGCCCCTGGGCGGTCTGTTGGGATGGTTGGTCCTCAAGGACGTACTGGGGCCCGCCACCTACGGCATCTTCTACGGCCTCACCGCAGGCATCATGATCCACATCTCTTTCAAGAAGATGCTGCCGACCGCCCTGAAGTACGATCCAAGTAATCGCTACACGTCCTACTCCTTCTTTGCCGGAATGGCCCTGATGGCAATCTCCCTGATAGCCTTCAGATGGGCTTAGTCATCTGATTTTCTCTTGAAAGCGGGGTTTCTGGACTCTGCTTGAAAGGCGGTGCTTCCCCTGTCCTTCCTCGAAGGATCGGACAAGTGAACGCTCCGCAGTCTCTTGGAGCTTGCCAGAGCGCGCCGTGCCGTGTATGCAAAAGCATAGAGGGCCTTGGACACATATTCGGTGTGCCTGGACTTGTATAGTAAAGCACAGGCACGCCCTCGAGGCAGTGGTCACGTCTGTTGCAAAAGCTGCTGAGGAGCGCGGATGCATGCATGAGGCAGCCATGAGGCAGTGCATTGCAAGACTGCTAGAGCTTCTCAGAGCCTGGTCGCAGATCTAAGATGGTAGCCTCAACTTTCGCCGGCGGCTTTCAAGATTTCTCAGCTTTCGGAAAAGTTGTTTCGCGGCACCCCTTGCCGCGATCATGGATTTCGCTCATCATCATGACGGTCGGATACTCCATGCCGGGCATTCCCACGACATGGAGGGAATAGACATCTCCGACGGTGATCCGGCTTCGCAATGCTCCTGACCCTGCTCGCCGGCCTTGCCACCACGATCGGCGCAGCCATTGCGTTCTGTGCCAATACTGACGACAACCGCGTGTTCGCGGTTTGCCTCGGCGTGTCCGCCGGGGTCATGGCGTACGTGTCGTTCTCAGAGATCTTGGACATGACGAACCAAAGCTTCCAGGACTCAGGCCTGACTGAGCGGAGTTCTTTCACGTGGGGGACAGTGACCACCTTCGCAGGGATCCTCCTCGCCATGCTGGTGGAGTTTATCGGCATGAAGTGCTTCCACAGGCATGCCGGCGAGGTTGTGGTGAGCGATGCTCCCGAACCGGCAGTGCAGGACGCGGCCGCAGAGAAGCCCCTCAGCAAGTCCGAGCGGTTGAACATGTTGCAGATGGCGACATTCTCAGGAATCGCTGTTGCATTGCACAATTTTCCCGAGGGCATCGCAACCTTCATCTCGACAATGGCTGATCCCAGCTTTGGGCCGGCAATGGCCTTCGCCATCGCGATGCACAACATCCCCGAAGGCCTAGCCGTGGCAGCGCCCATCAAGAAGGCGACGGGCTCCAAGTGCAAAGCGTTTTTCTGGGCCTTCGTTTCCGGCCTCTCCGAGCCCCTGGGCGGTCTGTTGGGATGGTTGGTCCTCAAGGACGTACTGGGGCCCGCCACCTACGGCATCTTCTACGGCCTCACCGCAGGCATCATGATCCACATCTCTTTCAAGAAGATGCTGCCGACCGCCCTGAAGTACGATCCAAGTAATCGCTACACGTCCTACTCCTTCTTTGCCGGAATGGCCCTGATGGCAATCTCCCTGATAGCCTTCAGATGGGCTTAGTCATCTGATTTTCTCTTGAAAGCGGGGTTTCTGGACTCTGCTTGAAAGGCGGTGCTTCCCCTGTCCTTCCTCGAAGGATCGGACAAGTGAACGCTCCGCAGTCTCTTGGAGCTTGCCAGAGCGGGCCGTGCCGTGTATGCAAAAGCATAGAGGGCCTTGGACACATATTCGGTGTGCTTGGACTTGTATAGTAAAGCACAGGCACGCCCTCGAGGCAGTGGTCACGTCTGTTGCAAAAGCTGCTGAGGAGCGCGGATGCATGCATGAGGCAGCCATGAAGCAGTGCATTGCAAGACTGCTAGAGCTTCTCAGAGCCTGGTCGCAGATCTAAGATGGTAGCCCTCAACTTTCGCCGGCGGCTTTCAAGATTTCTCAGCTTTCGGAAAAGTTGTTTCGGGGCACCCCTTGCCGCGATCATGGATTTCGCTCATCATCATGACGGTCGGATACTCCATGCCGGGCATTCCCACGACATGGAGGGAGTGGACATCTCCGACGGTGATCCCGGCTTCGCAATGCTCCTGACCCTGCTCGCCGGCCTTGCCACCACGATCGGCGCAGCCATTGCGTTCTGTGCCAATACTGACGACAACCGCGTGTTCGCGGTTTGCCTCGGCGTGTCCGCCGGGGTCATGGCGTACGTGTCGTTCTCAGAGATCTTGGACATGACGAACCAAAGCTTCCAGGACTCAGGCCTGACTGAGCGGAGTTCTTTCACGTGGGGGACAGTGACCACCTTCGCAGGGATCCTCCTCGCCATGCTGGTGGAGTTTATCGGCATGAAGTGCTTCCACAGGCATGCCGGCGAGGTTGTGGTGAGCGATGCTCCCGAACCGGCAGTGCAGGACGGGGCCGCAGAGAAGCCCCTCAGCAAGTCCGAGAGGTTGAACATGTTGCAGATGGCGACATTCTCAGGAATCGCTGTTGCATTGCACAATTTTCCCGAGGGCATCGCAACCTTCATCTCGACAATGGCTGATCCCAGCTTTGGGCCGGCAATGGCCTTCGCCATCGCGATGCACAACATCCCCGAAGGCCTAGCCGTGGCAGCGCCCATCAAGAAGGCGACGGGCTCCAAGTGCAAAGCGTTTTTCTGGGCCTTCGTTTCCGGCCTCTCCGAGCCCCTGGGCGGTCTGTTGGGATGGTTGGTCCTCAAGGACGTACTGGGGCCCGCCACCTACGGCATCTTCTACGGCCTCACCGCAGGCATCATGATCCACATCTCTTTCAAGAAGATGCTGCCGACCGCCCTGAAGTACGATCCAAGTAATCGCTACACGTCCTACTCCTTCTTTGCCGGAATGGCCCTGATGGCAATCTCCCTGATAGCCTTCAGATGGGCTTAGTCATTTGATTTTCGGGTTCAGGGTGCCAAACTGGGATTCTCAAGTGTTTTCGAAGGGCGTCGCTTGTCTGTTCCGAAGGATCAGATAAGTTCAGACGGTTTTAAGTGGGGTGTACCGGAGCTCGCCAGAGCTTGCCAGAGCTCGCCGTGCCGAGCACGTGAGTGTATGCAAAAGCATAGAGGGCCTTGGACACATATTCGGTGTGCCTGGACTTGTATAGTAAAGCACAGGCACGCCCTCGAGGCAGTGGTCACGTCTGTTGCAAAAGCTGCTGAGGAGCGCGGATGCATGCATGAGGCAGCCATGAAGCAGTGCATTGCAAGACTGCTAGAGCTTCTCAGAGCCTGGTCGCAGATCTAAGATGGTAGCCCTCAACTTTCGCCGGCGGCTTTCAAGATTTCTCAGCTTTCGGAAAAGTTGTTTCGGGGCACCCCTTGCCGCGATCATGGATTTCGCTCATCATCATGACGGTCGGATACTCCATGCCGGGCATTCCCACGACATGGAGGGAGTGGACATCTCCGACGGTGATCCCGGCTTCGCAATGCTCCTGACCCTGCTCGCCGGCCTTGCCACCACGATCGGCGCAGCCATTGCGTTCTGTGCCAATACTGACGACAACCGCGTGTTCGCGGTTTGCCTCGGCGTGTCCGCCGGGGTCATGGCGTACGTGTCGTTCTCAGAGATCTTGGACATGACGAACCAAAGCTTCCAGGACTCAGGCCTGACTGAGCGGAGTTCTTTCACGTGGGGGACAGTGACCACCTTCGCAGGGATCCTCCTCGCCATGCTGGTGGAGTTTATCGGCATGAAGTGCTTCCACAGGCATGCCGGCGAGGTTGTGGTGAGCGATGCTCCCGAACCGGCAGTGCAGGACGTGGCCGCAGAGAAGCCCCTCAGCAAGTCCGAGCGGTTGAACATGTTGCAGATGGCGACATTCTCAGGAATCGCTGTTGCATTGCACAATTTTCCCGAGGGCATCGCAACCTTCATCTCGACAATGGCTGATCCCAGCTTTGGACCGGCAATGGCCTTCGCCATCGCGATGCACAACATCCCCGAAGGCCTAGCCGTGGCAGCGCCCATCAAGAAGGCGACGGGCTCCAAGTGCAAAGCGTTTTTCTGGGCCTTCGTTTCCGGCCTCTCCGAGCCCCTGGGCGGTCTGTTGGGATGGTTGGTCCTCAAGGACGTACTGGGGCCCGCCACCTACGGCATCTTCTACGGCCTCACCGCAGGCATCATGATCCACATCTCTTTCAAGAAGATGCTGCCGACCGCCCTGAAGTACGATCCAAGTAATCGCTACACGTCCTACTCCTTCTTTGCCGGAATGGCCCTGATGGCAATCTCCCTGATAGCCTTCAGATGGGCTTAGTCATCTGATTTTCTCTTGAAAGCAGGGTTTCTGGACTCTGCTTGAAAGGCGGTGCTTCCCCTGTCCTTCCTCAAAGGATCGGACAAGTGAACGCTCCGCAGTCTCTTGGAGCTTGCCGTGCTTGCCGTGCAGAGCACGTGAGTGCACCGAGGCACAAACGCAGATTTGGCGCGCGCCTGCACTTCTTAGACTTTTAGAGCAGGCTGTGCCCCGAGGTGGTGGTTAGGGTCGCCGCTTTTCGGTCAGAAAAGTTGCAGAGAAGGACAGATGCACTCATGACCAAAGGAAGACTTTCGGGATATTTCCAGCGCAGAGGAGCAGACGTTTTGGGCAGCGGCGCTAGACCACTTCCGCCGGCCAGGATCGCCGAGGCATCGGCCCCGGAAGTTCGCTAGGGATTTGAGAAGGATGTTTCTGAGTGCAGTTGACTCGCTTGGGCTTAAGCATTTTCCATGCTCTATCGGCTCGCCTTCGAGATCTGGCGGCTCTGACTCTGAAGCTTTGGAAGAAAGAAGTAGCTCTCCCACTTGAAGGATGGGCTCCCCTTGCTACCACGGCTCTTGCTGACATAATGCCTTCAACCCGATGGACCGGCAAGGGCCTACAAAAGCCAATGGAAGCCACGGAGGATATCAGCTCCCGTCGAGCACAGTCAGCCCTTGATCGCTCGAATGCAAAGCTACGTCCGAAAGCCTTGAGCTCGAAATCTCGCTTGCGAGAGGTCGCCGGATGCGCAAAGCCTGGCCATGACTGTGTCAAGCTGCAATCAGGCTCCCGGACTGGCGCAGGGGTTCGGGTGGTTTCCTGGTCCCGAGTTTCGAAACAAGACTTTGCCGGGTTGTGGAGCTGCAAGCTATGGTCGGGCCCTGATCAAAGTTCTGGCGAACAACCTGCAACTGCCAGGCTCAGCAGTGGCGCCGGGGCCTTCTTCTGCGCATCGGCAATGAGGTGGGCCCTGGTACGCTGCAACATGGACCTTTCAAGCCTGTGGATGTTGTGCTTCCTTTCTATACGGGGTCCTGACTATGATGCACCATGTCCATGACAATGAGAATTAAAGCACGCCGACACATTGGTTTTGGCGCATCTCATCGTCGCATGCAGAGATGCCAGGGATTGGGGCAGAACAGAATGCTTCGGAACCCTGCTGAATCCTGTTGCAGGGTGTCTTAAGAGTCACTACTTGTAGCAGCCACTAGGAACCTGGGATCATGCTCCACAGTGCTCTGACAGGCGACATGGAACGAGTACTGCTTCAATGCAGCGATGAAAGGCTCCCAGGAAAGGCCGGCCGGGCAGCTGGTCGTCACAAGACATTCCAAGACCTCATTCAGTTCGGTCGGGTCGTTGCGCTGCGTCTGTACCCTCTTGAACGCATGATGTCTGACCTGCGTTGGCTTTGGGGTGCAGGTGGCCTCTCGTCGGTGCACTGCTTCTGCAGATGAGGGAGAACCGAGTCTCCCCAGTGACCCGACTAAAGCGTTTGTGAGTTGGATCATCGGACCTTCGAGGGCCTTTCGGCTTGAGACGCCAGTGGCTCTGGCATTTCCATCCGGTCGCAGGGATATAGACGAAGAGTACTGGAAATTGGGTGGTCCCCATAAAGCTGATCAGGGTGTAACAGTCAATTAGTATACTTTGTGGCAAGAGTGTCGAGCCGAGTCGGGAGCATCATAATGTAATCCAGAGCAGACTATTAACTCGTCTGATACGCACTCACAGTGAGAAGGTTGCAGTACAAACCTGGACATACATCGTTCAGTACAAATGTTCAGAGTATAATCTAGAACTAGAATCCCAGTGGGTACGTGGACCTGCCTAGCGTGTATGTAAAGCACGCATAGACCCAGGTCATGTTTTACCGTAGGGAAGTAGGGCATCGTGCAAGCCGACATGGAATCCAAGGACGGTGCCTCGATCAGCATCATGGCCACCTCACTGGTACAGGCTGGTGGCGTGTAGAGCGAAGCTTTGCATTGTGTTCCAACACCCATGTTCACCATGATGTCTTGCTAGATTCTCTGTTTCGGGTTGTGTTGCACCATGCTTGGCTACGCTACTTTCTGGCGCGGCCGCACCGCTGTTGCGGCTTCTGCTGCAGGGCCGTGTGCGATCACGGCTCTCGCAGACACCGAATGCATCCTCACAGCCGTTGGCGTCAACTTCGTTTTCAACTCCCAAGCCTAAGCCCATGAACCGGTTTGCAGCCCGACCCGCTCAGCGTTCCGCGGCTTTCACATCGCTGCGCTTCTGCCAGGCTCGCCACTGGAGTTCGGCGCTTGAGATCCTGGAGCCTCCCTCGCCGACCACGACTGTCACTTTCCACTCAGCCAGGGACTCGGAGCTTGCAAGATTCAAGGGTTTTCAAGGTTCGGGATTAGCTCTTCTAAGATTCCACGGACTGCAACATACCATGCCAGTTTGCATTTTCTTTACATCGTCAGTTTCGAGCTCCTCTGGCCTTGTAGCTGCCCCGTTTGCACCGAGACCATGCATGCACTCGGCGAGAATTCGTTGTGGGAATGGGTGCTGCTTCTTCTGCGCACCTTGTGCCGCCAGAGCCCTATGTCCGCAGAAGTGCAGATGAGCCACACTGAGCCGATTTCTCACGATCTGTCTCGTGCACTGAAACTGAGTGGCAGGTCGAGCAGACTCAGATTTTGTTGTGCTTCCACGGGTCCAGAATGAGTGCTGCGTGTGTGACGGTGCTGAGTTGAGCCCCTCTTTAGCCTTAGTGTCTTCTCGAAGCCGTGGTGTTGCTGCTGGAGTCATACGAAGACAGACACAGAAGCAGAAAGGAGCAGCCCAGAAAGACGCTTAGGCCGAAAGCTGTTTGGACTTCGAGCTTCGGAGATGAGTTTTAGTGTGGCCAGAGCCTCAGCGGAGAAGGCGCCAGCGGTGCAATCTGTTGCTGCTTTTGTCTCTTAGGATGAAGCGAGAGAGAAAGAGAGGGAGAGGGAGAGGGTCGCCTGGCGACCCTTATGCCCGGCAGAAAGAAAGAGAGTGAGAGAGAGATAGAGAGAAAGGCAGGCAGGGACAGACGACAGTAACGAGCTTCAGAAGAGGCCCACGAGACACATGGCAAGCCATACGCACAGACATGGTAAGAAGAACCAGATTGATAAGACCGGGAGGTTAGACTTAGAACGCATACAGGCTAGATCGTATGCTCAGGCGTTTGACGACGCAACCCCCAGCTCTATGATGCCAAATTCCGTTGTAAGAACCCTGGGCCCGGGGTTTTATGCTTCGCACTCCAGGATCAGGGCTTCCATGAGAAATGGATCCTGTAGAAAGCACTTTTGCTCCCGAGGCCATGGATGCCTGCCAGCAGGGTGCGGTGTGGCCCCTTGGATGCACGCAAGAAGCTGGTGTCTGGGATCCGGATGTAAGTGTTTTCGCAGTCAGTGTTTCGGATAGTTTTTCTTGTTGAGTTGGTGTGGTTCCAGCACAAAACTGGTTGGTGGATTGCACCTTGCATTGCGAGAACCCGGTTATTCGTCGTGAGTCCATGCCGCCACTCTGTACACGCCTCCACCCTGGAACCTGAGTTGCCATGAGAGCGAGCCATAACATCCCGCTCTCCCTGAAACTTCCGGTGGCTTGAGGTCCCCGAACCCCAGACGTCTAAGGCAAGGATCCACGGACTTGCTGAGCCAGGCCCGGCCGAAACGAACGAGCCTTGGGTTGTGAAGGGAAGGTTGGGGATCCGAGGCGCCTCCCAGGAGCCCGTTCAGAGCCGATCCCAAACTCCAAGTCTCAAGTCCTTGAGGGTCTGGCTGCAGAGGCGATGTGCACCGTGGGGTGTGCGAGCACGATCACCTGGAACCCTTTTTTAAGTCTTTCGTCTGCATTCGGCTCCCCCACTAAAGTTGGTGACATGACACGCGCCACTTCCGCACTTGCTCTGAGGCGCTTGTGAGCGGCATGGTGGGCTCTGGCAGCAGAGCCTCGCCGCTCTGCGGCTGCCGGGCCTCGGCCTGAAATTGCAAAGCTTACGCTTCAGCCGCGACGTGGCGAAGGCCTGCGCTCGCGCCTCCGCCTGGGCCGCAGGGCTTACGCTCTTGGGCCAGCGGGGCCCAGCGCAGGAGTGGGAGCCGGCGCGGGAGCCTCAGCCTCATGGGCCTTGGGAGAGGATGGCGAGGCTTTTGGGCTTGGGCCGCTTCGACGGCTTCTGCGCTCCGTCGCGACTCGCTCGGTGGCAGACGGCCATGGAAGCACTGCAAGCCGGCCGGCGGAGGCAAATCGAAGTGGATCAGGTTGATTTCAACGCGGCCGTCAGTGCTTGCGAGAAGGATGTCGACGATGTCGAGCAGTCTCCAGGCACAATGTGGCGGCATGTCCTGTGCTTGCTGGACGAAGCGCAGAAGCAAACCAGGCCGGACTGCATCACTTTCAGTGCAGCTATCAGTATCCTAGACAAAGCAAGATGTTGGAAGAAGGCCCTGGCATCGTATGATGGCCTTTTGAGCAGGGCTGTGGAGCCTGGTGGAGTGACCTTCAACGCTTTGGCCGGCGCACTGGAAACGGCTCGGCGCTGGCCTGAGGCCCTGCTACTATTGGAGGCCATGGACGACGTCTTCGGGGTCTCGCCAGACAACATCTTTTTTGGGGTGTTGCTGAAGTCGTCCTCAGGTTTCATGCCTGCAGACCAACTCTGGGCCCAGATGCAGAGCCGTCGCGTTGCCTCGGATGCCGTCGCCTGTGCGTCAGCACTAGAGGGATTGGTGTTGGACATGAGGGTCACGGACAGCACCAGCATGCTGCCGAGACTGCAGGACCTGGGCATCGAAGTTCTGCGGGAGCGGTTGAAGTGAGGGGTTTGAAAAACAGGGGCATCCGCCTCGGTGCGAAAGCAGTGCCGGGAAGCTTCCGGATGATCTTGCTGTCGATCTTCCCCGAAGAAGCTTTAACAGGGAAGTTGTGGCACGAATCTTTGCAGCTCGTGCTGACAAGGTCGTGGCCTCGTGCTGCATCACTCACACAAGAGTTTTCCCTTTCCCATGGTTCAAAGAATTGATTGACATCTGGCTGCTTCCGCAGCCATTTGGCCGAATCGGAGGGAGCGGCTTGCGACATCAAGTCACCCTTGGCTGTAAGCTAGCCTTCAAGGTGTTTCGGCGACGAGTAAAGTGGGAGTCCAGCTCCTGAGCAACAAGGAGCTTTCCCTACTGGCCAGGCAAGGCCACGACACCAGCAAAGGCACTCACAAACGTAAGACAAGCCCGTAGTAGCTTGCACCAAAGCATGCCTGTGCGGCCGCTCCGAGCACGGCAGGAAGTGGGGTGCTGAGGTGTTGAAAGAGAGATGGTGTTGCCCCTTCTGAAGCCGAACGATGCCCTGCTCTGAGGACTCTCCGCTGCGGAGGCCGCTGCAAACCATCCGGTACTGTCTCGTGTCTAGTGCTGCTTTTGCAATGCGGACTCGGTGAAGCTGGGGCTGCCGATGCAGATTTCATTGCTCACGAGGGGTTCTGGCCTGCCCGTGCCGACAAGAGTCCTTCATCGCAGCCTCTCCATCATGTTGAACTCCATTACGACTTCTTGAACACCGGCCACAAAGACGGTAAGAAGATGAGGACTTGAGGACTTGCATTCCTGGCATAGCCCGAGGGCTCCAAAGCGCCCTCCGACGGAGCCATGGCTGCGGCGGCTGCACCGATGCCCTCTGCCATTCTCTACTCTGCGCTTGGCAATCCCAAGGACGGCTTTCCAGGCATCACGGGGGCACACAACGGACTCGGGGCGGCAGGTCTTTCAGCGTTATCCGGCCTGTCGTGCTGAGACAGATACTGTTGAAGCTGAGAGTGCATGAGTGTGTTGTGAGAAGTAGATCTCCACTACGTGCATTGCCAGCCTTTCTCGCTTAACTCCAGGCTACTGCGCTTCACATCCGCCAGACTGGATCCCAGGCTGCACTGGGCCAAACTTTCCCGCCTCTCCTTGAAGATGATGCAACAGACGGCGCCGAACGACCTATATAGCCCACGCGTGAGCTCCTTTCAAAGCCGAAGAACCTGAGAAAATGAGTGAGGCATCCCAACTCCCCATAACAAACGAAGCCTTCTGGCCAGAACATCCCGAACACGCTAGGATCACCCTCAACCCCAGAAACCTTCAGCTTGGAGCTTAAGGACCGGCACGCAGTGCGAGTCCTGGCCGGGTCGTCATCCCGAGGTTCAGCTGAGAATTGTGCTTGCTGGGGTTTTTATTGTTCAAGGGTTGATCCATTCGGGGTTTCTCAGCTTACATACGGGCTTGGGCTTGGGGTTTGAAGGGCGTGGTGTAGAGGACCGCTGCACCTAGAGAGCTGATGTTTCGTGTGGGATGTTGAGTTGCAGTGTTCATCTTCATGCGATGGTTTCGGACTTGTGGGCAAGCGGCTGATTCATGCAAACATCGGGATCTCTTCTAGTCAAGTACTCTTCTAGTGTTGTTTCGTGACGTGTAGCATAGTCTATAAATAAAGGTTTGTCCAGTCTGTTGAAGTAACCATGCCAAAGTCTTGTACGTTTCGGGAATTTAGTCTCTGGGTCTTACCAACGTTTGTGGGAAGTTCTTCACGAACACTTTGGGATGCCCGGCGAATCCGGGTGGTCGGCTTCATCTACTTCATCTAGTTGTGCTGTTAGGGCCAGGAGAGATGAAGCTGAAGATTGCATTGACATAGTTTGGGTTCACATCGACGTATACTGTTGCGCAATTCTACATGTCTGATATTTGGCAGTGTACTGTGCCGGTCCGATAGTTCGAGCCAGTGCAACCGGCGTAATTACTCCAGCCATGCCCTCACCCTCTGCTCACAGACTCCTGATGCACGTGCAAAAGGACCACAGCATCGACCGACAGGTCTACGGCCCTTTTCGGCTGGGCCGACTTCGCGCCGAGCGGCTCAGCGATGGTCGTGGGCGGGGTTTGGCCTCTGGCGCTGATGTGGAGGCCCTGGGTGCATGCACGGAAGGCTTCCTCAGCGCTTCTGTTCAGGGTTGGGGTCCAGAGGTCGGGTTCAGGGCAGTCTCACAAAAGCCGAGGCCCATGAGGCCGTCTGTGCGGGACAGCCGCCGCTCTCCATACTCCAGTACAGCGATTCCCAGAGTCTCTGCACCTTCGGCTGGAGTCCAATTTCCCAAAACTACAACCGTACTGTATAACCCATGAATCTTTGCAATGGCTTCTAAGGCGAGGTCTGTGCCCACTGCCACCGTTTCTGCGGAAGCCTGGCAACTGCGCTCCGGCGCTGCCTGGAAGCAGCCAAGGCCGGGACTTTGGAGGACTATCTGCCGGATCCCCAGCTCATCGCTGATTTGGAGGGCCCTGAGTGGCAGATCCGTGGGCGAGTGCCCTGTGAGAATGGCTGCGGAGCTGTTTTCTGCAGCGAGGAGTGTGCAGAGGCAGGTCGGCGAGAAGGCTGGCACCGTATACTCTGCGTGGACCTGACGGAAAAACAGCGGCAGGTCTGGAAGTGCTTCCAGCAGTATTCCGTGAAGTACCACGAGCAGTTCATCGCCGCTGCCAGAGTCATCGCCGAAATCATCTGCATGGTGAAGTATTCTGGGGTGGAGCTGTGGGAGGCCATGGCTTACTTCAGTCGCTTCATGAAGATGTCCTGGCTGAACATGCAGAACGTGCCTTCCATGTCTACCTGCCAGGCACGGACCCTTACCCTTGAGACCCTGAAGCACTGAAGCAGCCGAAAACCCATCCAGAACCTGGCCAAACCTAAGCACCACCAAGCCCCTAAGCCCTAAACCCACCCTAAGCCCCCTAAAGCCTCCTCAGTGACTCCTCAGAACGCTAAGAGCCCAAGGCCCCAGAGGCTTGGCTAAGGCAAAGCCCCGGCCTGTGATGAGGCTGGGCCGCTCCGCGGGAAGTTGGCTGCCATGGCGCAGGGACGGAAGGAGCGACGCCAGCAGGCCCTAAGGGCCCTGGGCCTCTTCAGTCACCGCAAGAGGAATAATACATAAACAACGAGTTGAATACATACACATATCATATCATATATATATATATATATATATCTATATGCATGCGCTTATGCAGAGGTTGTGCATGTGCAGACCTAGACGTTTGCGTGCACCTTGGACTAGCGGTGCTTCGCAGCGAATGAAATGCTACCTGCTCAGGTGGTTTTGGCCTCCTTGGAGCTCCTGGTGGCCATTTTATGGGAAGAGCAGTGGTCGGAGGTGTTACTGCGCAGCGCGTGGTGTTGGTAGGTTTAAGATTAAATCTAGGGTTTAGGGTTTAGATGGGGTTTTAGATTTAGGGTTCTAACAATTTTGTCCATGCTGTTGTTGACACTCTTCTTAAAGCTCATTCTTCTTGATATTGCTGGCAAGCTGTTTCTTTACGATTTTCCACACATTCGCGCATTCCAGGATACACCTGCTTCTAGGTCGAGTTTCTGCGTGCCTTGCAGGGAACCAGAGCTAAGGTTGTCTCTGGACTTCTACTCGAATCTCATTGGCCAGTTCTCCCTGTCAAACGTTTGGGTGCAAATCGAGCATCCTTTAAACGAGCAGTTTGAAGAGCGGTGCAAAAGCGAGGAATTCCGGAGGTCCTATGGGGGTCTGATCCAAGCCTGTCAGGAGGCTGTCCAGAAGGTCCGTGCCGCCACCGAGGAGCCGGATCAGAAGAACCCGGAGGAGACGGCCCCAAGCAGGAAAGACAGCGAGGAAGCATTTTCTCTTCCCAGATTTGAGGGTAGTGCGCTCTACCCCTGCGTTGCCCTCTCGAACCATTCATGTCAGCCAAACTTCACTATGCGCTATGCCGACGGCTGCTTTGCTGACATGGTGGCCCTGCGCAAGATCCGGGAAGGCGACGAGTTGAACCTTGCATACGTCTCTCCGTCCACACCGCTGCCAGAGCGCATCAGCACGCTGTGGAGAAATTGGGGCTTCGTCTGCACGTGTCGTCGCTGCCAAGACGAGATGATGCTCCGCGCCATGGAAGGGGACAAGACGAGGACCGAGCCCGACTCGGAGGCCACGGCCGGTTACCCCAACATGGGAGTTCAGCTCTCACCTGCAGGGCTCGCGGCGGCTTTGGCGGTGAGAAAGGCCCGCGCCGACACCGGCACTCTGTCCGAGAGCCAGAGCAGCGACGACAGTGGAGACAGTGAGGGCGAAGGCAGTGAGGAAGAGTCCTCCGAGTCAGTGACGAGCGAAGAGGACGCGGGCGTCAGCCGGGCACGAAATGCTCCTTTTAGCGGTCCATTTGGGGCCACCCACGTCCCCCAGAGCGTGAAAATGCTCGAAGCAGCCATGCGTGACTTGGTTGCCGACATCGCAGACCAGGAGGCAGGCTGAATCCGGGCCAACCACTTCGAATTCAAGACCTGGGCACCTGCGGTGAAAAGACGTGCTCGGCGCTATCTCTATCTGTCGCAGCCTCACCATGGGAATCTTTCAATCTATACAGGGCCTGTGTATCAGTAAATTCCAGCAACGACGAGGGTCAGTGAAACATGAGGGTGGAAGCAATTCGAAGTAAGCGTAGCTCCAAGTGGTAGAGCCTGCGGTTTCGTGGAGTTCCCCATTGAATAATCAGCCCGAAGATCAATGATGCCAGGCCAGCCATACCACCGCAGGCGGGTGCTCCTGGCGCTTCAACTTCGGGAGTTTGGGCCTGGGGGGTGCAGGCCGGTTCTTATAGAGTCGCGAAAAATCACCAGGCTTTAGCAAGGAGGACTCTCCAGCAATTTTCAGGTGCATTTGGTCGGACTTAGGAGTTTAAGTCTAGGGGTGAAATCGTTGCTCTTCTGTGGGGAGCAGGCTACTCCCAGCCACTCCCGAACTGCTCCCGGGCTACTCCCGAGTTGCCATGACACATCCAAAACTTCCTCTCGAATACAACCTGCTGCCTACCCCAGCACCTGAAAATTTCCTTCGACACCAGCACAAACAGTCAGGCCGTCCTGTTCCAAGCGGCAAGCGAGGGCGCTCCCCGGAAGTTGAAACGAGCGCTGAGGTGAGCCGTTGCAGCAGCATGCGGCACCCTTCTGCGTACCTTTGCTTGTCTTGTGCCTCAGCAGTACTTTCGCAGATGCATCCCAAACCAGACACTACACATTCCTGAACTGCGGCTGGAGTTGATCACTTGCTTGCAAGTAAGGGGGACTGCGCCGACAATCCTGGAAGTGTTTTCGGCACTGCAGGGACCGGGCCGACCCAAATCTGCGGGCCATTTCGCGGTGTCAGAGCCTTGGCACTGCGTGGTACGCTGGGTGCGAGTCACATGGAAATCGCGAACTTTTGTGGGAGATCCGCATACCCTGATGTGGGCCACGTGCCCGGAAGTCAGGGAGCATAGATGCTGCACATACTGAATCCTCCACTCCTGTGGCCACTTAGAACTCGAAACTAGTTAGCCAATCAACGACACTGATTCATTCGTAGATGAATGAATGGGTTGATGGATGAAGCAGGTCATCAACCAATTAGTCAGTCAATCAAAAGGATACTTGATCAGCTAGTTTCTTGTCGAGTATCTGAATTGTTGAATCTTATATCCAAGTCGCTCATTAAGTGCCATCCATCCATCCATCCATCCATCCATCTGTCCGTCCATCCATCCAGCCATCCATCCATCCATCCATCCATCCCTGCATCCATCAAGCAACCAAACAATCAATTAACCAGCCTGTTAACCAGCTATTGATCAGTCAGGTAGCCAGTCAAGTGCTCCATCAATCAGCTAGTTAATGGATTGGTTAGTTGACGAGCTAGCCACGGAGTTGATTATCTTATTCCTCCTATGATTGTTTGACTAACCTATATATTATTTGACTACTTAATTCATGAGACCATGGCTTAATTGGTTCATCACGCATTTGGTTGATGAATTCACTGATTGAAGACTTAGTTAAATTATTGTCGATGTATGTATCTATGTATCTATGCATGCATCCATAGATGGATGGATGTATCGGATGTATGGATGTACGGATGTTCACTTAAGCGCGTATGCAGGTATGTATACATGAAGCTATGTATGCATGTTGTATGTATGCGTGTACGTTTGCAGCATGCATGCCTGTATGGATGGAGGGATGTATGAAATAGAGGCACATGAGGACAACGCAAAGCAACTCAGAAGGAACAATGTCAGAAAGGTAATGAAGTAAGATTCAATCAGCTCGGTTCCAGTTCCCGAGGTTGAGCACCACAGAGCATTAAGGACCGAAGGGACACAGCAACGCTTGGAAGCACCGCGAACTTCTAGCTTGCAAGAGTCAAAGGCTGGGAGCCGCACCGTGGCTTTCGCACAGAGTGCTCCTTTCAGGCTTAGACCCTAGCTGAACTCTAAGCCGAACTCTAACCCAAGATCTAGAGCACCCTTGTTTGGCACATCACCCTGGGATAAGAGGGAATCTCGAAGCAAAGGTGAGTGTGCCCTTCCAGTCGATGGCTGCGTTTGTTTGGGTTACACACCGCTGCACTGTGCTGCCCAGGCGTCAGCGCTGATGCCAGAGAGCAGGGTTTTGGACTTCCGATTCATCAGTGTTCCGGATTGAGTGAGTGTTCGGGATTTGTTCGTGATTGCAGGCTCAGCAGATGTTCTGTCCGTGTTTGTCGATTGAACGACATATTCTATTCCTGCATGTTCCGTGTGTACTCAGAATTCGAAGAGTCCCCGTAAGAGCTGAAGTTGGTTTTAATTTCACCATGAGCCTCCAGCCATCCGAAGATCCAAGTCTCCAAGGCCATGAACTCAGAGCTTCTATCCCTACTTCCTCCACAGTTCATTGTGTGTCTTGGAGCTAAAAAAGAGGATCTTCAAGCTGGAAGCCTCGAATCCCAAATTTCAATATCAGCGGCCCCTTTTCCAAGCCTATGCCACCAATACCACCGACAAATCTGTTGGCACCTCAACTGACCGGAGCTCCAGCTACTGTCATTCAGGTGGGCTGCGATAAATGTGTAGCCCTGCTGGTGCGTGAGGGGGCGGAAGTGCCTCACTCCGAGCACAGGGTTCCAAGCGTGACTCCTTAGTGTGGATTGGAATGGTTTTCGAAAGGACACTCAGGGACAGCTCCGACATTTTCGAGTGGGGCTCTGCCTTCAGGGCATGCTCAGGGCTTCGGACACGCGAAGATTTCTGAAGCAGGGCATTTGGGCTGCCTGCGGTGTTGGCCACATGAGGTCGCTGCAAAGCGGGCGAATCCGCTTCCGTATCCAAGCTGCCGACGCCCAGGCCGCCTCCGTTTCGGGGGAGCTTTACAGCCTTGAAGCACGTTCGTAGTGCTTCAAATCCCCCGATAAGGGAGGTGCATGTAGTCACCGAAGCCTGTGGCCTCGACCAAGCTATATCAAGCTGCAGGAGTTTGCATGACAAGCTCCAGAGCTTATGCTAGAGGAAACAACGAATTCCAAGTCCCAAACTCAAGCAGCCATCCGAGATGCTTTAGGCGCCAGTATCTACAAGTATTCGAGAAAGATGTCCTTTTAAAAACCCTCCGGAAAGCCCGAGTCTGAGCTAAGCAGCGCATTGTGCCAGCTTTCGGAAGCTGTTGCCGATGGCCTGACGCCGCTTCATGTGGCTGTGGCCTGTGGCCATGTTCAGGCCTGGCAGTTTCCGTCGGGAATTCTTGGTTTGGGCTAAGACGGGTTTATGAAAGAGATCCTTTGGGCTAACTGGGCTTCGCTTGCACGAGCTCTTGTTTGACGAAGGCTGCATGAAACTGGTTGACATCCTTCCCAGGTGCCCATGTGATATGCATAAGCACATTGTCAACGACCGCTTACAGCATGACCTGCATGACTGGAAGCTTCGCGAACGAATAGTGTGCTCTTCGGGCATGATGTAGTGTACGCAGTGCCACGCAGCACACATTGGCCGTGCAAGGTTGCGAGGGTGCTCCTCCAGTCTGGCGCAGACAATCTCTCAGCTTCTTGAAGATTTGCTCTTGAGTATCTTTGCTCTTGGCTTCACCATGCTGCTCTCGCGACCCTCAGAGACCGAATCCCAGAGGCTCCCCCACCCGCAAGCTTCGCCTTCGCTGCCAAGGACGTCCGCCAGGAGGCCAAAGAGCCGAGGAGGACGGCGATCGGAATTGCGGACGCGGCCTCAGACCTTCGAAGACCTTCTTCTCATGCTGAAGGGTCCTGAGTCGAGCTACTCCGTATTCCTTGCGAAGCCCCCCACCCCCCACACCTCGTGCACCTGAAAGTCCTTGAAGAGCTTGTCCTGAGCTGTAAGTGCCAGAGTGTCAGGAGTGGGCTGGACAACGATCCTTACTCGGGCTATTACGCGATGCTGCACAAGAGCAGGCAAGCAGTGTGGGAATGCAAGCATGCAAGGGTCCAGGCATGCAGACTCACAGGCAGACATATACAGTTGCGTAGAGACGCACGTTAGACATGTGTATGCAGCATGCATCCCTGCCCGCACGTAAATGTGCACGCATGTATGCATGCTTTGGACCGCCGTGGCCCTGCCGCCATCTTCGCTGCATTCGCTCTCACAGGATCTGCAAACAGCAGTTGTGGTTGCGATGCACGGTAGGTAAGCATGGAAAAATCATTGTCGCAGAGGAGTGTTGTTTACCTTGGCAAGCTTCGTGGGGGTGTTGTTTGAGCCAGAGCAGAGCAAGCGAAAGCCTGAATTTTCGGTACCCTGCAGCATGTTCGCTCAGAGGCCAGACCTTTTTCAGCAAAGCGATGCCTGTGGTCTTCGCCACCTACTTGGCCACTTGCTCTTACTGAGCCTCACGGCTACCGTCGTGGTGCTATGTGCCTCGACTACTTCTACCTTCGTTTTAATTTGCTGGCCAATTGCCGTGCTTTTGCATGGCATCGTGCTTTCACATCTTTACATGCCTTTCCACGAGTCGACGCACTCAACGGCCTTTGAGAGTTCCAGCCTCTGCTACTGGGTTGCGTGGCCGCTCGGGGTGCTAATCTTCATGAATGCGGACTCCTTCAAGTGGTTTCACCGGGAGCACCACGAACAAACACAGGTAAAGGGCCGCGACCCTGAACTACCAGGTGCGAATGGGTCACTGGGCAACTACTTGAACAAGCTGTTGGGCGGTGAGATGGCGGTGGCACTGTACCACTTCGGACGCTCAGCCTTGCTTGGCGAAGAGGCAGAGGGGCCGTGGGTGCCGCAGGAGTCACGGCGAGGTGTCGTCATCTCCACTCGATGCCAGTGTGCGGTATACTTGTTGAGCCTGTTGGTTGCTGCTGCATCGTCAGCCGCGCGCTGGTGGTTGATCAACGCGTGGCTGCTCCCACTCCTGGTGGGGCAGCCAGCGTTGTGGGGTCACTTCATTGCCCAGCACACAGCCACCGACCACGACGGAGACGCACGGCACACGGCGCGTGTTGTGTTCACGCACCCGGCATATCAGTGGCTGTCCTGGAACATGAACTACCATGCAGTTCACCACATGAATCCTCGCATCCCCTTCCATAAACTCCCTGCCGCCTTCGCTGCCTCGGAAGGATGTTTCAAGCATGTCGAGCGCAGGGGATACCTTGGCGCACATGCGACAGTTCTCCGAGCAGCCCTTGCAGTTGGCCAGTAGTACGTGATAGGTGCGACCTCCGTGTCGTCATGGTCAGCAAAAAGCTGTGAGAAGTCAGCTTAAAGGTGTTGTGTGCAGCGTCTCGCAACGAGTTTCCTTGTTACACGGCCGTGGGATGCGGGGTTCTTGATGCCGTACTGGTGCTGAAGCCGAGGTTGAAGCGCAGGGACAGCATGAAACCTCTGATGCTTTGTCTACCGCTTCTCTCCGAGGTGAGAAGGCTGGCAGCCGAAGTGCCCCAAGCTCAGCCAGGCTGGCGCCAGCCGATTTGTGCATGGAGGGAGATCCGTCTCGTTTTCTATGCACGCGCCTTGCCATGTACGAAGCTCGATCGTAGGTAAGCTTGAAGCGGATCGGATCGACAGTGCTAGGTTTCGCCTTTGATTTGAGGCTGGCAGATCTTGGGGTCTTTGAGATTCTACAGTCTACAGTTCTACAGCTCAGCAAGTCTGCTTTGGGATCTCCGCTGGCAGCATACGGGGTGGTTTCAAAATCATGATAGGCACAGCCCGAAGCACAAGCTCCCGAAGGGCACGCCGTCAGGCTATACAGTCCAACATATCCCCATTTCTCACAGAGTTCTGGACTTGTACCAGTACTGGTAGCAGACCAAGAGAGTAAAGGCGGTTTGAAGTTCCAATCGAGCTAAGCTCTGTGAGTCCTGGGCAACGCGATGCTCTTCCTGGAAGCGCAGCAACGCCACTCCGTCCGAAAACTATGTGGAGTCTTTGCGGGTTTGAGAGATTCTTTGTCGGTCTCTTAAAAGATGCTTCAGGAGGATGCCTCCTCGTCTTTTTCATAGGTGCTCCGGAAAGGCATTCCATTCCCAGCTCTTTAGCTTGCATGGAGAGCCCAACCAGGCCAGCCAATTCTCCTGACAACTCCCAGGCGCCAGCAGTAGCCAACTCACCAGATGCGCAATCTTTTCAGGTTTCAAAGTTTTGATTCACAATAGCATGTTCTGTCATCGGCAGCTGTGACGGGCCTTGCAGGTGGTTTTGGGATGAGGGATTGAAGGTGTCAAGGTCAGTTTGTGGCTTTCTTGAGCCTGCTCAACTCCGCACACTTTAGGGTTGGGCCTCGGCATGCGTTCTTGTGCAAGACAAGCCATGCCCACCACGGAAACATGAAGCACATAAGAGCGAACGTCGCGCTTCTCTTCCGTTGGCAAGTATGCCGCAAGAAAGCTTTCACCGCGAACCAGATGCCCTGGGCTCCGAACCAGAGTCTGCCCCCGAGTGCTTGCGTTTCGCAGCTTGCAAACTCCGCGTGTCCCGAATCTCCCAAGTTCCCATACGCCGTTGTTGCTTCGGAGCCCTTCGGGGCACACCGACGTGGGTCCAAGCTTCAAGCCTGTCTGCCAGGCTTGAAGCCATCCGGCAGCGGATCCGGCAAAGGGAGCGCCAGCGAAGGAAGCAGGACGGACCAGGGTGCAAGGTGTGAAAGCGATGCACTGGGCGACCCACTTCTGTCGGTCAAGGTCTCCTCGGACACTTCCTCCCCCCGGCGGCGCCGGTGAGCCTGGTCGCGCAGGGTTTGGGGTTTAGGATCCTAGTAGGTCCCGGGAGCGATGGCATAGAGAACCCTGTGCTGTCCGTACGTCATGTCAAGCCATCGTCTACCTGATCTACCCGTCCAGGTATGCATGTATGTCGGCAGGCAGAGACAGAGCAGGCAACACCAGCTCGATGGATCCAGGGACACCTGGGTAACGGGAGACATGTGGATTGGTCAGTTCAGCTGTTCGGGCTGCACTTAGCGGCATGAAAGCTGCATGCAAGCTGGGAGCACATCTTGGAGGGGAGCTGCAAGTGTGCGAAAAGAACGCCTGATTGCACAGCCGACAACTAGCCCACGCTGGCAGGAATAAAGCAAACTCAGGATGCCGCGAGCCTCTCGAAATTGTGAAGTGCACTCGAGGACTGTCGTCAACCTTAGCCACGAAGCCGATGGAAACTGTATGCCACCACGCAGTAATCTATTTCTGCAGTCTCTTCATTCTATCAGCCAGCGCAAGCATCAGCGTCGGCATCAGCATCAACATCAGCATCACCGCCATCATCATCATCATCATCGTCATCAGCAGCATCATCATCATCGTCGTCATCGTCATCATGTGCATCCTCGGTATCAGCATCGTCTTCGTCGTCGTTATCTGTCATGCGTCTGTTTGTCGTCTGGATCTTGTCCTGTTTGTGTCTGGGTGTTCGTTATATTACTTGTCCAAATGGTGCCCCTCTCCAGCATCGACCTCGTCTGTAAGACGATGGCGAAGGTGACCACCTTGGCGGTACGAGATAGTGCACAGGGGATGAAAATGCTGGCCATGATGAACATCATGATGACGAGCGTCGTCATTGCCATGATCATCGAGGCCGTCATCATCGTCATCACAAGCCATCCTCAGTGTGCTCGGTCTCAGTCGCAGTCAGGATGACGAAGGAAAGCATGATCATCATGGTCGCCGACATCACCATCACCGTCGTCATCATCGTCATCGTTACCGTCATCGTTACCGTCATCGTTATCGTCATCGTCACCAGCACCACTGCAGCGTAGCAGCACAGAAGCACAGGACACCGCACAAGTCACCATCCAAGGAGCAAGTGGGAGATGGCGTCTTGCGTGCAAACCGGAATTGAAGATTCTGCTATCATCTTAGCTGTTTCCGGACCAGAGCAGCAATGGCAGTGGTAGCAGCACCACGAGCACGGCCGTTGGCAGAACAGATCTGAATCTGACCTACAACCAATCCCTGACCGGTAGACCGTGCGCAACAGTTTTCCCAGAGAGGTAAAGGCGTGGTCAGTAAGTTTTCATGCGGCAGCGCTTAGCAGGCTTAGCATACAACGCTCCTCGCAGGTCGCTGCCGGGTGGCGTGACCCATTTCTTGCACTGGAAACCCGTTTCAGCCCCAAGCCGACAGACCCGAACTTGCCACCAGACAAATTTCCCCGGGCCATGGAAGAGGCTGAGACTTCCGAATGGCAGGAGAGACATGGTGTGATGTCTTGACACTTTGGAACAGCTGCTTTGGAATAGTCCAAGTCTTCGGATCGGGGACAGAAATGCTTGAAGCCGTCATCCGAGCCTATCTAGTTCTTGCATTCCATGTGGTGCTCGAACTTCGACGGCCTTGTGAGGAGATGGTGCCCGCTCCCCCTCCACCAGATGTGGAGACCGGTGGCAGCAGCAGCTCCATGACTGTTTACAAGCATTGGGGACATCCAGAGATGTGCGGATGCAGGGAAAAGGTTCCAGTAGTCCTTGCATGGAGCCTCATTGTCCGCCTGATTGAAGTTTCTTTTTTCCGGGAAGGCCGGTTTGGCAGTTGTCGGCTCGTATCTCTGCCCAGAGTGCCAATCTGAACAGATTTGTGCCTTCCGACGAAAGTCGGTTATTCCATCGGAGCCCGGGATCACGAGGTTCCTGCGCACCAGCTCCGCTCGACGTCGGGGAGGAAGAGGGGGGTTGGTTTCCAGGTTTCGCAGTTTGGGAGATCTGCTGGGCTTCGGTGAGCTTTGGAGGGAGTAGAACGTTAACGGTCGAAGTGCCTCTTCAAGGTGTGTTTGTAGGATCTAAGCACTCCACTTGATGTGGTGAAAGCCACGTTTGTTTGTGTGTACGGACGAATGGATGTACGAATGGATTTATGAATTTTTGGATGTACGAATGGATTTATGGATTTGTGGATGGATGGATGGATGGATGGATGGATGGATGGATGTCGAGGTAGATGTGCACATAGTCGCACATGTGTACATACATGACGAGGACCAGGACTGGGATAGGGGTAAGGACGAGGACGAGTACCAGGAAGGGACCATGGTCGACTGCGATGACGACGGCAGTAAGGACGACGACTGTGGCGGCTTCGAACGGCGACGACTGCAATGCCTCCTTCTTACGGCTGTTACGGTCATGCTAGGAAGACGAAGGGCATGACACGGGGAATAAGGTTGATATCATACATAACACCATCATCTCGTTCAGTCGATGACGAAATTTGTTGAGCTCGGGCTCTGCAGTCGCACGCCCAAACTCCCGAAACGTGGACAGGCCGAAACACCCCTGCGCCATCTTCTCCAGTGGCTGCGGGACGAGGCCCTCGGGGGGCAGGGTCTGCAAAATGGAAGGTCGAGCTCGACCTGAGCTCGACCTATGCACCGTTTCCTTGCCGTGCTTGTAAAAGCTGGAAGACACATCACCCTGTCCAAGTGAGTAGTTGATGAGCAATTGCTGTGTTTCCCGGAGTGGAGCCAGGGCTGGTCCAGTTCTTAGGTCTTTCGAAGCTGTCCCTGCGACATATCCGGCAGGCGTTCATCGAAGTTGTTGCGGAGTGGTCATGGGACGTCTGTATGGAGTGCCTTTGCCGCAGAGCATTCACAGTCTTAAAGTCTTAAAGGATTACTTGAGAAGCTCGAGGCTTCAAGATGCCGCCCGCTCTCAAGGGGCCTCGGGCATCGAAGCCATCCTCAAAGTAGGAACTTCAAATTCAACTTGCTGCGCCTCAGGTTTCCCCGTGATGGAAGTCTTTTGACACAGATCGAGCATCCTCTGAGATACACAGAGGCAGGGCTTCATGTCACCGCATACAATCTAGCAGCAGGCATAGCACATTTCTCCTCGTCAGAAACCGCGCAACTTGAAGATCGATTCACTTGGGAGGCTCACCAGGAATATCGACAGCTCTTCGAAGCCAGAGCCGAGCAGTGCGTCCAGATTGACTAGGGCCAGCGCTTCGGAGAGCTTCAAGGGGTGCAGGTTTCGCATCGTTGCCCCAAGGGTGCCATCTTGAAGGTAGGGTAGGTTTTAGGGTGGACTTTGGTCAGGGCCAGGGCCGTGAAAGTTGGAGCGTGGCGTGGTGGCATTGGAGCGTGGAATGCCGGCGCTGGCACCTTTGCCCAAGCAGCTTCTATCCATGGTCTCTGCTCTAGTACGAGGCATTGGAGCAGCTCATGTTGCATGTAGAATCCAGCCCTGGCCCTGAAGCGCAAGACCCAAGACTTGCTCCTCGCCCAGAGAGCCAGCAACTTTCAATGTTCCTTCAGCAGGTACTTGCAGTACTACGGCTTGAATCTGGACCCAGGGCTCTGTGTTTTGGATCTTCAGGGCCCATACTTCTGTTTGCTTCAGGCTGCAGTCTTCTCAACCAACCAGAGATAGTAGCCGCTTGGGCCACATCAGTCTTTGGTTTCATGGCAAGCTCCCCGAAACTTAGGCTTTGGATCGTTTACGGTTGAGTGTCTTGTATGAGATTTATAAACTGAAGCCTATTGTCTTGAGTTGCCAGAAGCCTATATAGAATGTTTCAACCCCGAGCCCTCCGCCACTCAACCGCTCCGAATCAAGACGTGCAGCATTGATCTTGCATCTCGCAGCACCACTTTGCAGGAAAACTTTCTTCAGCTTGCCGTGGACTACTTGGTCACACCGACATTCGATTACCTAAATTCTGCAGCCGAAGTTTCTACAGTTCAACCGTGCGTACGCCATACGCGCCATTCCGGATTGCTTGGCCTGCTGTGAAAACTGGCTGACAGGGAGTTGATGCTGCTGGTAAATAGGTGAGCCCGCCCAAAGCTCACAGCATCATATACATCACCATCATCATCATCATCAGCAATATCATCAACATCAGCATCACCCTTAGCAGTAGCAACATCACGAGCGTCGTCATCAACAGCAGCCTTCTGATCGAGCCTGCAATTCCAATAATGTCGTGTCCAAAGATGATGTCCATACTGGCAGGAGTTTCTCCGACTAGTGACGAGTGAAGCGACGAGGCGCTGAGCCTTAGGTGCTTTCGACCCCCGAGCCAGGATGGTCGGCATTCCCTGAGTCGTGGGGAAGATGATATACTGGAAGGTCTGGTGGCCTCGGAGAGCCGGCAACTGAGCGGGTTCTGGCTTTGAGGTTCTGGTGCCTTACAGGGGCTTGATCTGCTGTCCAAGTTGTTATGGAGTTGCAGATAGATCTTCTGCTAGGGCATCTATCTGACTGTTCATCTCGTTCAAGGGAATTTCTCTGTGCAATCCTGTCACTGTCAGCATCGTCAGCACCACCGTGACTAGAATCATCAAGCGGCATAGAAAGTAGCTGCAGACGAGCCGTGGGCAACGATAGCACACACACTTCACTACCGCTACTGTTGTCCGGACAGGCTTAGCATCATGAGGGGTAGCGACAGAAACAACAAACACGATGCACATGTCTGTCTGTCTGTCTGGCTGGCTGGCTGTATGTCGGTCTGTCTGTTCGTAAGTATATGTGTTTGCATGTATGCATGTATGTATGTATCCATAGATGTATATACATGTCTGTATATACGCATGTATACACATACGTATATGTGTGGACTCCACTTCTGAATTTCGATCCGTCAGTTGTGCTGATGTGTAACTGCTGTTTCGCAAAAGCCCGAAATCAAGGCCAAAGGTTCGTAGGCCCTTGCAGCTCTCAGCCAACACGCAGCTGGAGGCTACTCCACCTTCTTCATCTATATGTGTGCTTACCCAA